TAGCATCCTACAACCATAAACTAGCAACCTACAACCATTAGCTAGCAACCTACAACCATCAACTAGCAACCTACAACCATCAGCTAGCAACCTACAACCATCAGCTAGCAACCTACAACCATCAGCTAACAACCTACAACCATTATTTAGCAACCTACAACCATCAGCTAGCAACCTACAACCATTAGCTAGCAACCTACAACCACCAGCTAGCAACAACTAGCAACCTACAACCATCAACTAGCAACCTACAACCATCAACTAGCAACCTACAACCATCAACTAGCAACCTACAACGATCAGCTAGCAACAACTAGCAACCTACAACCATCAACTAGCAACCTACAACGATCAGCTAGCAACCTACAACCATCAGCTAGCAACCTACAACCATCAGCTAGCAACCTACAACCATCAGCCAGCAACCTGGAGCCATCAACTAGCATCAATTAGCAACCCCAAATCATATAGTAGCAACCTGCAAGTATGAATAAGCAACGTGCAGTGACTGTTTATCAAGTGGATTTGACTGCAGTATTTCTTCGGCTGAAACTGCACCATGCCGGTTTTACTCTGTACCACGGTGACGTGCATAAAGCTGGTGATGTACTGGAGCTTCATCCATGTATGTTCCATTCCATCTCAAAGAATATGTTTCCTAAGGATTCAAAAGACTGTTTTGGTTCTATTCAAACTGATAACGACGTGATATGACGATACTCGGATTGTATAGTATCCAGAAGTTTGTTTATGTCAACCCAACACTCTCGTGCATCTTGTAGTAGTTAGGTTGCGAAGGGCACTACCAATTGTAATGTGTTTAAATCAACTGTCGATATGCACAGATTAACATTTACTTTCTCAGTATCTTTGTGTAAACTGTAAACATGGAGGCTATACTTTTGTTTCGGCTGTTTGTGAAGTTTGTGCTGTTTTTGTAAACATCTTTGGTGCATTTTCATTATACCTAACGTTATATGTTTACTTAGATTTCCCTTTGTTTAGATAATACTCAGGTCACAACCTCTTGGTAATAGTCTATTAATTATATAATTATAAGTACAGATTTTCTTTGTGTTTCGAAGATATACGAAGATGAAACCACAAACCTATCCGCAAGGATACCTGAACCACGATGTACGTTTGTTACAAAATCCATTTATGATGCTTCAGTGTATAGTTTTTTTCTCTTCTCTCCTATTACCATGCTACGTATGCTCATAATAGAAAAGTGTCGGCAGTAATGTTTTGTACTGTTGTTGTTTAAGTCATCAGCGTATGCCGAATGACAGGCAGTTGTGCATAATCATGTTGACATCTGACACTAGCTATCTCAGAGGGTTCACACAACTAGAACACAACCTCCCAGGCTATAGATCCTTGACACAAGCTGCATACGTTCTGGTCAGAGAGGTCACTATTTACAATAAAACAAAGCGGAGGATTCCGTGGTCAGTGAGGTCACCCTTTCGAGGAAGATGCCGGTCTATGTGTACAGCCTTAAGCCAACTGGTTGTTTGTTGTTTAACGCCGCACTCAGCAATATTCCAGCTATATGACGGCGGTCTGTAAATAATCGAGTCTGGACCAGACAATCCAGTAATTGACATCATGAGCATCGATCCACGCAATTGGGATACGATGACATGCATCCACCTAGTCAGTGAGCCTGACCACTCGATCCCGTTAGTCGCCTGTTACGACAAGCATAGTCGCCTTTTACGGCAAGCATGGGTTGCTGAAGATCTATTCTACCCCGGAATCTAATTGCTGTATACTGGCTATGATAATTAAACTACAATGGAAATATCAATATCCAGATGGATCAGATAGATAAGTGGGGCGTCAACTATAATCTAATTTATTATATTTCCATTCGAATATTATAAATATCCTAGGCCAAACCCCAACCATAGCTTCGTCTCAAGTCGCCCCACTAATATAAATCAGTCCAATCATTTCAAACTCAAGTGCGATAGAAAAACTCTGCGGGAAAGGGCTGATAAGCTAAATTGATACGGTGAATGCATGAAGCTGTGGAAGAGAATGGGTCCTGGCTATTTATCATAAACGAAAAGAGAGGAGTACACGAAGTTCTCACGAATTAATATCCCAGCTACGCCACACGACTGTGTGTCCCTGGACTGGTGCTAAATAATAGTCACGGCATCAAGAAAAGTGTAGGTGGTGGATGTAATAATGTACTCAAAAATAAAAGCAAGGGATCATTAAAGATGTATGTCAAAAGAAAGATCAGAACAATGACTTCCAGAACCAACACCTAACGCCCCAACACACACGAAACATGGTACGTGAACCATGCAATTCTTCGTGCACGTGTGTTGGGGAGACATTCTTGCTTTTATGCAGTATTTGTGATCAGAATGGGAATGCGGCGTCTACAGCGTGATGAACGCCTACAGGTTATGGCATACTTAAAACTAGTACAGCTCAGCCAATAAGTTTAAAGTGTTACAGTCTGTGATTTGCAGGCTTTGGAACAGGTTTCTGCAGACACAAGTTCATGATCAGCCCCGCACACGGCGCCCGAGGTATAGATGATAGATTAATCAGAAACCAGGCTTTAAGGGATCGAGCTCAAACAGACAATGTAATTGCTGTTCACTTGCGCCTGGACACCGGAGTTTAAGTTACTGACCGGACGATTTCGGCAACCACGTGTTGTATCGCCGTTAACAAATCGACACATTTTAGCCAGACGCCAGTGGTGTCTTGAGCGTAGAAACTTGGGAAATCGCCGAACGAACTCGGAAGGTCAACGTAAGGCAACATGACAGATTTGGGTTGGGTCTGTAATGATATGGTTCGGGATCCATGACTGCCAGAATGCAACTGTATATTGTGTCACTTGACAGTACTACCGAGACAACATACTGGCGCGAACAGACGTGCCGTCTGCGCGCCATTTCCTTGTATTGTCTTCCCAGACGATAACGCTCGTGGCCACCGTTCAGGCCAGCCATGGTCGCCGTGCCAACCTGTAGTGCTAAGGTCGCAATCGTAAGGCAATCTGACCTCGTCTGCTGAAAGTGTTACTCGACAACTGTGCTAAAACACGACAGTTTAAGATGTTACTGCCTATTTCTATCATAATTTGTTGGTGCCGATTTTTCAAAATCGTCAAACCGAATTTCTGAACATAAACGGTTACGAAACTACAGTTATCTTCCAGCACATTCTAACCTACATTCATTGCATGACTACATGCATCTTCCCGAGGCAAGAGAGTTAACTGACTGAAAATATCCAGTTTCCACCTTTGCCGAACTCGACTGGAGTTTCTGGGCTCGATCGTAGCTCCACCAGTGGCTATTACGAGTTATTAATTGTGTTTATCTATTTCTGTATAATGGGCCTCATGGCCTACAGTACAAAAGATCCATTCATATTTTATAGAACAAATGTGAAATTGCATCCATAACAACATACATGCATGCATGTGTGGAACAAAATGTCATACAATGAAAAGTTTGTTCAGTTTCAAACTATAAAGAAATTAAATTTCTCTTAAGGAACAGAGCAATTCCTTTTTGTACATGTACATCACTAATTGCCATTAACAATTTAAACTTATCCTCTGAAGGAAATTTATGAAAATATGATGGAATAAATTGTTGGCGACTATTTCTGTATGCCGGGCATAAAAAATGATACTCATCTTCTTTAACTGCCAAATCACATTTTTCACATAAACTTTCTAATACATTTGAGGAATTAAAATCGTTTGAGGATCGTAAATTTTGAATATTCAAGTGGTGAGAAGAGCATCTAAATTTACACAAAATCCTAATCAAATCCTTGTGTTCTAAATGTAGAGTATGGGATTCGGGAGTTAACAGTGTCTTAAAACTAGAATAACTTTCTTAAAAAAGAGAATTTTCTACTTTACTATGCCAATTTTGAATTCCAATATCCTTACACCATTGTTTGAACTGCTGCAGAAATGCATCCACATCCCTATACGATTGCATAACCCAAACATATAAAAAACCTGTATTGAACAAAAGTTCCCGAACGTGACTGACCCAGTTTCCTCTTCCTAACTCATCATATGATTTCAACATGGCATAACAAGCCCTGGGATATCTACCACAATCTAAGGTTAAAAGTTTACACCAATATTTAATAACTTTTGTGAAACACTCAACATATATATAATTTCTTCCACAGTCTCCGAGAACCGCATTGCTGGAAGAATATTTAGATAAACCTATGAATTTTTTAAAATACCAACTTTGAACCTTTTCTATTTTATCGTTATAGTTGAATCCCAAAATCTCGGAACCATATGTCAAAATCGGTAATATTTTAGTAACAAAAATTCTACATGCAACAGAAAAGGAAATATTTGGAAACTTTACGAGTTATGTCCCTTTCTTTGTCCCTCCTATTGACTGATCAGATTCCACCTCTTATATCACTTGCATTTGCTTCAAAATGGCGGCGCCCAGTCAAGACGATCTAATCGATAATCAAGATCTATAATGTAACATAAAGGGTGTTACTTCACGAGGTGCATCAATTTACGCGGGCACCTTAATTAAAACATAAAAAGATTTGGAAAATATCCGTTGACGCCCAGTTGGCGTACACATGCTTTGCAAATCCTGAAATCGACCGAAATATCGGCACGGCAGCTTACGAACCGGATGTCGATTTTGTAACGCGATTTTGATTGGACTATGCATAGACTCGTTAGTCCAGCCAAAATATTACTCCATAATTCCAGCCTAGTTCGACAAGTGTGGATACTGGACTTTATAGTCAGTTAACTCACTTGCCTCGGGAAGATTCACTACGTGTTGCTTGATATCAATGTATGCATATGATAATGAGCTCTGTGTAATTCATCGTAAGGACAAACACAAAGCACAACACATTCTAGATAAATAAGACGTTAACAAATTAGAGTAGTTCCCCTTGATGTACCAAACTACGAACCCAATAATGGAAAGAATATCAAGACAAAAACGAAACGCTTCAACTGAAAATATATATAAGTATAATCATCACAGATTTCTTGATAGTGTTGATTTTCTTTGTGTATGGGTTGATAATTCTCAAACATGGATAGCAATGTCGGTTGTTGTCATGTTCTATGTGGGTCACGAAGAAATACATTGCAAATTAATGTAGAACATGATCTCGAACGATGTCGTCCCAGTAGCTGCCGTGACAACCATATTAAATATCGGATCCAAATGCCCCAAAATATTTCAGAAATATAATCCTAAATTTATTAAGCGGGCGCTTTTCTTTGCTTCTGACATGTACATCTACATTTATCAAACGCATTGCATTTGTTAACATCATGAGCAATAAAATTTCCGTAAGTCATCTAAATGATAGAATCTGACACGGGAGCTTTCAGACTGTCCCCATACATCGCAGTGTCAACGCTGGGGTACGATATAAACTGCAGCCCTGTCTCCTGGGGTCCCGTGTAGCGAGCCACCACGGCATCTGCAGAACAGACAAACAAACGTCTTATTTGTAATCTGATCCGGTTGTTTAAACTCCTGGAAATAAACATAACAGTTTGTAGAATTTAATACAAACATATCAACGCACTTTCAGTATATTCACAACAGTAAAACTTTAAAACAATTAATCGTGACTAAACACTTGGATAATTGATTGCAGTCCACTTTGCTCACAAATAATTAACTGAAGGCCGCAGGTAATGCCTATTTGATATATAATAATTATTACTTAACATTACCATCAAATCAACAGACGATGTACAAACAGGCCATACATTAACTCTGGGAAATTGAGCTGAAGAGCCGATATTTAGGGCTCAAAGCCTGAAAGACTAAGAGCCCTATTGTAATTGTTGTGTTCATTATCATTATTCTTCTTTTTCCGCCGTTTTTTGTAACAGACCTACAAAAACAACCAGTGGCCAGAATGGCTTCAAAATCGACAGCAACATCGGCACCAACGTGACGCAGTAACCAGCAAAACCCCAATGACTAAGGGCAGATAACTCATCAAAGTTTCAACTTCAGCAGCAATATTCTTCGACATAATTGTCAAATGACTTCCAGATTTGCCATGCGGCAGCGCAATCAGATCCCCATCATTTTGTACTGCAGGACCATGGTAGCTACAACGCACCGTTTGGCAGCCATATTGGATTTAAAGGTTTTGGCACTTCTTTTCACCATTTTTCTCAGTACTTGTCTCTCCAAATCTGCTCAGCTCAAACTACCAGCTCAAAAGCTTCCAAACTTTCCATACTTTGTGTCCAAGTACCTGATACCTCATGTCCTGGCGATTCCAGAACACCAAACCGTTTGACTGTCGCTAAACGGACAACGAAACTACAGCGTTTTAAAGAGGGAACTCTTTGGCACCGTCCATAAACTTGCCATATAGCAGAACTCGAAACACTAATATTTCGACTAATACTGGTCCGATTTCGACCAAATTTCGTGTGTGTATGTATACCAGCCTCGCATGAAGCTTCTCATTCATAAATTGTGTGACCAGTGTCCCGTATTTATGATATGTTAGGGAAGATGTGTTGTACATTTGTTATTTTAAAAGGGAGTTATTTCAGAGAGGATATATATGGGTATTCCCCTCATTAAACCTTTCTTTCGTTGGTGTCTATTAAACGTATCCGGTATTTAATACATTTGAATGATGTAGGAAAGTATGTGCGTGTAGATGTTGTACCTATATCCGAACACGAATGTATGACACCTTTCAATAGATCAATTACGGTTCTAACCACGACACGCAACATGACTATGACCGTGGTTAGCAGTTCATATTTATAAAAACATCGTAAATGACAGATTTCTGATGAATGAACTCGCCCGCACACATGTCTATAGGGTTATGTTCGCCCGAACTGTAAACAGTGACACATTGGATAACAGGAAGGGTGTGTGGAATGCACTCGTCCTTGTAAGGGAAAAAATACGCGTTTAAACTCACCATTTAAATGATGATGACATTACTTTTTAGATGTATTGGTATCAGTGAGTGAGTGAATTTAGTTTTACTCGTCATTATTCCAGCTCTAGGACGGTGGTCTGTCAATAAACGAGCTTGGACCAGACAATCCAGTTGATCAACAGCATGAGCAGCGATCTGTGCAACTAGGAACCGATGGCACGTGTCATCCGAGTCGGCGAGACTGACCAACCGATCCCCGTCAGTCGCCGATAAGCATGGGTTACTGAAGGTCGATTCTATAACCCGGACCTTCACGGGTGTAGTATGACGAAGACTATATACTAATATGATTGCTTTTTTAACATACTCACAAGTGTGCTGTGAGGAAAAGAGTGTCTTCCAAGATTCCCTGCACGTGTAAGACAGTATAAACTCTACTGTAGTGTAGCCCGACAAACAGTTTTACTCTCGCAAGCAAACGGATTGGACGTGAACAACATGAAGAAAGCATCAGAGATTAGACTTGACCCTAGAGATATATTTAGGAAGACTACGTTGAGAAATTCACAACAGAGAAAGAAACCACAAGCAGCCAAGAAGAGACAGGTAACACCTAAAATGAAAACGATGACAACCAAACAGGGATCAAAGACAACACCCCAACCCGTGAAAATACAACATGTGTCGGAGGTGAAGGCTGTGGTGGAACGGGCACTTGCTGCCTTGAAGCGTCAACAGAGTCAAGGGTATAAAAGAAAGCTTCATACCCTCTAATTGCACACCGTATTGGATCCGGACTGTGAAAAAGTGTTTTCAAGGAGAGATGTCATGTTACGACACAGGAGAAATAAACATAGCATACCGCCGCCGTTACAAGCACACCTGCCGCCGCAAGTCCACTCGCCATTACAAGCCCACCCGCTAACGCCGCCGCCGCAAGCCCATCCGCTACCGCCGCCGCCGCCGCAAATCCACCGGCCATTACAGGTCCACCCGCTAACGCCGCCGCCGCGGCTACGTCAAGCCAACCCGCTGTTACAAGCACATCCGCCGCCGCCGCCGCCGCCGCCGCCATCGCAAGTCCACTCATGGCTGCCTCATTTACCATGTATATCTGATCTTCGAGAACAATTCAAGTTCCTGATTCCCTCAAATGCGCTCGTTGTGGGACCCAGTGGTTGTGGAAAGTCTGTGTTTATGTCTCATGTACTCCGGCATGGCCTGATCCAACCCCAACCTACCCGCATCGTTTGGTGTTATACTCAATGGCAGCCATTATATAAGGACCTCGGTGAGCAGCTGCCTCAGCTGACCTTTGTAAAAGGAATTCCCTACGATATCTTGGACGAGGATTACTTTGATGCTCGTCAACAGAACGTGTTGGTCCTGGATGATTTCCTGGCCGAAGCAAAGCACGACAAGCGTATTTCGCGGCTGTTTACTCAAACCTCACATCACAAGAATGTATTGATCTTTCTCTTGATACAAAATCTGTTTCCGAGAGGTAAGGAATCGAGAGACATTGCTTTGAACGTGCATTATGTCACCCTGTTTCATTCCCCCATAGATAAACAGCAAATCAAACTCTTCGCTCGTAGAATTTTCCCCGAACATATGGAACACTTTATGGCTATGTATGAAAAGGTTGCTGAAACACCCTATGGACAACTAACCAACGATCTAAAACCTACCACCAAAGATAAGGATCGACTGCATGTTAACCTCATAAATGAGGAAAACAGGAGAACAACAGCACAGTCTGAACCTGATCTGCGTAGGGAGAAGTTGACTACGACAGAATCTCTGGATAGTCCTCTGACACAAGAAGAGAGATTGCCCCAACATCAGCTCACTCCAATTGAAACCGATTCAGACACGAGTAGTGAGACATCATTGACTATGGCCACGGCTTGCGCAGATTGCGGGGTGCTGATAGATAACATGCACGATCTACAGCGACATATCAAACACTGGTGTCCGGCCAATAGCCTTCAACCTAAGAGAAAGCGTGCCAGACTCGAGAGTGATGACGATGACAGTGACTTTGACGACCTAGCCTCTTCCCAGAAAGGCAGTGGTCTTGCCGTCAAACTTCCACGTGGGAAGTCAACATTCACTAATATGGAAGCCGAGGAGTGGCAAAATGTAGGCTTACAACGCATCTGGAAGCAGGTGTACGATACGTTTCATGACAAGATGAAACTGCAGAAAAAACAGTACAAGCGACAGGGACGAACGCAAGAATGGATAGAGAGAAGATTGAAACTGAGGTGGGAGGATCTAGTGCGTAGTACTCTCAACTATGCGATGGAATATACCACGTACTTTAAAGAGGCACCTCTGTTTCAAAACATGCTATACAACCTGGGAGACATGAATCCTTCCACGGAACAATTCGTTCTCAAAAATAAAATAAAACTCCTCCTAAAACCCAAGATGAAAGAGATTCTGCCTTTGATGGATATGCCGGAAATAGAAAGTGAGTCTGAATCTGATAGCGTTGCAGAGGATAACGACGGTGATGACGAGGAGGAGGATGATGATCGTGAGCAGAACGATTAGGCATAAATACCCATCACTACTCTATCAGTCTTACAGTCAGAAGAGAATGCCGAGTCAACGCCACGCGTCTAGTTTGATTCATATTTTGAAAACACCTCGTAAACTGAGGCGTTTGAACGATAAGAAACGCCGAATTTCCCTCTACGTGAGAGGAATTGTGAAACTGGGACCTCCTGGACGGAAATCGTTACAAGCAATGGATAAAGCATAGACTATAGACAACCATTCAACCTTAAAACAGCGTAGGAAAGGAAACATTCAACAGTGCGAAATGTGTTTCAAAACATGGACTCGCTGTTTAAACAATAGGGCCTTCGAGCAGCAGCAGCAGCATGTGTATATGAGTGACTAAATAATGTTCCAGAGTGAATACTATTGTCCATTCGTATATCACGGCTTTGTATGGAACCGATTGACTCGAATCAATAAATGATACGAATGAATTGTTTGTTTTTTCTAAGTTTTCGATCATATTAGTATAAAGGCTTCGTCATACTACACCCGTGAAGGTCCGGGTTACAGAATCGACCTTCAGTAACCCATGCTTATCGGCGACTGACGGGGATCGGTTGGTCAGTCTCGCCGACTCGGATGACACGTGCCATCGGTTCCTAGTTGCACAGATCGCTGCTCATGCTGTTGATCAACTGGATTGTCTGGTCCAAGCTCGTTTATTGACAGACCACCGTCCTAGAGCTGGAATAATGACGAGTGTGGCGTAAAACTAAATTCACTCACTCACTGATACCAATACATCTAAAAAGTAATGTCATCATCATTTAAATGGTGAGTTTAAACGCGTATTTTTTCCCTTACAAGGACGAGTGCATTCCACACACCCTTCCTGTTATCCAATGTGTCACTGTTTACAGTTCGGGCGAACATAACCCTATAGACATGTGTGCGGGCGAGTTCATTCATCAGAAATCTGTCATTTACGATGTGTTTATAAATATGAACTGCTAACCACGGTCATAGTCATGTTGCGTGTCGTGGTTAGAACCGTAATTGATCTATTGAAAGGTGTCATACATTCGTGTTCGGATATAGGTACAACATCTACACGCACATACTTTCCTACATCATTCAAATGTATTAAATACCGGATACGTTTAATAGACACCAACGAAAGAAAGGTTTAATGAGGGGAATACCCATATATATCCTCTCTGAAATAACTCCCTTTTAAAATAACAAATGTACAACACATCTTCCCTAACATATCATAAATACGGGACACTGGTCACACAATTTATGAATGGGAAGCTTCAGGCGAGGCTGGTATGTTGACATTAATTGTAAGGCCGGGGTATGTTGACATTGTTATGGGCGGTCGGTCGCTTAGTTCCCCATCGTCTAACTTCTTCAATCTCAGGAAGACACTTACAACAACCATCCTTAGTCGCAAAAACCAACAGACGACTATCCTAAAGCAGACGAACTATTTTCTTATTCGCAACTAACCCGTTGAAGACGGGGGAACCGGTAGCAGACGACGAACGGGAAACCGCTAGCAGACGACGAGCACCTGTGTCAACACCTTCACTCCGCTTGTATCAATACCATCCTTTGTTACCACATCTTTAGGGAGGTTGCAACGGTCTAACGCACATTCAAGTGCCCCCCTCCATTGTACACTCGCTCGCGCTTCATGGCTTTCCTTTGAAATTGGGAGGCAAATGCTATTGCTGTCATGGACTACTAAGTTTTCCTCTACTAATACTTATTACATGAAACTTCACCATCGCATCAACTGACGACCACACTTGGAGGTCAAGGCCACTGAAGGCCGTGAGACATTGAATGACGTGATAGAAGAGGTTGGAGCAGAGAAACCCGGATGAAGATTATACGATAGCATGGAAATAATATCTCCGTTAAAAAATAAATATTTTACCTTGTATAAATGAATTATGAATAGTTGTACTTTTAATGAATAAATGATAGTTAGTTATACCTTGAACAAATAATAAATAAATAGGTATACCTTGAATGAATAAATAATGAATAGTTATACCTTGAATAAAAAATGCAGAACAGCTAACTTCTTTAAGTGGCACTGGAAGTTAGTATGATGAGCAAAGGAGATAGTTCTATGGATATATACAACTTCTATATGACAATTAATGCGACGTTTCGGTGTAGATACTAACATCGTTATCAAGCAAGTCAATAGACAATCAACAAATAATGAATAGTTAAACCTAAAATAAATAGTGTTTGTTTGTTTGTTGTTTAACGCCACTCTCAGCAATATTCAAGCTATATGACGACGGTCTGTAAATAATCGAGTCTGGATCAGACAATCCAGTGATTGACACCATAAGCATCGACCGACGCAATTGGGATACGATGGCATGCATCAACCAAGACAGCGAACTTTAAATACATAATGAAAAGCGATACCTTGCAGTTTTGACCGACGCCGTCTCAACGTCAGACAGAGTGCTGTCACACCAAGCCCAGTGACCAGGAGACTGCACACAGTACACACGAGGAGAGTTAACGTGGCATGATGTAGGCTTGGCTGACCATCTGCAATATAAACAGTACTCTGTAGCCTACTATGGTGTTTTCAGCAAAATATATGTTTACCAGTCAGAGGGAGTTCCTGTGAAAATGTTAAAGCTTTAAGGGACTGATACAGGAATTAACTTTCAATCAACAGAATGATTATCGATCACAAAACTCGGTAATGTTTTTGAATGCAAGATGGCGGTCTATACGGTGTTACTCATTCATCACCACTCGTAATCTACATTCGGCTTGTCTCGGAATGGGACGAGTTTGTCACGAATGTGTGGATTGGCTGATTAGAATACCACGACGCTGATTGGTAAATTATAAAGATCCCTTTCGCGATTTCCTTTAAGAAGTCTTCTGATCTTCAAGCAGAGGGGTATCGTAGGACCAGAGACCATATGCCGATATAGGTATATGGCCTGTGGTAGTACTCAAAGATCTAAAGTTAATTAGATTGGTTATCAAATGTGCATACTCTATATCAAAATGCACACTGACCTTGGGAACACTGATGAAGGGTATCCAGCAGACGTATGGTGACTTCATCACTGTACTTGGCAACACCGATGGAACATCGTATCCGGCGACAGTCGTCCAGGTCGGTGATGGTGTGGGTGAGCGTGCTGGCTGCCTGGAGTTCACACTTACTGACCGGGTCCTGGCTCGGACGTTCATGTCTGATCCTTTCCAAGTGTGGGTAATCTGTCCAGCTGTTTGACTCGTTTGCGTTGCGCCACTCCCATCTCCACAAGCTAGAGTTGAATTGGCTGCCAACTCGTCCACTACACCTAATGTGGAGGTCAAGGCCGGTATGATATCGAGAACCACGAGGCGTCACCCTCATGTAAGGGATGTGGGGAGTTGCTGAAACACGGCACAGCTAACTGTTGTATAATGTCCATAGAATAACTTATATTTAAATTACGCATGAAAGGCGGTCTTTGTTAGTGACGCAATAAAATGTATCGAATTTGCCAGCTTATGAATGAGTGAGTGAGTTATTCCATTTATATCACGATGATGCAGGTCTTAGACGTATAACTCTTTAATAAAACCCACGAGCACGTGTATGGTGCTAACGAACCTAGAAATATAATCGGGTCGAACCGGGATTCAAACCCAAAATGATAGGTTTCTGGCATACCCAAGGGACGCAACTCTGCACAGCAAATTGCGGCGCCTTAGACGACTAGGCCACCCGTGCCCCGCCTGCGTATGAAGATACATATATTATCATTCATGTAAATTCAGTTCACACCTTATTCAATTTGTAATATATCTGTCGGGCAGTGGTTACCTGTGACCGTGACATTGCGGTACAACACGTTGGTTCTGTTGTGGGTGGAGTTTGATCTGCAGTAGTATGTCCCTCGGTCATCACACATGAGCTGATACAAGCTGATGTGAATAGAACCACCCACATCAGTGATGATCCCGGAAGAAGAAGCACGTTTTCTTATTGAGTCATCAACAATCTGAGGCCCTCGGTCTCCATGTCGGAGTGTCGCCATCTTTTTTCTCTTGTTATCAAGAATCTTGCCGACCTCCATCGCCTGGATTGCCCTTCCTTCTGGGTGTGAACATGTTAAACTCAGCCGGTTTGTTTGGCCCAGGCCACCAAGTACGATTCGTCCTGGGCTGACTTTGAATGATATGTTAGAATTGGCTGAATAAAAGATAACGAATAATATGTTACTTACTTAATCGGTGGAAATAAAGACTGCGTTATGAAGGTGGGATTTAATCTTTTTAGATGTTCAGTGCCTGGTATTTGTTCCCTCACGGCGCTTGTTTTAAGTGCAGTCAGTCTCTGTTTTCAGAAAACTTCACTTTGATGTATACTACTCAAAAAAAGAAAAGAACATCCGATTCTCCCATCTTACTATAGTAATTTCAAAGAATCTGGTATCATTTTAACTTTAACTGGGTAACATCATTTTGAGTCTTAAAGTCCAGTGAGCTAGCACTATAAAATCTGTCAAGCTTATTATGATGATCTTCTGAGATTCTGTGCCAAGCATGTATTAATTACTTAACCATAACAAGGCGTCTGAATTTCCACGAATCTTCAAAAACGAACTCGAAAATCGTATGAAAAACACATTAACTTACCTGGTTGTTGGTCTGACAAAGTTGTCAACATCAACAATATGGAGATCCAAATTGGCACGTTAGTGTTGATATCCATGCTGTCATTTAACACAAACGCTCTGCAGGTAGTTCAGTCTGTGCTATCCGACAATAGTGTAGCTCTAGTTATATAGCCTTCTCAACGTCCACCGAATTACTTTATGGATGCAATAAAAAGGAGAACAATGTTTCGAATATGATTTATGGTCTGGTGCATGGTTTCCTTAAAATAGGTTTGACTGTAAACAAGTTCAAATACCACTCCAAGTATCGACGTCCGGTCTGGTTTTCTACATGCAAAGCACGTACAACGGTCGGGGCCCCGTTTCACAAAGCGATCGTAGTGCCACGACAGCCGTAAGTCTATACTAGAGTATGGGAGTTACGATCACCTTAGCGCTACGATTGCTTCGTGGAACGGACATTGACACTAACTGATTTGAACTCCAAACCACACTACTACGATATATATCGCGATGCTAAAATCACTATGCACTATTCACCATGCTCCTGACTGCATTTCTATGTTGAAATAGTGAGTGAGTGAGTTAGTTGGGTTACACCCAAGAGATGCAACTCTGGTATCGGCAGGATGCCTCATATTCTATTGTATTTGACTAACTAGTCTTCGCTAAAGCGAAAATGTAATATTGTTATTACCTGGAATAAAACCTTGACAAATAATGTGCGAAGGTACTCCGCTGGAGTGGCTAAGTTTATTTAGTTTATTTCAAACCATTGAAAGCACTTAAAACATTTGTAATTGGATCACTGAGTGAGTGAGTGAGTTTGGTTTAACACCGCTTTTAACAGTATTACAGTTATATCACGACCTGTCAGCTTAATGTGGGAGAAAAGCCTGAAGTGATGCAGGTCTCAGACGTTTACCACTTCGGTGAAACCCACGAGCACGGGTATGGTGCTGACAAACCTAGAAACATAATCGGCGTGAAATGGGATTCGAACCCACAATCATCGATTTCTGGCGTGCCCAAGGAACGCAACTCTGCACAGCAAAATCGCAGCACCTTACAGACGACTGGGCCCCCAACTGGATCACTGAAGTGCTGTGTTATTGTAGGAATTCAAGTAGGAATACCAACTGGATCACTGAAGTGCTGTGTTATTGTAGGGATTCAAGTAGGAATACCAATTGGATCACTGAAGTGCTGTGTTATTGTAGGAATTCAAGTAGGAATACCAACTGGATCACTGAAGTACTGTGTTATTGTAGGAATTCAAGTAGGAATACCAACTGGATCACTGAAGTGCTGTGTTATTGTAGGAATTCAAGTAGGAATACCAACTGGATCACTGAAGTACTGTGTTATTGTAGGGATTCAAGTAGGAATACCAACTGAATCACTGAAGTGCTGTGTTATTGTAGGGATTCAAGTAGGAATACCAACTGGATCACTGAAGTACTGTGTTATTGTAGGAATTCAAGTAGGAATACCAACTGGATCACTGAAGTACTGTGTTATTGTAGGGATTCAAGTAGGAATACCAACTGGATCACTGAAGTATTGTGTTATTGTAGGAATTCAAGTAGGAATACCAACCTGGATCACTGAAGTGGTGTGTTATTGTAGGGATTCAAGTAGGAATACCTCTCACTCGGTGGAATGTGCTTTGTCAGTCCATATTCTCGTTTTTAGCAGGAAATTATTGACTCTTTTGCAACTGGTCATTTAATTATTGGTGTTTATACTGGAATGAAAAAGAGTTGTGAAGGCTGCCTCAGAAAGTTTGACCTACTTTATAATGATGGATATGAAGGATAGTTATCAAGGTTTGGGCCAAGCAAAGTATGTATCTCCCCCCAAGTCATTGAGGTAGCCAGCCTCCTTGGGTGGATCAGGTTGTCCGGATGGCTGACTTAGTTGATTGTGTGTCATCCTACTTAATGGCATGGCATGGGATGTCACTTATAACATCAACCACATCAATAGTTTCATGTCGCCATGTTATACCTTGAATATTGCTGTCAAACACATAAAAGTCGGTTCCAAGTTTAGTACATCAACACAAAAAATCAACAAACTTCATGATTACTGGAAAATGTCTTTACTATCATACCGGTGGTACAAACTCAGATGCTGACAATTTCCTGATAGATGTAACACGTTAACAAAATATTTATAAATTATCATAGTCATAAATATCATACACAAACATTGTTTTAGTTTCTTCAGATAAAGCTGTCTACAAAAAAAACAGAATCTTTCAACCCAAAAGTTAGAAATAGTACCAGTCACACGTTTCAACTAATGAAAGTACCGAAATTAATGTTCCACGTGTCAACTCTTGGACGAGTGATTTGTTTTCTGAAGTTGACATATGACATGACGAACTGGGCAAACATCATGACACATATATCCTGAAACATGTTCTTTTTAAGAAGTACATTACTCTGAGAATTAATTTCATCAAGAAACTAACTGCCTTGAATACATTTCAATAATAAAGTGGTGCTCTTTCAGGATCAAAACATCAATTTAATGAATCACATTTATAATAACCACAAAATGAGAATATGAATGAATGCATCAGTGATAGTAAAACTGCTTTATTAATGATAAAAACAAGCAAGATCAGGATTTTTTTTCATGTTTTACAAAGAATGAAAATGATTTATTGATTTTTAATACATAAAAATGCAGAATCACAAATAAAGATCTTTTTCTTGGATTTTTCTAAATGCATATCCTACAATGCCACTTTTCAATGATTGTTTACAAGTGTTGAGGCTTGTGGTCGGTGAAGATCTCCCTGTGCAAATTACAATTATGAATGAAAACACAGTTTCCTATACATTTCATTGAGTAAGGAAATAGCTTTCATTGGAGTCAGTGACAAGGTCAGGGTTGCCCACTGTTGCCATGGCTACATAATCGTTGTTCGCAAACATGTGTTGCTTTTGGTGGTTCACGTTGAATCGCCTCTCTTGGACTTTTTCCACGCTTGTATTTTCTTCTTTAGTTCAAGGTCTGTAAGTAAAAGCATGGAACCAAGATATTTGACTGGCACAAAGGATGTGGAAAACAGAATATGGGTGCTGCAGGTATAGAAGAATTTTACTATTTATTTGTCCGTAGACAAGTTGGATATTCTGCAAAACCATAAATGAATAGACACATACCACATACATTACACATGCATACATATACACATACACATGCATACATATACACATACACATGCATACATATACATATGCATACATATTCACATGCATACATATTCACATACACATGCATACATATACACATACATACACATGCATACATATACACATACATACACATGCATACACATACACATGCATACATATACACATACACATGCATACATACACATATACACATAAATACGTATAGACATACACATAGACATACATACGCATAGACATACACATAGACATACAAATAGACATACATACGCATAGACATACACATAGACATACATACGCAGACATACACATAGACATACACATAGACATACATACACATAGACATACATACACATAGACATACACATAGACATACATACGCATAGACATACACATAGACATACACATAGACATACATACGCATAGACATACATACACATAGACATACACATAGACATACATACGCATAGACATACACATAGACATACACATAGACATACATACACATAGACATACACATAGACATACACATAGACATACATACACATAGACATACACATAGACATACATACGCATAGACATACACATAGACAAACATACGCAGACATACACATAGACATACATACGCATAGACATACATACACATAGACATACACATAGACATACATACGCAGACATACACATAGACATACATACGCATAGACATACACATACACATACATACGCATAGACATACACAGACATACGCATAGACATACATACGCATAGACATACATACGCATAGACATACATACGCATAGACATACATACGCATAGACACACACATAGACATACACATAGACATACATACGCATAGACATACATACGCATAGACATACACATAGACATACATACGCATAGACATACACATAGACATACATACGCATAGACATACACAGACATATGCATAGACACACACATAGACATACATACACATAGACACACACATAGACATACATACTCATAGACATACACATAGACATACATACTCATAGACATACACATAGACATACATACATATATACATACATATACACATGCATACATATACACATGCATACATATACACATACATACATATACACATACACATGCATACATATACACATACATACATATACACATACATACATATACACATACATACATATACACATGCATACATATACACATACATACATATACACATACATACATATACACATACACATGCATACATATACACATGCATACATATACACATGCATACATATACACATACATACATATACACATACACATGCATACATATACACATACATACATATACACATACATACATATACACATACATACATATACACATGCATACATATACACATACATACATATACACATGCATACATATACACATGCATACATATACACATACATACATGCATACATATACACATGCATACATAAACACATGTATACATATACACATACATACATATACACATACATACATATACACATACATACATATACACATGCACACATATACACATGCATACATATACACATACACACAAATACACATGCATACATATACACATACACATGCATACATATACACATACACATGCATACATATACACATACATACATATACACATGCATACATATACACATGCATACATATACACATACATACATGCATACATATACACATGCATACATAAACACATGTATACATATACACATACATACATATACACATACATACATATACACATACATACATGCATACATATACACATGCATACATATACACATGTATACATATACACATACATACATATACACATACATACATATACACATACATACATATACACATGCACACATATACACATGCATACATATACACATACACACAAATACACATGCATACATATACACATACACATGCATACATATACACATGCATACATATACACATGCATACATATACACATACATACACATATACACATGCATACATATACACATACATACATATACACATGCATACATATACACATGCATACATATTCACATGCATACACATGCATACACATACACATATAGCCATGCATACACACATACATGCACATGCACATGCACATGCACATGCACATGCACATACATATACACATACACATACACATACACATATACATACACATACATACGAGGGATGTTCAATAACTTTTGCAACTTGGGCATTTGTGTTTACACAAACAATGTCAACTTGTGGCAGGTGTGACACTAGTCATAACATAAGGTTGACACGTGTTATAACAAGTTCCAGACACAACAATAAGCTAAATGTGATGGCTTCATTCACCTAAGGGTGGTCACAATCATTGATTCTCTCAAACATCAACAACGGGTTGTAAAAAAGATCCTTACCAAGGACGGATGCAAAGCAAAAGAAATCCATGATAGCATTTGTTAAGTGATGAGTAAGGATGCTCTTGACTATTCCACAGTTTGCCGTTGGTCTCTACAGTTTAAAAGGGGTAGGGAGTCCATAGACGATGACCCAAGGTCAGGCAGGCCTTCAGATGCCCCCCAACCATTGCTGCTATAGAAAGAAGTATTTTGTCTGACCGACGAGTGAAAGTATCCAAACTTTCTAGGGAATTCCAAATATCAGTTGGAACTGTTGCAACCATTATTCATGAGCATCTTGGTATGTCCAAGGTATCTCTAAGATGGGTACCTAGAAACCCCAGAGCTCAAGATCGCCATCAGAGAACTGAAAGTTGTCAAGATCTCCTGGATCTCTATACTGCTGATGAAGCCGGATTTCTTTCTTGTCTAGTGACAGGTGATGAAACATGGATCCACCACTGGGACCCAGAAAGTAAATTGGAATCCATGCCATGGAAGCACCCCAATTCTCTGCTTCCGTTTCGCACTCAACCATTGGCTGGCTAGATAATGGCCACCATATTTTGGGATGCAAGAGGCATATTACTGATTGATTACATGCCACCAAATACTACAATCAATGGACAGTATTATGCTAGTGTAATGAAAGAATTGCTAAAATCTTTTCGCTAGAAATACCAGGGGATGTTAACACGTGGTATTCTCCTTTTGCATGACAACGCCCCGGTTCCAAAATCGAGAATTGCACAGGCCCCCATATGTGAATGTGGATTCAAACAGTTAAATCACCCACCCTACAGCCCAGACATAGCCCCCAGTGACTATTTCCTGTTCCAGCTAATGAAATCTGCCCTACGTGGAAGACGCTTCCAGGATGACGAGGACATAAACGCTGCCACAGAGGCGTGGTTAGAAGGCCAATCTGCAGATTTCTTTTAAAGTGGTATTAAAAGCTTGAAGGACAAATGGAATAAGTGTATTGAGGTGAATTGAGATTATATTGAAAAAAAGATATTCTGCGACTTGGTCTTATATTGAAGTTGCAAAACGTATTGAACGCCCCTCGTACACATACGCATATGCATACGCATACGCATACGCATACGCATACACATACACATACGCATACGCATACGCATACACATACAGGATTTACTTGTACAGAGAAATCAACTTGGAAGGCATGTTCAAGTTTTAATAAAGAGACATTACCTTGGGAACATTTTAGAGTAACGTATGTAAAACAGAACACCATCAGGTTTCCCGACAACTGATGGGGGCTCAACAGCACCTGGTAGTTTGAAAGTGACTAGCTGCATGACAACGGCAAGAACTAGCCACCAAGAGATAACCCCATATCAGTTGTGCACATTTGCTCCGATCTGTTGATATCAAGCACTTGACCCAGGTTACACACCAGGTGTGTGTCACATATTCTATCAGTTTTTATTGATGTCAACATTTGACATGGTGGCACGTGGTCCTGTGCACAGCATAGAGGTGAAGTTAAGCAACATTTGTCGCGGCAAGTCCTTAGATGGGTGACCGTGTTCAGTAGCTTGGCTCTGGAGTTTCTAGGGCTTCAGGCCTGCATAAACACTGAAGCACATGTAATACATCTGTTCACCCAGCAGTGAATGGGTACCCAGTAGGATGAGATGGGAATGTGGCTGTTAACCTTCTGGTGCATCACAGGCTGCATGGGTTGTATACTCCCAAGGGAGAAGAGAATGATTGTTGAGTGCAAAATGATCCATTCACCGGGGTAATAACTGCGCCTTGAGCAACCACAGACGATGGAAAACAGTGCCTGACAAATGAATTTATTATTATTGTTATTACTATCATTATTATTGATGTACTAGCCATATACAGCTGCCACTGTGGCACCCACCTGGTGTTAGCTGCTCCTCTGTGAGGGGCTGTCGGTTGAAGGGGTCAGTCTGTGAGTTGAGGAGGTGGCGGATGATGATCGGCCGGTCCATGATGTGACCACTGGGCAGTAATACTGGGTCCTCCATCAGAGTGTCCATCAACGGGTCTACAACACCATCAACATTCCATTTGTCAGCTCTTTGCATTAGGACTAAGACATATCATCATCATATCAACTCAGTTTTAAGATATATTACTGATCTAATGCCTTTGTTAAGTTCCAACATCAGAACATGATTGCTCTCCAACCAGTCTTCACTTAAATAAATATTAAGAGAAGTAAACAACCGATGAACATAAAGAGGAAATATAGATGGGGTATATTAAATTGTTTAAGATTTCCTGATACCTTTAAATTCATCTGGTATGTCACCATAGTCTAACTCTGCTTTTGTTTTCTGTGTTACAAGATCATCCACACTGTTCTGGAGCTGACGGAACTTGGTAATCTCTGCCTCTGTCTTTATACAAGCTTTGATCATCCGTAACACAGCATCTTCAAACAGTTCCTTCCTGTAGGATCTCTGCAAACATAATAAGGAACTAGAAAGTGTTTTTACTCGTAAAAACATATGTCTCCCCCCACTCCCCTAACCCCCATTCATTCGTTTACTTCACGTTAAACCCCATCTCTTCATTCCCACCCTCCATTACTAAATAACAGAGACAAAAATAGAACTCCTAGAAATTTCAAACAACTAATGGGCACCACTTCAGTGCTGGGTTAATGTGTATACAAAGTTTCGCGAAAAAATATTAAACGGTTTCTGAGTTATGGTCAGGAAACAAAGCTTACCCCCATTCAGAGCTTTGTTCAACTTATCTCCATGGAAACGAGAAAAAATAAAAATGTCAAAAATCTGTAAATAGCAAAAGGCACCACTTCAGTGCTGGGTTAATGTGTATACAAAGTTTCTCGAAAAAATATTAAACGGTTTCTGAGTTATGGTCAGGAAACAAAGCTTACCCCCATTCAGAGCCTATGTTCAACTTATCTCCATGGAAACGAGAAAAAATAAAAATGTCAAAAATCTCTAAATAGCAAAAGGCACCACTTCAGTGCTGGGTTAATGTGTATACAAAGTTTCGCGAAAAAATATTAAACGGTTTCTGAGTTATGGTCAGGAAACAAAGCTTACCCCCATTCAGAGCCTATGTTCAACTTATCTCCATGGAAACGAGAAAAAATAAAAATGTCAAAAATCTCTAAATAGCAAAAGGCACCACTTCAGTGCTGGGTTAATGTGTATACAAAGTTTCGCGAAAAAATATTAAACGGTTTCCGAGTTATGGTCCGGAAACCAAGCTTACCCCCATTCAGAGTCTGTTCAAGTTATCTCCATGGAAACGAGAAAAATAAAAATGTCAAAAATCTCTAAATAGCAAAAGGCACCACTTCAGTGCTGGGTTAATGTGTATACAAAGTTTCGCGAAAAAATATTAAACGGTTTCCGAGTTATGGTCTGGAAACCAAGCTCACCCCCATTCAGAGTCTATGTTCAAGTTATCTCCATGGAAACGAGAAAAAATAAAAATGTCAAAAATCTGTAAATAGCAAAAGGCACCACTTCAGTGCTGGGTTAATGTGTATACAAAGTTTCGCGAAAAAATATTAAACGGTTTCTGAGTTATGGTCAGGAAACAAAGCTTACCCCCATTCAGAGCCTATGTTCAAGTTATCTCCATGGAAACGAGAAAAAATAAAAATGTCAAAAATCTGTAAATAGCAAAAGGCACCACTTCAGTGCTGGGTTAATGTGTATACAAAGTTTCCCGAAAAAATATTAAACGGTTTCCGAGAAATGGTCCGGAAACCAAGCTTACCCCCATTCAGAGTCTATGTTCAAGTTATCTCCATGGAAACGAGAAAAAATAAAAATGTCAAAAATCTCTAAATAGTAAAAGGCACCACTTCAGTGCTGGGTTAATGTGTATACAAAGTTTCGCGAAAAAATATTAAACGGTTTCTGAGTTATGGTCCGGAAACGGTGGGAACGCAGACGCCGACGCCAACGCCGAAGCCGACGCCGACGCCGACGGGAACTGTGCCAAAAACAATATGTCTCCCTCCGTTCTGGGGGAGACATAATGACCATATGAGATGTCAGTCAGTAGCAGGATAGAGGATGGCCGCGCGAGATGTCAGTCAGTAGCAGGATAGAGGATGACCATGTGAGATGTCAGTCAGTAGCAGGATAGAGGATGACCATGTGAGATGTCAGTCAGTAGCAGGATAGAGGATGACCATGTGAGATGTCAGTCAGTAGCAGGATAGAGGATGGCCGTGTGATGTCAGTCAGTAGCAGGATAGAGGATGACCATGTGAGATGTCAGTCAGTAGCAGGATAGAGGATGACCATGTGAGATGTCAGTCAGTAGCAGGATAGAGGATGACCATGTGAGATGTCAGTCAGTAGCAGGATAGAGGATGACCATATCAGATGTCAGACAGTAGCAGGATAGAGGATGACCACATGAGATGTCAGTCAGCAGCAGGATAGAGGATGACCACCTGAGATGTCAGTCAGTAGCACGATAGAGGATGACCATATGAGATGTCAGTCAGTAGCACGATCAGGGATGGCCGTGTGAGATGTCAGTCAGTAGCAGGATAGAGGATGACCGTGTGAGATGTCAGTCAGTAGCACGATAGAGGATGACCGTGTGAGATATCAGTCAGTAACAGAATAAGGGATGTCCTTGTGAGATGTCAGTCAGTAACCGAATAAGGGATGGCCTTGTGAGATGTCAGTCAGTAACAGAATAAGGGATGGCCGTATGAGATGTCAGTCAGTAACAGAATCAGGGATGGACGTGTGAGATGTCAGTCAGTAACAGAATAAGGGATGGACGTGTGAGATGTCAGTCAGCTTCACGATCAGGGATGGACGTGTGAGATGTCAGTCAGTTACACGATCAGGGATGGGCGTGTGAGATGTCAGTCAGTAACAGAATAAGGGATGGCCTTGTGAGATGTCAGTCAGTACCAGAATAAGGGATGGCCGTGTGAGATGTCAGTCAGTAACAGAATAAGGGATGGCCGTGTGAGATGTCAGTCAGTAACAGAATAAGGGATGGCCGTATGAAACGTCAGTCAGTAACAGAATAAGGGATGGCCTTGTGAGATGTCAGTCAGTAACAGAATAAGGGATGGCCGTGTGAGATGTCAGTCAGTTACACGATCAGGGATGGACGTGTGAGATGTCAGTCAGTACCAGAATAAGGGATGGTCGTGTGAAACCTCAGTCAGTAACAGGATGAAGCATGGAGGGATGGCCGTGTGAGATGTCAGTCAGTAACAGGATCAGGGATGGCCGTGTGAGATGTCAGTCAGTAACACGATCAGGGATGGCCGTGTGAGATGTCAGTCAGTAACAGGATCAGGGATGGCCGTGTGAGATGTCAGTCAGTAACACGATCAGGGATGGCCGTGTGAGATGTCAGTCAGTAACAGAATAAGGGATGGCCGTGTGAGAAATAGGATCAGGGATGGCCATCAAAGCAGTAATGTCCATGGACATTTAGTTCAAGTCTGATCTCTCGGAGTGGCCATACAGTCTACAACTACTCACCTCATCATTGGCTATAGCCTTTGCAAAGTCTTCACAGTCGAGGTGCAGGTAGATGTCGGTCAGGCTGTTGAGCAGCTTCTTGGGCTCCCAGCCATACTTCTCTTGGTTCTTCACCTTCAGATTCTTACACTTGGAGCCACAAAGTTGCTGCAGGTTAAAGTTCAACATTGCTGCCAGTCGGTCTGCTAGTTCCTAAAACATAGCAAACAAGTAAGTCCTGGTCCCTCATTCAATATTGTCCAAGCCAAGACAAAACGACTGTTCTAAGAGGATACTGATAATCACAGAGAACCAAGTGCAATAATTGTATTCCTGTGAAAAAACTTACTGGTATGAGGAAGGGGCGCTGTATTTTTTCTGTGAGATAGTGAAACATGTCAACTGTCTCTGTGGCTAGTGTTAGATAGGACCGACATTGGCGTTCATCCATAGCTAGCTGTCTTTGTCGAGACTGTTGTTGATCCTGAAATGTATCACAAAATATATCAAAACTTGTGAAACAAATGAGGCAAAAACTAGAAGAGTGTGAGTATGTTAGCTGAGATGTGTAGGGAATGGTTGGAGGTAGTGGACAGGGACGGGGTATGAACATTGGCTCAAATGGCTAGAGATGTTTCATGGTGAGGGTAGAGATGTTTCATGGTGAGGGTAGAGATGTTTCAGGGTGAGAGTAGAGATGTTTCAGGGTGAGGGTAGAGAGATCGATGAGGTAGAGATACAGGTGTGGGTAGAGAGATGGATGAGGGTAGAGAGATGGAAGCGAGTAGAAGGGTGTGGGTAGGGAGATGGGTGAGGGTAGAGAGATGGATGAGGTAGAGATACAGGTGTGGGTAGAGAGATGGATGAGGGTAGAGAGATGGGTGAGGGTAGAAGGGTGTGGGTAGAGAGATGGGTGCGGGTAGAAGGGTGTGGGTAGGGAGATGGGTGGGGGTAGAAGGGTGTGGGTAGGGAGATGTGTGAGGGTAGAGAGAGGGTGATGTAGAGATACAGGTGAGGGTAAAGAGAAGGGTGAGGGTAGAGAGATGGGTGTGGGTAGAGAGAGGGTGAGGTAGAGATACAGGTGAGGGTAGAGAGATGGGTGAGGGTAGAAACATGGATGAGGGTAGAGAGATGGATGAGGGTAGAGAGATGGATGAGGGTAGAGAGATGGGTGTGGGTAGAGAGATGGGTGAGGGTAGAAACATGGATGAGGGTAGAGAGATGGATGAGGGTAGAAACATGGATGAGGGTAGAGAGATGGATGAGGGTAGAGAGATGGATGAGGGTAGAGAGATGGATGAGGGTAGAGAGATGGATGAGGGTAGAGAGATGGGTGAGGGTAGAGAGATGGGTGAGGGTAGAAAATGGATGAGGGTAGAGAGATGGATGAGGGTAGAGAGATGGGTGAGGGTAGAGAGATGGTTGAGGGTAGAGAGATGGTTGAGGGTAGAAACATGGATGAGGGTAGAGAGATGGGTGAGGGTAGAGACATGGGTGAGGGTAGAGAGATGGATGAGGGTAGAGAGATGGGTGAGGGAAGAAACATGGTTGAGGGTAGAGAGATGGTTGAGGGTAGAAACATGGATGAGGGTAGAGAGATGGGTGAGGGTAGAGACATGGGTGAGGGTAGAGAGATGGATGAGGGTAGAGAGATGGGTGAGGGTAGAAACATGGATGAGGGTAGAGAGATGGGTGAGGGTAGAAACATGGATGAGGGTAGAGAGATGGGTGAGGGTAGAGAGATGGGTGAGGGTAGAGAGATGGGTGAGGGTAGAAACATGGATGAGGGTAGAGAGATGGGTGAGGGTAGAGAGATGGGTGAGGGTAGAAATATGGATGAGGGTAGAGAGATGGGTGAGGGTAGAGAGATGGGTGAGGGTAGAAACATGGATGAGGGTAGAGAGATGGGTGAGGGTAGAGAGATGGGTGAGGGTAGAAACATGGATGAGGGTAGAGAGATGGGTGAGGGTAGAGAGATGGGTGAGGGTAGAAATATGGATGAGGGTAGAGAGATGGGTGAGGGTAGAGAGATGGGTGAGGGTAGAAACATGGATGAGGGTAGAGAGATGGGTGAGGGTAGAGAGATGGGTGAGGGTAGAAACATGGATGAGGGTAGAGAGATGGGTGAGGGTAGAGAGATGGGTGAGGGTAGAAACATGGATGAGGGTAGAGAGATGGGTGAGGGTAGAGAGATGGGTGAGGGTAGAAACATGGATGAGGGTAGAGAGATGGTTGAGGGTGGAGAGATGGGTGAGGGCAGAGAGATGGGTGAGGGTAGAAACATGGATGAGGGTAGAGAGATGGATGAGGGTAGAGAGATGGGTGAGGGTAGAAACATGGATGAGGGTAGAGAGATGGTTGAGGGCGGAGAGATGGGTGAGGGTAGAAACATGGATGAGGGTAGAGAGATGGATGAGGGTAGAGAGATGGGTGAGGGTAGAAACATGGATGAGGGTAGAGAGATGGATGAGGGTAGAGAGATGGTTGAGGGTAGAGAGATGGTTCAGGGTAGAAACATGGATGAGGGTAGAGAGATGGTTGAGGGTGGAGAGATGGGTGAGGGCAGAGAGATGGGTGAGGGTAGAAACATGGATGAGGGTAGAGAGATGGATGAGGGTAGAGAGATGGGTGAGGGTAGAAACATGGATGAGGGTAGAGAGATGGGTGAGGGTAGAGAGATGGGTGAGGGTAGAAACATGGATGAGGTTAGAGAGATGGGTGAGGGTAGAAACATGAATGAGGGTAGAGAGATGGATGAGGGTAGAGAGATGGATGAGGGAAGAGAGATGGGTGAGGGTAGAAACATGGATGAGGGTAGAGTGATGGATGAGGGAAGAGAGATGGGTGAGGGTAGAAACATGGATGAGGGTAGAGAGATGGGTGAGATAGAGATGGGTGAGGGTAGAAACATGAATGAGGGAAGAGAGATGGGTGAGGGTAGAGACATGGATGAGGGTAGAGAGATGGGTGAGGGTAGAGAGATGGATGAGGGTAGAGAGATGGATGAGGGAAGAGAGATGGATGAGGGAAGAGAGATGGGTGAGGGTAGAAACATGGATGAGGGTAGAGAGATGGATGAGGGTAGAGAGATGGGTGAGGGTAGAGAGATGGATGAGGGTAGAGAGATGGATGAGGGAAGAGAGATGGATGAGGGTAGAGAGATGGGTGAGATAGAGATGGGTGAGGGTAGAAACATGAATGAGGGTAGAGAGATGGATGAGGGTAGAGAGATGGATGAGGGAAGAGAGATGGGTGAGGGTAGAAACATGGATGAGGGTAGAGAGATGGATGAGGGAAGAGAGATGGGTGAGGGTAGAAACATGGATGAGGGTAGAGAGATGGGTGAGATAGAGATGGGTGAGGGTAGAAACATGAATGAGGGAAGAGAGATGGGTGAGGGTAGAGACATGGATGAGGGTAGAGAGATGGGTGAGGGTAGAGAGATGGATGAGGGTAGAGAGATGGATGAGGGAAGAGAGATGGATGAGGGAAGAGAGATGGGTGAGGGTAGAAACATGGATGAGGGAAGAGAGATGGATGAGGGTAGAGAGATGGGTGAGGATAGAAACATTGATGAGGAAAGAGAGATGGGTGAGGGTAGAGAGATGGGTGAGGGTAGAGAGATGGGTGAGGGTAGAAACATGGATGAGGGTAGAAAATTGATGAGGGTAGAGAGATGGATGAGGGTAGAGAGATGGATGAGGGTAGACAGATGGGTGAGGGTAGAAACATGGATGAGGGTAGAGAGATGGGTGAGGGTAGAAACATGGATGAGGGTAGAGAGATGGGTGAGGGTAGAGAGATGGGTGAGGGTAGAGAGATGGGTGAGGGTAGAAACATGGATGAGGGTAGAGAGATGGGTGAGGGTAGAAACATGGATGAGGGTAGAGAGATGGGTGAGGGTAGAGAGATGGGTGAGGGTAGAGAGATGGGTGAGGGTAGAAACATGGATGAGGGTAGAAAATTGATGAGGGTAGAGAGATGGATGAGGGTAGAGAGATGGATGAGGGTAGAGAGATGGGTGAGGGTAGAAACATGGATGAGGGTAGAGAGATGGATGAGGGTAGAGAGATGGATGAGGGTAGAGAGATGGATGAGGGTAGAGAGATGGGTGAGGGTAGAAACATGGATGAGGGTAGAGAGATGGATGAGGGTAGAGAGATGGATGAGGGTAGAAACATGGATGAGGGTAGAGAGATGGGTGAGGATAGAGAGATTGTTAAAAGTAGAAATGTTTAAGGATGAGGGTACAGATGTTTGAGGGTGATGATAGGGAAAGGTTGTAGTGTGATGATAGGGAGAGGTTGTAGTGTGATTATAGGGAGAGGTTGTTGGGTGATGATAGGGAGAGGTTGTAGTTTGATGATAGGGAGAGGTTGTTGGGTGATGATAGGGAGAGGTTGTTGGGTGATGATTGGGAGAGGTTGTAGGGTGATGATAGGGAGAGGTTGTAGGGTGATGACAGGGAGAGGTTGTTGGGTGATGATAGGGAGAGGTTGTAGGGTGATGATAGGGAGAGGTTGTAGTGTGATGATAGGGAGAGGTTGTAGTTTGATGATAGGGAGAGGTTGTAGGGTGAAGATAGGGAGAGGTTGTTGGGTGATGATAGGGAGAGGTTGTTGGGTGATGATAGGGAGAGGCTGTAGGATGATGATAGGGAGAGGTTGTAGGGTGATGATAGGGAGAGGTTGTAGGGTGATAATATGGAGAGGTTGTTGGGTGATGATAAGGAGAGGCTGTAGGATGATGATAGGGAGAGGCTGTAGGGTGATGATAGGGAGAGGTTGTAGGGTGATGATAGGGAGAGGCTGTAGGGTGATGATAGGGAGAGGTTGTAGGGTGATGATAGGGAGAGGTTGTAGGGTGATGATAGGGAGAGGTTGTAGGGTGATGATAGGGAGAGGTTGTTGGGTGATGATAGGGAGAGGTTGTAGGGTGATGATAGGGAGAGGTTGTAGGGTGAAGATAGGTGAGGTGAGGTGAAATTGGGTTTAACATCGCGTCCAAGATTATTGCACTTATATAGCGACGTGCATGCACGTGTATGTGTGTGTGTGGCTGCTTGTACTAGTCCGGACTGATGCCGATTTATAGTGCTAGCTCACTGAGATACCATGCCGCAGTTTCACATGAATACCCCACTCAGACACAGTATACTGACTCCGAGCCGACCAGTCCTTGTTTTAGCCCCTTAATGCCGAGCGGCAGACAGGGTAACAACAAGTACAATCTTTTAACGTCTTTTTGTATGACGCGGCCCGGGATCGAACCCTGGACCTTCCACTCTCCGGGCGGACGCTCTACCACAAGACCACAGAGGCGGTCAGGGTGAAGATAGGGAGAGGTTGTTGGTTGATGATAGGGAGAGGTTGTAGGGTGATGATAGGGAGAGGTTGTAGGGTGATGATAGGGAGAGGTTGTTGGGTGATGATAGGGAGAGGCTGTAGGATGTTGATAGGGAGAGGCTGTAGGGTGATGATAGGGAGAGGTTGTAGGGTGAAGATAGGGAGAGGTTGTAGGGTGATGATAAGGAGAGGTTGTAGGGTGATGATAGGGAAAGCTTGTTGGTCGACTGATAGGGAGAGGCTGTAGGATGATGATAGGGAGAGGTTGTAGGGTGATGATAGGGAAGGAGTTGCAGATGTTGTCTGAGGTGGTTTGAGAGCATATACTTATTTGAATGAAGCTGAATTTCACCTTTGGCTGGGCATCCCACTGAGCCTTGTTGTCCATGAGCTCCTGGACTTCGTGGATTCTTTTCAGACAGTCCAAACTCTCGTCCAGCAAGAAGGTGGTGTCATTCATCAACATGTTAACAAACTTTACAAAGTGCTTGTTGTTACTGAAACAGGAAAATAGAAGAACTGTAGCTTGCCTATTTACACATTTACACAAAACGAAATAATTTAAACTGTTATTTCTTTCTACTTGATGATGAATACTGAATAAAAGTACAAGGTACAAAATCACAAAGCCTGCAAAATCATTTCCAATTAAGGACAAATAGAATATATTGTGGGAATATATACTGATACATGTAAAGTCTTTAAAGATTGACACATGACTGACCGGACAACAGTCAAAGCTTCAAGACACAGATTCACACTGACTTGGTCAGGTTGAGCTGACAGAAGACTGCTAGAATCAAGAGTTTTTAGTTATTGACATTGACCCTTCCTGATCAAATACAACTTTGTGAGGTGAGTGTCTTACTTTGCCTCTTCCACGAGTCGCGACTGATGGGCCGGCATGCCCCACATTGTCTTGAAGATGATACTCAGGTGATATCTGATGGTGAACTTGTCATAGAATTCACTACTGGCACCGGTTGTTTCAATTTCTGCAACAAAATTCAATTTCACATATGATGTTCATTACGTACCCTGACGCTAATCTTTGACCAAGCATTTTGCTCAGACAAGGTACACATCCTTAAATCAAGTATTCTACCACTTGGCTCATTTGTCGATCAGTGGTTTCAAACCACTATAAACCCTGTTTGAAAAAGGTGACTTAACAGATAATTCACTGTGGAGGCTAATATTTCTGGGAAAAACTACTCAATCCATCATGGACAGTACCCTGTTCCAAATACTGATATACACTAAAGTAGGTTATAAAACAACACTGCACAGCAACTACCATATTTTCTTGAGTATAGTGCGCACCCAAGTATAATGCGCACCCCCCTCTAACGAATTCAGTATTTTGGAGAAAAAAAAATGAATATAATGCGCAGAAAAAAATTACACTGTACCCCTTCAGCGAATTCCGGTAAACGAACGGGCGATGAGAAACTTGGTCAGTACAAATTTGAAATTAAAGATAAAAAAATCACCAGACATGTTGATTTACCGTTTAAATTGTATTTTTTTGTTCTGCTAGGCATTGTTTTACATCCAGGAATTAAGATTACCTTGTGTATTTTATCGTAAACTAAGCCGGAAACAGCAATCAGCTGTACACACATTTTCTTGGAATCTACCGGTGATTCGGTCAAGACACACCCAATGATAGAACTTTACAGGATTTTAATGCAAGGATTGGCAAAAATTGTATCTGAAACTATTTTTTTTTATCAGGAATAATATATTTCAATATCTTGTTATTTTAGTTATAATTATAACCCAAAGCGAAGCAGCTGATCGCTATTGACGGTTATTATTTTTTACATGGAACCAGTTTGAATTGAATTGAGTTTGAACCAGGAATTTTTAATAAAATTTATGAAATAAGTAACAAACATAAGTCCAGATATACAAAGTATACTATTTATAGCCAGACTGTGTTATTACATGAATAATTTGCGTACTTTAGTATGGATTTGTTGACATGGCAGTTCCAGGGTTACGTGCTCACGGTAATGTCTTTCCATTTGGGGAAAAAAACATCCAAACTCTTTATTGCGTGTATAAAGCGCACCCCCTTCTACACAGCTGTGTTGTTTTGGAAAAAAAGTGTGCACTATACTCAAGAAAATACAGTTCATGTGTCAACAGGAGATAGCGTATACTTAATTCACTAGAAAGATCAACAAGAGTTTGCCACTAACGTGGCTATATCCCCCGCCCCTGTTGCAGAATTTATGACATAATTAATCTAAATAAATCCTAACCTTTTTTAACCGAGGTGGAACTTGTCATGGAAATTGTAAAAAAAAGAAGAGTTTGGAACCTAAGTCCATCTTGTTGCCGTGGAAACGTAACAAAATGGGTTTTTCAGATTAAAAACAATGTTTTATTGGTCTGTTTTCAGTCGTACAAATGGGTATCTCTCATACCCTCACATCTAGAGCACGTTTAAGAGGAAGCCAGAACCTGGAATGTAAACATTAAACTTGTTTCCGTCCGGTTGCGCACGCACCTCCCTATGACATGTCACAAATCTCGAAGAATAAGCCATCAAGCAGGACTGGACTGGATTACTTCCCTGTGGGGATGGCTTGGTGGAAACGTACGACTGAAAACAGACCAATAAAACATCGTTTAATCTGAAAAACCCATGTTTTAGTCTGTTTTCAGTCGTACAAATGGGTAGAATTCGACGGAACACTGGAAGGAGGGTCGGGAAATTAATCAGGCAGTGACCTCTTCCACATCGAATGTACCAAGTTCCTCACCCCTGTAGTGACAATAGAACATTCGACCAGATGCACGGACGAGACAAGTTGTTTATCACGAACGCACAGCATGGTTAATGCTCTTCGACACACAACTAATTATCGATGCAAGCAGGACAACTGCATGCGTCAGTTGAACTGCGATCGAAGTGTGGTCGACTAATAGTTTAGTTACAGAGCAACTCGCAGTATACAAGGTAACTAAAACAGCATGTTTAATGCTCTTCAACACACAACTAATTATCGATGCGACAGGACAACTGCACACGTCAGTTGAACCGCGATCGAAGTGAGGTCAGCGCATAATTTAGTTACAGAGCAACTCGCCATAGTCAAGGTAACTAAAAATAGCATGGTTAATGCTCTTCGACACACAACTAATTATCGATGCGACAGGACAACTGCACACGTCAGTTGAACCGCGATCGAAGTTAGGTCGGCGCATAATTTAGTTACAGAGCAACTCGCAGTATACAAGGTAACTAAAAAATACGAGCAGTACTATAAAGTATGGGAAGACGATGCATACACCGAAGAACCATAATAAAAAAGCAGAAGTACTGCACGCAACAAAAAACCATAAGAATGCGTACATTCACCAACAGCTTTTATTGTAACATGTTATATGGCACGAAGTGTCGAGCAAAAACTCCAAAGTGAATAAAACACAAATTCACTGTCTTTTCTGGGAGATCTGTTGTGCCACCACGATTGGACCAAACTGTTTGTTCTTCAACATCTTCTGTTGAGATATCTCTGAGATAATGCGAAACAAACACTGAAGTAGATCTCCAAAAGCAGCCCTCCATAATAGCTTGCACCGAACAATTACTGTGGAGTGCTAATGTTGAAGCGATGGCTCGAACTTCATGCGGATGAGAGGAGGTGGGAGGTGCGAGTCCTTGCTCCTCGTAAGCTCTGAGAATTACGGCTCTCAACCAAAAGGAGAGAGTATTACGTGTAATCTCTTTCTTTGCATTGGTTGAGAGCGGTATGAACAGCCATCGAAAATGTTATCGTCGCTGTTCAGAACGTTGCAGGTAAATACGAAGCGCACGAACTGGGCACAGGGTGAGATCAGCGTGATCATGAGGGCCCATAATGGCAGACAAGGAAGGAATGTGGAACATTCTCGGATCTTGGCCAGGAAGTTGATTTTTCGCTAAAAAATCCCATCTGAGACCAAGATGGACTTTGCCATGGTTACGCTGATCGAACGTAATCCAACCGACGTCAATGGCATGTATTTCCGAAACTCTCGCTGCCGTAGCCAGTGAGAGAAGGAAAGCCGTTTTCTGAGACAATAAGTCGAACGCGACCTGATCGAGAGGCTCGTAAGCCTGACTAGACAGGTTGTGCAGAATGACATCGAGGTCCCAGGCCGGCGGTCGGAATTTACGTGACTGATCTTCAACCATGTAGGCACTTTAGTGAGTTTGTCGCCCGTAGGAGACGGCACCACTGAAGCCAGAGCTGCCAGATAAGTCGAGATCGTCGACCCTTTCAGACGCCGAGATGACCGGAGATAGACTAGGAACTCCGCCACCTGTGGTGGGGTCGCTACCGCCGGGTTGAAGCCATGAGACCTGGCGAAAATGGAGAAAGTGGTCCACTTGTCATCGTACAGCTTACGAGTTGTAACTCGATGTGCCGACGAGACAAGCGCTGCCGCTTTAGCCGAATAGCCTTTCTTCATTAACGAGGTCTTAAGCAAGCCCAGGCGTGAAGCTGGAAGTTCTTTATCCACGGATGCAAGTCGTTGGTGTGAGGATGAAGAAGGAGGTCGTCTTGATCTGGCAACGGGAAAGGTGGTTGATATATGATCTGAAGAAGTTCCGGGAACCACGTTCTGGCCGGCCAATAAGGCGCGACCAAAAGCAGACTTAGGTTGGCAGTTTGACGAACTTTCACCAGTATCGATGGTAACAGCACCATTGGCGGAAACGCGTAAGCGTCTAGACCCTCCCACGATATCGCTAGAGCGTCGTGGTCCCATGCCCGTGGGTCTGGAACCGAATCGAGGGAGGCGGTTGTTGTACCGGGTTGCAAAGAGATCTACTTGGGGCAACCAGAGTCGATCTGTCAGCAGATGAAAGACTGTCGGATGGATCATCCACTCCGTGGGAGACGGCCTCTATTATCTCGACAGGGCGTCGGCTATCACATTCTTGGCCCCCGGGATGTGACGGGCGCGTACGCCAATGTCCAAGTCGTCTACGAGGGCGAAGAACCTGAATGTCCGGTCCAGAAGGGCCGCCTACCGAGTCGTTCCCTGTTTGTTGACACAGTGGACGACTGTGGAGTTGTCCGACTGTATCATCAGCCGTTTCCAACGGAGTCAAAGTTTCCAAAACTCGACCGCCCGAATCACTGCTTCCATCTCGAGGCAGTTGATGTGGAGGATCTTTTCTTCTGGCGACCACAGCCCGGCCGCTTGGTCGTCCCCGAAGTGCGCTCCCCAGCCTTCCAATGACCCGTCTACGAATAGGTGTAGTATGAACGCAGGCTCGCTCATAAAGACGCCTTCACAAACGTTCGATGGCTGGAGCCTGCACATAGCTGCGCCGGAAGTGGAACCAGAAGGTTGGGAAACTCCAGGTGGGGGTCTTGAGGTACCTGGACCAGATTGACTCCCGTCTGGAAGCGTAGCCCAATGTACTGTAGATCCCGAGTTGGTACCAAGTCCGACTTTTGAAAGTTGACGATCCACCCGAGGTACCATAGTAGACTGAGGGTGGTCCCCAATTCTTCTTGAAGGGCTTCTGTGAATTGGTGACCTTGGAGCCCGTCGTCTAGGTAGAAGGCGACCCTGATCGCCTGCCGATGGAGCCATTCTACGACCGTCTTCATGATCCGTGTGAAAAAGCACGGGGCCGTAGAAATTCCAAACGGGAGGGACGCCCGCTGGTAATGAATACCTTGGTATTCGAATCGAAGGTACTTCTGGAACTCGGAAGCTATTGGTACATGTAGATACGCGTCCTGAAGGTCTATCGAGACGAGGAAGTCGTTCGGTAATATCATCTGACGCAGAGAGCTGAGGGATATCATGGTGATTGTGTCGGGTTGTTGGAGGTATGTTGCGTTGAACTTTTTGAGATTGAAAATAAGCCGCATCTTTGTGGAGTTTTTCTTGGGTACTAGAAAGACGGGCGAGTAGTACCCCGACGATGGTGCCGATGTCCCTAGGCGAAGTACGGCCGCCTTTTCCACCAACAAATCGATGGCCTCCGTCAACCGATCTGTTGGTGGAATGTGGAATGTTGGGGATGACGTCAGTGGTGGCGTCGATCTCAGGCGTGGGGTGTAGCCTGTTGTCAAAATGTTCTGAACGTAAGGGTCGTTGAGGAAAACCCACTTGTGGGCATAGTGATGAAGTCTCCCCCCTACCGGAAGCTCGTCTAAAGGTAGTGTCACCGGGGGAGACTCGAACCACGGCGACGGCGGGGGAAGGGACCTCACTTCCTCCCCCACTGGCACTTTCCCCCTCTGGGATACTTGGAAAAGGAGACCTGGCGACCTTTCCTGTCGGAATCTCTCTTGCGGGACGGCTGTCGAGGCACGTCCCTACGGAAGGCCTGTTGCACATTCTCGTTTCGGTAACGTTGTCCTGGGGTGTTCGAAACCGGTGGCCGTCTGGACAGGTTGTGTGAAGCCGAAATGATGATGTCACACTCGGCTTCCCTGTAGTACTTGTCCAGCATAGCAAGAGGTTGTAGCTGTTGACGAACAGCAGTGTCCATGGATTCCAAATGCCTGTCTTCTACAAGAATTTTGGAGGGCGCTGGTTTCTTGAAGAGTAGCCCCAATCCAAATCCCTAGTCATGGGTGACGAAAATGGCATGCCATAGATCGGGTAACGAGAGCGACCAGGTGGCTTGAAGAAGCTCTGTCCAGGCAGAGCAGAGGCAAAGTTCTGGTGCATATCGTGAGCCATGGCTCTGAAGACATCGGGAGGAGAAAACTGAAGAGACTGCGGTGTATCTCTGACCTTAAACCCTGCACGCGTCGGTTTGTCATCGTCTTGTGATAACTCGGGTAGAAAATTAGATAGCCAAGCAAACAACTCAATGTCTTTGGGAGGCCTAGGAGGGCTGTCGTCACAATCCATCGTCGACGTCGATTGTGGAGGCGTAGATGAAGGAGCTGGTGTACTAGTTGACGGGCCATGGAACCCCGACGTAGTCGTATCCTTCTTGGTCGACGCCGTCGAGGGACCGCCGCCGTGATCTGGGCTATCAAAGCCGGGTCGATATGAAAGTGAGACGAGGTCGTAGTTCTGTCACTATCTTCACTACGACGCTGAACTCCCCAAAACTCCCTGCGAGAACGTTGCATGTCCCCGTGGGGACGAGGGCTACGATCTCTAACTGTAGAAGTACTATGATCCCCATCGTAGTTATCGTCCGAATCGTACCTACAACAACCACGCCCTCGTGTCGTGTACTGTCTCTCGACGAGGCACTCGACCTGTCATCCCGACTTGAACGGGAACGACTTCTGTGTCCACTGTCGTCCCGCACGATGTCCCTATCGTCGTTGGTAGAACGAGATACGGACCGACTGGGGACCGTAGTCCCCTCATGGTCCTCGTCACCACCCGGTCCCGTCGTAACAGGGGAGGCTGAGTGCGGTCTCGATCAACCGATTGACGAAGATCAGTCGTGCGGGTAGTGTCATCAGCAGGTGAACGGTCACATGTCTTGTCGAAAACAGAAGTTGACTGAGGCGGGTCTTTATCAACTGATTTCTTAGGTGTGGCTGACTCGCCACCCCCAGGGCCTGATGTGGAGGGTGCAGAGTCCAAGGATCCAACCGATGACCTTCTCTGCTTGTAGCGCTGGTCAGCGGCCCGCTTCGCCAACGCACGAAGATACAAGTTAAAGTTTATTGAAGACAAGTTCTCACATTCTTTACAACGTTTATCCCATGAACACGTTGAAAACCCGTCCTTAATGATGCAGGATGGACAATACTTGTGAGGGTCTACTTTAGACAGTTTTCTTTGACACGAGGCACAAATGCCCGACATGTTGCCACGTGTGTAATCACTGTCAAACAGCGAAACACACGTTGAATACAAACAATGGATTACCAAGGATTACATTCCAGGAGTCTACAGATAAGACATATCATTGTTATTACTTTATTAGAACAACTGTAGATAAGCGATAAGTACTAGTAGATTACAAACTAGCAGTCTACCGCGAAAGACTTTCTCGAGCGACCAGCTCAGAGGCACGCTGAGAGATTTGTTACATGTCATAGGGAGGTGTGTGCGCAACCGGACGGAAACAAGTTTAACGGACGGAAACAAGTTTAATGTTTATATTCCAGCTTCTGGCTTCCTCTTAAACATGCGACTAGACGTGAGGGTATGAGAGATACCCATTTGTACGACTGAAAACAGACTAAAACATAAAAAATTCTAAAATTTCTAAATAGCAAAAGGCACCAGTTCAGCATGTACCTGACAGACCTGCAAAGTTTGATGAAAAAATATTGAACGGTTTCTGAATAATGCTCTGGAAACGAACCCTACCTTCACAGAACCTAAGTCCATCTTGTTGCCATGGAAACGTAAAAAAATAAAAATTTCTATAATTTCTAAATAGCAAAAGGCACCAGTTCAGCATGTACCTGACAGACCTGCAAAGTTTGATGAAAAAAAACACCTATCTACATGGCACACAGCTCTACATTCAACCACCTATCTACATGGCACACAGCTCTACATTCAACCACCTATCTACAGGTCACACAGCTCTACATTCAACCACGTATCTACAGGTCACACAGCTCTACATTCAACCACCTATCTACAGGTCACACAGCTCTACATTCAACCACCTATCTACAGGTCACACAGCTCTACATTCAACCACTTATCTACAGGTCACACAGCTCTACATTCAACCACCTATCTACAGGTCACACAGCTCTACATTCAACCACCTATCTACAGGTCACACAGCTCTACATTCAACCACCTATCTACAGGTCACACAGCTCTACATTCAACCACCTATCTACATGGCACACAGCTCTACATTCAACCACCTATCTACAGGTCACACAGCTCTACATTCAACCACCTATCTACAGGTCACACAGCTCCACATTCAACCACCTATCTACAGGTCACACAGCTCTACATTCAACCACCTATCTACAGGTCACACAGCTCTACATCATGAAAGCTGCCAACCCAACGGATGTTGTTGTCCCCGACTGACCTGTATAGAACAGCATGAGAGCTGGAGACAGGAACTCCAGGGCTAGAGGGTGCAGCAGCAAGGCTTCATTGAGCTTCTCTGCCTTGGGCTGCACTGTGGGCTGCAGGACGAACATCACCTCCACCAGCTTGGCCACTAGGTAGGGGTTGCTGATGTACGACCCGTTACACACCAGCACGATGAGGAGCTGCAGGATCTTGGTGGTCGCTGGGTCATCCAGAATCTGTGGATTGTACCTGGTGCACACACAGAGTATGGTTAGCCATCCGTGACAGGGTATGGTTTTGCTCTTCTGTTACCTTGACAGGGCCCTACTCTGATATCCAGTCTCCAATCGTTTATAATTGACACTGCAGATTAGTAAGTTAGCATTTAATATTGACATTTATTATTAATCGCCAGTGAGACAGTAAAATGTATCTAAATCCCCTGTATCTGCTGAGTGACGATAGACTGATATCATCTCAAGTGTGTAAGAGTGTTGATAACATATATATATTGCCACTGGTCAAAGTTCAAGGTCTCTTGTTATGACTCAAGGTCAGGATTGGCAAAGTGGCTTGACACATTGTGGCTTGAACAGATACCTGGACATTGGCTAAGGAAACTTGGTACTTCATGTTTGACCATGTGGCTGGCCTGTTTGTATTCCCAAACATTTTCTGACGATCATATTGTCTGCTTAGTTCTTTCTCTATTAATGACACATGCTGAATGTTTACAAATGGCCAAACTGCTGTTCTAATATCAACACTATATCTTACATGAAAACAACATTGATAATTGTAAGATTTTCTTATGCATTACATATATTCAAGGGTGTCAGGAATGTGTTCCTCTTCAGTTTAGAGTTAAGTTGTATGAAATATTTTTCACAATTTTTCAATTTGTCACAAAAGTAAGAACTGGAGAATAAGGGAAACTACATATTCAACCAGCAGACATAATTCTACTTCCATGCAAATAAATGCAAAAAAGGGGAAATTGTATACAAATGAAAGATGCTGTTATTTTGTGGTGTGTACATGGTGAGTGAAACAGTAACATCCCAACAAGCCCCCTCGTGGTAGCAGCAAGAGCACCTACTGGAGAACAAAGAGGAGGAAGTCGGCTATGTCCTCCACGTAGAACTCGGGTAATGCTGAAAATTGCATAGGAACTTCTGTAGGCAGTGGAAGGCGAGACCTGCAACGATATGACAGATGCTGGACACTACTACTAGTAACCACATGGAGCGCTCATAACTTACTTCCACAAGAAAAACAGGAAAATGCAACATTAATAATATCTGATTAACCAGTCATCAATTAATCATCACGATCAACAGATTAAATATAACTCTTAGTACATACACAAGTGCGCAAGCAAGTTGGATTAAATGCGGCTTTCAACAGCTTCACATGGAAGGAAAGTCTAAAGTGATGCTAGTCATAAAAGCAGAACCCGAGAGGAAAAGTATGGTGCTGAAAAAGTAGGACCTGGCAGCTAAGGGACACAACTCTACACTGCTAGGACCTGCACACAACTTACTTTGTGACATGTAATCACAGAACCTGACTATGTCCTCAAGATTCCTCACATATAAGCTACAGCTATCAAACTAAAGATGCATCTGTTAAGATATTGCATATACAAAACCCCTTTTACCCATGCTTTTGTGGATCTGCTGCCTTGATGACAAACTCGGCTACCAAGGTGTAGAACTGGAGACACTTGCGCAACATGTTGGCATCCAACACTCCAGCATCTGCACACAGCTTGCTCTTCTGTAGCCTCTGAAAATATTAACCAAAGATGTTTCAAAATGGCATATTTTCAATTAAAACATCATTTAACATGTTTTTATACTTTTGCAAACTCCTTGTACATAAGGAGAATTATTGTCTAACTGATTACTGATACATGCTGAAAGATAATAATACAGCAGAGAACGACTACTGAACTGATTCCCAACATGAGCCTGAGCCATCACCCAAGCAGCAGAAGGACCAGCGGGAGCTAGTGGTATACTCTTTCATCTGCACCTCTGGCATAACTACACATACCTCACTATGACATCTCCTGGACCCACCCTATCGACACTGCAGCCTTCACCCACCTGGACCTCAGACTTCTACTTCTGGATCATCTCCTGGACCCCCCCACACCTGACTGCAACCTTCCCCTACCTGGACCTGAGCATCTCCTGGAGCATCTCCTGGACCCACCCACCAGGATCCATACACCTGACTGCAGCCTTCACCCACCTGGGCCTCAGACTTCTACTTCTGGAGCATCTCCTGGACCCACCCACACCTGACTGCAACCTTCCCCCACCTGGACCTGAGCATCTCCTGGAGCATCTCCTGGACCCACCCACCAGGACCCATACACCTGACTGCAGCCTTCACCCACCTGGGCCTGAGACTTCTACTTCTGGAGCATCTCCTGGATCCACCCACACCTGACTGCAACCTTCACCAACCTGGACCCGAGACTTCTACTTCTGTCCTATCTCCTGGACCCACCCACACCTGACTGCAGCCTTCACCCACCTGGACCTGAGACTTCCACTCTTGGAGCATCTCCTGGACCCGTCCACACCTGACACTGCAGCCTGCACCCACCTGGACCTGAGACTTCTACTTCTGGAGCATCTCCTGGACCCACCCACCTGACACTGCAGCCTGCACCCACCTGGACCTGAGACTTCTACTTCTGGAGCATCTCCTGGACCCACCCACCTGACACTGCAGCCTTCACCCACCTGGACCCGAGACTTCTACTTCTGGAGCATCTCCTGGACCCGCCCACCTGACTGCAGCCTTCACCCACCTGGACCTGAGACTTCCACTCTTGGAGCATCTCCTGGACACCAACACCTGACACTGCAGCCTGCACCCACCTGGACCTGAGACTTCTACTTCTGAAGCATCTCCTGGACCCACCCACCTGATACTGCAGCCTTCACCCACCTGGACCTGAGACTTCTACTTCTGGAGCATCTCCTGGACCCACCCACCTGACACTGCAGCCTGCACCCACCTGGACCTGAGACTTCTACTTCTGAAGCATCTCCTGGACCCACCCACCTGACACTGCAGCCTTCACCCACCTGGACCTGAGACTTCCACTTCTTGAGCATGTCCCTGTTCCTGCCCGCTGTAGGCAGGATCTTCCACTGTGGCTCTGTGCCCTCCATCTCCTCCACCATGCGGTTGAGATCTCGGATTGCACGAAGTCGGCGCTGATATTTACGCATGATGGGAGTAATAGACAAGTGATGACAGTGAAGGGTGAGGAAGAAACACTCGGTTGGAAACTTGGGATCTTGCCATGGTGGGTTAGGTTTACTATCTGCAAGATTACACAACAGAACTTGATGAGTGCAGAACAATTTACAGACAACACAAGAGGTATTAAGGCTCACACAGTTAAGTCACTTATTTAAATCTTTATACAGAACTGATCATCTGTGTGTCAAAAGGATAACCAATCAAAGGAAGGCTGCATACAGAGTGAACTTCATGGTTTTGTCCTGCTGGTCTTCAAGCAGGTCATCTCCCCTAAATACTGTGTCAACTGGTAAAGCAATGGAAAGATTGTGTGAAAAACTTGATGCTGTTAATGTTTACAAGTTAGGTGTCAAACCAAACCTATAGAGATGAAAGGATATATTGGTGCACCGATGCAACACAAATTTTCATGTGCCGATATGATACACAATACATTTTTTTCTGTATTGATACAAGATGATACATTTGCTAAATTATAATACTTCTAATGTTATGACCCCCCGCGCATTTGTCAGTCAAAAATTGCAAAATGAGTTGTAATTAAGTTCACTACTAAAAATAGCCACAACAAACATGTGTCCACAGCTCGTTTTTCCTTTTGAACCTGCTCTAAAATATTTAAAATCAAGATGTTTCCACAGGATTTGCTGTAAATATGTGTATCAGGATATGTATCACACTGTGTCCTTTTGTATCATGATACCTATCCATTTGTGACCTTACTGTATCATTTCACCCCGACAAACCAACCATCCCACACAATAATTTCACATGTGAACACCCACAGTAAGATGATTGTTGCAAATAACGGGATCATCAGTATGTTTCAACAAGGAAACAGCATTATCACTATTCATGTAACTTCAGTAGTTTTTGAGAAAAATACCCTTTTCATGCAGTATGCACTTTGTTAAAAAGCATGGAGCAAGGACCATAACTCTGTAAGAAATGAAGTTAAGACACCAATTTTCGAACTCATTTGAGATCGTAACCAGTAACATTAGTGTGTAAAATTTCATTTATCAACTTAAATAATTTTTGAGAAAATTTGACCCCAAAGCCTTAAATAGAGAAAATAAACAGGATTTTTTGACTGCATTAACATCAATGTCCAACATAACGGCCTGCCTGCCTGCTGGCCTGCCCGTGGCTGGTAACTTTTCTATCGGGCTGCATGAAATCTTCCTTCACCTGCCAGATTGTCTGGCAGAGAATTTAAAGACGACTTACGTACTCAATTTTACTAAACTCCTCATAGATTCTCAAGTAGTTGTTTGCATTATTTCAACTGAATCACAACATGATTTGTCAGTTTTGTTTTTTTAAATATTAATAGTGTCTGAAGGAAACTTTGAAGATGGATAGGCAACACTCACCTGCCCAACTGTGTTTTGGGGTCTTAAAATTATTTGAAACACTAATTAACATTCTTGTAAAGTTTAATCTCAGCTCAGGTGGCATTGTGTATATTCTACTTGATAATGGACTATTGTGTCATGTATGTTGGCATGCAGTGAGATGTTACCCCTGTTGTCTTACTGAGATCATCCATCCATTTGTCTGCTTCAGCTGTTGTACTGTGGAGGCGAGATTCCGACTTGGTGGACACCCTGGCCTTGGGGTGGAATGGATAGTAGGGGTCAACCTGGACAACACAAGCAGAGCTACTCACTCAGCTGGACAGTCAAACACAAGGAACACAGCAGAGCTACTCACTCAGCTGGATAGTCAAACACAAGGAACACAGCAGAGCTACTCACTCAGCTGGATAGTCAAACACAAGGAACACAGCAGAGCTACTCACTCAGCTGGACAGTCAGACACAAGGAACACAGCAGAGCTACTCACTCAGCTGGATAGTCAAACACAAGGAACACAGCAGAGCTACTCACTCAGCTGGATAGCCAAACACAAGGAACACAACAGAGCTACTCACTCAGCTGGACAGTCAAACACAAGGAACACAGCAGAGCTACTCACTCAGCTGGACAGTCAAACACAAGGAACACAGCAGAGCTAGTCACTCAGCTGGACAGTCAGACACAAGGAACACAGCAGAGCTACTCACTCAGCTGGATAGTCAAACACAAGGAACACAACAGAGCTACTCACTCAGCTGGACAGTCAAACACAAGGAACACAGCAGAGCTACTCACTCAGCTGGAGAGTCAGACACAAGGAACACAGCAGAGCTACTCACTCAGCTGGACAGTCAAACACAATGAACACAGCAGAGCTACTCACTCCGCTGGACAGTCAGACACAAGGAACACAGCAGAGCTACTCAATCAGCTGGACAGTCAAACACAATGAACACAGCAGAGCTACTCACTCGGCTGGACAGTCAAACACAAGGAACACAGCGGAGCTACTCACTCAGCTGCACAGTCGAACACAAGGAACACAGCAGAGCTACTCACTCAGCTGGACAGTCAGACACAAGGAACACAGCAGAGCTACTCACTCAGCTGGACAGTCAAACACAAGGCACAAAGCAGAGCTAGTCACTCAGCTGGACAGTCAAACACAAGGAACACAGCAGAGCTACTAACTCAGCTGGATAGTCAAACACAAGGAACACAGCAGAGCTACTCACTCAGCTGGACAGTCAAACACAAGGAACACAGCAGAGGTACTAACTCAGCTGGACAGTCAAACACAAGGCACATAGCTACTCACTCAGCTGGACAGTCAGACACAAGGAACACAGCAGAGCTACCCACTCAGCTGGACAGTCAAACACAAGGCACAAAGCAGAGCTAGTCACTCAGCTGGACAGTCAAACACAAGGCACAAAGCAGAGCTAGTCACTCAGCTGGACAGTCAAACACAATGAACACAGCAGAGCTACTCACTCAGCTGGACAGTCAAACACAAGGAACACAGCAGAGCTACTCACTCGGCTGGACAGTCAAACACAAGGAACACAGCGGAGCTACTCGCTCAGCTCGACAGTCAAACACAAGGCACACAGCAGAGCTACTCACTCAGCTGGATAGTGGGACACAAGGAACACAGCAGAGCTACTCACTCCGCTGGACAGTCAAACACTACGCACACAGCAGGGCTACTCACTCAGCTGGACAGTCAAACACAAGGAACACAGCAGAGGTACTCACTCAGCTGGATAGTCAAACACAAGGAACACAGCAGAGGTACTCACTCAGCTGGACAGTCAAACACAAGGCACAAAGCAGAGCTAGTCACTCAGCTCGACAGTCAAACACAAGGAACACAGCAGAGCTACTAACTCAGCTGGACAGTCAAACACAAGGAACACAGCAGAGCTACTCACTCAACTGGACAGTCAAACACAAGGCACACAGCAGAGCTACTCACTCAGCTGGATAGTCAAACACAAGGAACATAGCTACTCACTCAGCTGGACAGTCAGACACAAGGAACACAGCAGAGCTACCCACTCAGCTGGACAGTCAAACACAAGGCACACAGCAGAGCTACTCACTCAGCTGGACAGTCAAACACAAGGCACAAAGCAGAGCTAGTCACTCAGCTGGACAGTCAAACACAAGGAACACAGCAGAGCTAGTCACTCAGCTGGACAGTCAAACACAAGGAACACAGCAGAGCTACTCACTCAGCTGGACAGTCAAACACAAGGAACACAGCAGAGCTACTCACTCAGCTGGACAGTCAAACACAAGGCACATATCTACTCACTCAGCTGGACAGTCAGACACAAGGAACACAGCAGAGCTACCCACTCAGCTGGACAGTCAAACACAAGGCACACAGCAGAGGTACTCACTCAGCTGGACAGTCAGACACAAGGCACACAGCAGAGCTACTCACTCAGCTGGACAGTCAGACACAAGGAACACAGCAGAGCTACTCACTCAGCTGGACAGTCAAACACAATGAACACAGCTGAGCTACTCACTCGGCTGGACAGTCAAACAGAAAGAACACAGCGGAGCTACTCACTCAGCTGGACAGTCAAACACAAGGCACACAGCAGAGCTACTCACTAAGCTGGATAGTCAAACACGAACACAGCAGAGCTACCCACTCAGCTGGATAGTCAAACACTAAGAACACAGCAGAGCTACTCACTCAGCTGAATAGTCAAACACAACACACACAGCAGAGCTACTCACTCAGCTGGACAGTCAAATACAACACGCACAGCAGAGCTACTAACTCAGCTGGATAGTCAAACACAAGGAACACAGGAGAGCTACTCATTCAGCTGGACAGTCAAACACAAGGAACACAGCAGAGCTACTCACTCAGCTGGACAGTCGGACACAAGGAACACAGCAGAGCTACTCACTCAGCTGGACAGTCAAACACAACGCACACAGCAGGGCTACTCACTCAGCTGGACAGTCGGACACAAGGAACACAGCAGAGCTACTAATTCAGCTGGACAGTCAAACACAAGGCACAGCAAAACTACTCACTCAGCTGGACAGTCAAACACAACGCACACAGCAGAGCTACTCACTCAGCTGGACAGTCAAACACAATGAACACAGCAGAGCTACTCACTCAGCTGGACAGTCAAACACAAGGAACACAGCAGAGCTACTCACTCGGCTGGACAGTCAAACACAAGGAACACAGCGGAGCTACTCGCTCAGCTCGACAGTCAAACACAAGGCACACAGCAGAGCTACTCACTCAGCTGGATAGTCGGACACAAGGAACACAGCAGAGCTACTCACTCAGCTGGACAGTCAAACACTACGCACACAGCAGGGCTACTCACTCAGCTGGACAGTCAAACACAAGGAACACAGCAGAGGTACTCACTCAGCTGGATAGTCAAACACAAGGAACACAGCAGAGGTACTCACTCAGCTGGACAGTCAAACACAAGGCACAAAGCAGAGCTAGTCACTCAGCTCGACAGTCAAACACAAGGAACACAGCAGAGCTACTAACTCAGCTGGACAGTCAAACACAAGGAACACAGCAGAGCTACTCACTCAACTGGACAGTCAAACACAAGGCACACAGCAGAGCTACTCACTCAGCTGGATAGTCAAACACAAGGAACATAGCTACTCCCTCAGCTGGACAGTCAGACACAAGGAACACAGCAGAGCTACCCACTCAGCTGGACAGTCAAACACAAGGCACACAGCAGAGCTACTCACTCAGCTGGACAGTCAAACACAAGGCACAAAGCAGAGCTAGTCACTCAGCTGGACAGTCAAACACAAGGAACACAGCAGAGCTAGTCACTCAGCTGGACAGTCAAACACAAGGAACACAGCAGAGCTACTCACTCAGCTGGACAGTCAAACACAAGGAACACAGCAGAGCTACTCACTCAGCTGGACAGTCAAACACAAGGCACATATCTACTCACTCAGCTGGACAGTCAGACACAAGGAACACAGCAGAGCTACCCACTCAGCTGGACAGTCAAACACAAGGCACACAGCAGAGGTACTCACTCAGCTGGACAGTCAGACACAAGGCACACAGCAGAGCTACTCACTCAGCTGGACAGTCAGACACAAGGAACACAGCAGAGCTACTCACTCAGCTGGACAGTCAAACACAATGAACACAGCTGAGCTACTCACTCGGCTGGACAGTCAAACAGAAAGAACACAGCGGAGCTACTCACTCAGCTGGACAGTCAAACACAAGGCACACAGCAGAGCTACTCACTAAGCTGGATAGTCAAACACGAACACAGCAGAGCTACCCACTCAGCTGGATAGTCAAACACTAAGAACACAGCAGAGCTACTCACTCAGCTGAATAGTCAAACACAACACACACAGCAGAGCTACTCACTCAGCTGGACAGTCAAATACAACACGCACAGCAGAGCTACTAACTCAGCTGGATAGTCAAACACAAGGAACACAGGAGAGCTACTCATTCAGCTGGACAGTCAAACACAAGGAACACAGCAGAGCTACTCACTCAGCTGGACAGTCGGACACAAGGAACACAGCAGAGCTACTCACTCAGCTGGACAGTCAAACACAACGCACACAGCAGGGCTACTCACTCAGCTGGACAGTCGGACACAAGGAACACAGCAGAGCTACTAATTCAGCTGGACAGTCAAACACAAGGCACAGCAAAACTACTCACTCAGCTGGACAGTCAAACACAACGCACACAGCAGAGCTACTCACTCAGCTGGACAGTCAAACACAATGAACACAGCAGAGCTACTCACTCCGCTGGACAGTCAGACACAAGGAACACAGCAGAGCTACTCAATCAGCTGGACAGTCAAACACAATGAACACAGCAGAGCTACTCACTCGGCTGGACAGTCAAACACAAGGAACACAGCGGAGCTACTCACTCAGCTGCACAGTCGAACACAAGGAACACAGCAGAGCTACTCACTCAGCTGGACAGTCAGACACAAGGAACACAGCAGAGCTACTCACTCAGCTGGACAGTCAAACACAAGGCACAAAGCAGAGCTAGTCACTCAGCTGGACAGTCAAACACAAGGAACACAGCAGAGCTACTAACTCAGCTGGATAGTCAAACACAAGGAACACAGCAGAGCTACTCACTCAGCTGGACAGTCAAACACAAGGAACACAGCAGAGGTACTAACTCAGCTGGACAGTCAAACACAAGGCACATAGCTACTCACTCAGCTGGACAGTCAGACACAAGGAACACAGCAGAGCTACCCACTCAGCTGGACAGTCAAACACAAGGCACAAAGCAGAGCTAGTCACTCAGCTGGACAGTCAAACACAAGGCACAAAGCAGAGCTAGTCACTCAGCTGGACAGTCAAACACAATGAACACAGCAGAGCTACTCACTCAGCTGGACAGTCAAACACAAGGAACACAGCAGAGCTACTCACTCCGCTGGACAGTCAAACACAAGGAACACAGCGGAGCTACTCGCTCAGCTCGACAGTCAAACACAAGGCACACAGCAGAGCTACTCACTCAGCTGGATAGTCGGACACAAGGAACACAGCAGAGCTACTCACTCAGCTGGATAGTCAAACACTACGCACACAGCAGGGCTACTCACTCAGCTGGACAGTCAAACACAAGGAACACAGCAGAGGTACTCACTCAGCTGGATAGTCAAACACAAGGAACACAGCAGAGGTACTCACTCAGCTGGACAGTCAAACACAAGGCACAAAGCAGAGCTAGTCACTCAGCTGGACAGTCAAACACAAGGAACACAGCAGAGCTACTAACTCAGCTGGACAGTCAAACACAAGGAACACAGCAGAGCTACTCATTCAACTGGACAGTCAAACACAAGGCACACAGCAGAGCTACTCACTCAGCTGGATAGTCAAACACAAGGAACATAGCTACTCACTCAGCTGGACAGTCAGACACAAGGAACACAGCAGAGCTACCCACTCAGCTGGACAGTCAAACACAAGGCACACAGCAGAGCTACTCACTCAGCTGGACAGTCAAACACAAGGCACAAAGCAGAGCTAGTCACTCAGCTGGACAGTCAAACACAAGGAACACAGCAGAGCTAGTCACTCAGCTGGACAGTCAAACACAAGGAACACAGCAGAGCTACTCACTCAGCTGGACAGTCAAACACAAGGCACACAGCAGAGCTACTCACTCAGCTGGACAGTCAAACACAAGGCACATATCTACTCACTCAGCTGGACAGTCAGACACAAGGAACACAGCAGAGCTACCCACTCAGCTGGACAGTCAAACACAAGGCACACAGCAGAGCTACTCACTCAGCTGGACAGTCAGACACAAGGCACACAGCAGAGCTACTCACTCAGCTGGACAGTCAGACACAAGGAACACAGCAGAGCTACTCACTCAGCTGGACAGTCAAACACAATGAACACAGCTGAGCTACTCACTCGGCTGGACAGTCAAACAGAAAGAACACAGCGGAGCTACTCACTCAGCTGGACAGTCAAACACAAGGCACACAGCAGAGCTACTCACTAAGCTGGATAGTCAAACACAAGGAACACAGCAGAGCTACCCACTCAGCTGGATAGTCAAACACTAGGAACACAGCAGAGCTACTCACTCAGCTGAATAGTCAAACACAACACACACAGCAGAGCTACTCACTCAGCTGGACAGTCAAATACAACACGCACAGCAGAGCTACTAACTCAGCTGGATAGTCAAACACAAGGAACACAGGAGAGCTACTCATTCAGCTGGACAGTCAAACACAAGGAACACAGCAGAGCTACTCACTCAGCTGGACAGTCGGACACAAGGAACACAGCAGAGCTACTCACTCAGCTGGACAGTCAAACACAACGCACACAGCAGGGCTACTCACTCAGCTGGACAGTCGGACACAAGGAACACAGCAGAGCTACTAATTCAGCTGGACAGTCAAACACAAGGCACAGCAAAACTACTCACTCAGCTGGACAGTCAAACACAACGCACACAGCAGAGCTACTCACTCAGCTGGACAGTCAAACACAAGGAACCACAGCAGTGAGTGAATGTTGTTGTACACCATGGTCAGCAATACTCCAGCTACATCATGATGATCTGTAAATACTAGAATCTGAACCAGACAAACTGGTGGTTGATATTACAGGCAACATCCAAGACCCTTTGAGTATGATGACATACAATCAGCCAAGTCACCGATCCAGACTACCTGATCGGGTGGCACATGGTCCTGTACACAGCGCAAGGGTCACAAAATCAGTCACAGTGAGTCCTTAGATTGGTGACCATGCTCGCCAGCTTGACTCCTGAGTTTGTAGGGCTTCAGTCCCACATTAAAGACATGTAGCACGTGTGGTGTCACATTTGGCAAGTTCATTAATAAGCCTCCTACCCTGTAGGATGAGATGGTGATGTGACAGTTAACTTCTAGCGCCTCAGAGGCAGCTTTGGTTAGATACTCCCCAGAAAGCTGAGAATGAATAGAGTGCACACCAATCCATTGACCAGGGTAGTAAGTGCTCAGAGCCTGCCTATGCATGGAGTACAACATAAATGGACTATTACTATTAGTATTATCCTATTACATCAGGTCTAACAACTGTAGGAGTCCTGGGAGACAGGGGTAAGGGATGCTGTGTATAAACAACAGGGTCCATGTGACTCACCTTGTCCAACATTATCTTCACCGACAGCTGCTGTAGCACAGACATAAGGTTGAGTATGAAGCCATCGCCTGACACAAACCTTTCATCAACCTGCCCAACCAAGAAACGCCACATACTCAGGGGCACCATTTCAACACATCTCAAGCTGTTTCATCTAAAAGGTTCTCAGACAAAACTTGTAACAATATTAACATCCTTAATGTACACTTAATCAAGTAAAAGATGGGTGCCAGCTGCAACAATTCTGAAGGAAAGGTTTCTGACTTAGTTCTCCAATGAAGAAAGCTTAGAAAAAGCTGATAAGCAACAAGTCTATGTCTTGATGCCCAGTTAAAGTTAACTTGATTTACAAATGAATGATGCTCTTTGTCAATGTTTAATGCTGCACTCAGCAGTATTACAGCTATATGACAGCATTCTGTAAATTTTCAAATCTGGACCAGACAATCAAGTGATTGTAATTGTTTGCAACAATCCACACCGTTAGATTATGATCACACGCAATCAACCAAGTCACCGAGTCTGATCACCTGATCCATTTGGTCGCCTCTTACAACCAGCATAGTTGCTGGGGACCTCATCTGTCCCTGATTCCAAGGGCCTTTGTCGAGGGTAAACATTTAATCATTACTGTAAGCATCTACATTTACATCCCAACATATCTCAAAGGCTACATAAAAAAGAAGCTTACATGGATCTGTGAGCGTTTGGCATTTCTCATGAGAGCGGACGCCAGGAAGGACATGGCTGAATCCCTGGTTTCCACATTTACTAGGAGGGAGTGGACGACTTTGAAAACTTCAGACTGAAAAGAAAGCACCATTAGTTAGCTCCATATTCTAATAATTCATACAAACCTGTAGAGGTTATGGATTCTCTGATGAAATCCTCCTTGGGGCACTTATTGCATTTTCCTTGCTCAAGAAAATCTACATGACATAGTTGTCCTTAATAAAAAATGTTACCACACAAAACACAATGTTTTTGTATGATATATGACCACCCCAACGGGGCCTCACCCTCTACAGGCGACACACACCAAGGGGAGCAACTCTCACCCAAATCACTTTTCCAATGTTTCATAGCAGACGGAATGTGGGGAGGCGGGCGGCCGTGCCCCAAGGTGGATTTCATCAGAGAATCCATAACCTCTACAGGTTTGTACGATTCTTTTTCAGATTGTATCCTTCTTGGGGCACTTATTGCATCAAGATAGACTCCTAAAGATAATAAAGGAAGTGGCATCCGTCTGCAACAAGCGTAAATAAACACATCGTTTTACAAGACTTAGAGAATTCAAAATATGGAACCCACCTAATTGTGAGGCACCACTGTCGAGAGGCGGGGGCTTGAGACAGGGCGTGGTCTGACCATAGGCTATGAAAAAAGCCGCAGTAGTGGGCTTTATCATAAAACAAAAGAACACCCCACACACACATACAAGCGAAAACGGGGACAATAATCGCTAGGGACAATACCCCTGGTAGCTATGCAGGCTTTAGGGTCCCGTAGGATCGAGCGAGTGTCGTGTGCAAAACGAGTGCATTATCGATTAGTAATGGCTACTGAAGAATCCTCATTCCCGGAGAGAAGAGAGGAGATGGAGCATTACAAAGCCAAGAAAACCGGAGGACATTCTAAAATCTCGAAGACTCAATCGGTTAGAGATGTAGAACTCTGCCCAGTGCGGAGAACTGACTGACTGAACCGAGCACCCTCCCTAGAGTGTTTATCGATTTGGTAATGTTTGATGAACGTACGCGGCCGGCTCCAAATAGCCGCGGAGCAGATCTCCTCAATGGGCAGAGCTGCGGCATACGCTTTTGACGTAGCCACTGCCCTAACCGAATGAGCCTTCAACCCCTCAGGGGGGTCCCTCCCTTTGTAGGCTGAACAGATAGCAGAGACAATCCACCGTGAAATAGATTGTTTGCTCGCAGGGGAGTCAGCCTTCCCACCGCCGTAACAGCAGAATCATTGGTTATCCTTACGGATATCCTTAGTCTTGCTGATATAGACCTTGAGAATCTTGTGGACATCCAAGACATGAGCATGTCTTGCAGAGGTCCCCGACGAGGAAGGCTGTGAAAGAGCAGGTAGCTCGATAGGAGCCGTCACATGGAAAGTGTGTGTGACCTTGGGACGGTAAGAGTCCGGTAGGCAAATACTGACTGTCCCGGTGAAAGACGGTCAGCTCGGGAATGGCGGACATTGCGTGAATGTCGCCTACCCGTCTACCTGACGTCACCTCCACAAGGAACGCCGCCTTCCAGCTCAACAGCTGAAGGGAGAGAGACGACAGATCCCGAAAGGAAGGATCGGAAAGCCAATCAAGAACAATTGACAAGTCCCAAGGAGGACTGATCTGCCGGACAGGCGGTCGGATCCTGTCCACGCCTGCCAAAAAGCGCTGCACTAAAGGGGGCGCACTCAGAAGTGCCCCGTCAATAGGGACGTGAAAAGCCGCAATGGCTGTTGAGTACCCCCTGACTGTCGATGCGGCGAGGCCGGCATCAAGTCGTGATTGGAGGAACTCTTACACCGTGACTAGATTTGCAGAAAAGGGATCTGCATGCCCTCTATCGACACACCAGCGCGCATAGCAGGCCCATCTATCCTCATATTGAACATTTGTCGAATCCCTCCACGAAGCCAGTATTGTGTCTGCAACTCGTGCAGGAATACCGCTCTCCTGGAGGCGATTCCTGACAGTGGCCAAGCCACCCACTGAATCCTGGGATTCGGGTGGAGTGCCCCGTTCTTGGATAGGAGGTCCAGTCGTAAAGGTAATAGAACAGGAGGCTGAGCCAGAAACCTGGGTATTACGGGAAACCAACTCTGCGCCGACCAAAGAGGTGCCAGTAGCACAAGAAGCCGCGCAGGCTGAGTGGCTAGCTGAGAAATCAGCTGAATGACCCTGGGAATCAGAGGAACTGGTGGGAAGACCGCCAGAACTCTGTCCGTCCAATCTAGCTGGAAGGCGTCCGGTGCCGCCGCCTGGCATTCCACAAGGCCCCGCGGCCGCATCCGGCGCAAACTCCTGGGGAAGCCCCGCCCGCAGCTCCTCTCAGAGCTGGGACTTGACATCCTCGAACATAAACGCCATCTGCGACCGCAGAAGCGCCGAAATATCAGCAAGGTTAATAGGTGCAGGGGAGGGGGGAACCTCGGGGACCCGAGAGCCCTCACCCCCGGACTGCGATAAAGGCGCAGTGGAGGTGGAAGGAACCGGGGTGGAAGACTTGGTCTTCTTGCCCTTAACCTTTGACAGGGGTGGGGGCAGATTTCGCCAAACGTATGTCTACCCCCGCCTCCAATAACCCCGCAAAATGTATCAAGTCAGCGTGCCGACGCTTTCTGGCCTTGGGGGTGAAGTCTCCACATATGGCACACGACTGATCATCATGGCAATCCTCCGCCAAGCAGCAAATGCATTTAGGGTGTGGATCTTGCGGTGGTATCGCCGCGTCACATCCCATACAAACTTTGAAAGTCTGCAACAGACCGTTAAAACTAAACGGACGGGGAACGGGGGTGAATGTATCAGTGCGAATTGTGAAAATTGCAGAAAGTTACATGCATAATTACAAAACAACATATGCAAAGGCGTAACGAAAAAGGCGACACGCGATATCGATAGCCAAGGCTGTGTATACATTTGTAACATATAAAGGGAGCGTAGTAATTTTTAAAGTTACAGACGGGTTGAAAAGGAAACAATGTAGTGAAATAATGTTAAGATAAAAAAGCCATGTCAGTTGTACATGAACAGGGAATTTACCAGAACAGAATAAGCTACTCAGCGGCCGCCATTACGTGAAACGAACGTGGCATGTGCACGTGGCGGCCAAGTTACAACATATAAAAAACTATAAAATGCAAGGAATTACGCCTTTGCAAGAAAGAAAAGGAAATATACCACACATACAGTTTGAGCCATGTCTTCAGTATCAACCCGATAACCCTTATCTTAGAGGGTGAGGCCCCGTTGGGGTGGTCATATATCATACAAAAACGTTGTTTTTTGTAACATTTTTTATTAAGGAAAATGGTTACAACTATGTCAAGTAGATTTTCTTGAGCAAGGAAAATGCAATAAGTGCCCCAAGGAGGATTTAATCTGAAAGAGAATGTTAAGTATGAAGCATGGGGCTTCAAGGTTAAAGTGAATGGCTATGCTAAATCTACTGATGCAAACACCTTACTGTTGCTACATGTAAATGTGAACACCTACCCTGACATATTCCAGCCTATGCTGTAGAGACTGGTTGATGAGACGGGTACTGTCTGTTGTCAGCTGATGCCCAGAGAAGAACTGCTCCACTACTTTGACCTGAAACAGAAACAACCCATTCAACTACAAATGTAGCCAGCATCACCTTCCCTAGAATCTTGTGACATGGCCCTGTTCAGATACGTGATCCAGATTCTTGACAATTGTGTGCAAGGACAACGAATACCTATCAATGCAGAAAAACTGTTTCTTGAATGCTTAGGGACAGGGGTTTACCAGGGAACAGAGCTCAACCTGACAGTAGTGGAGTGAGTGAGTGAGTGAATATTGCTTAACTCTGCATCAGCAATCTTGCAGCTATTCTCGGGGAGACACAGTAGTGGTATGTCAGTGGTGTGTCAGCCTTACAACAGATGATACACAACACTGACTGGACCAGGCAAGCAATGGTTCCCAGATGATACACAACACTGATTGGACCAGGCAAGCAATGGTTCCCAGATGATACACAACACTGATTGGACCAGGCAAGCAATGGTTCCCAGATGATACAACACACAACACAGTGAAAGTCACCAAAGTCACCCAGGGAAGGAAGCTCCCTGAATGGAGACTCCAAAATCAAAATCAAAATCCAAGGGCAAGCTTACTCTACCATTTCCCCAGTTTTTCAAAACTTATGAAAATGTAAGTATAGGATTATTGTAAGCTTCTTTCTGCTCCAAAACAAAACATCAATAGAGGACAATCAGTACTTCGTAATAACAAGTGATTTCTTTGACAAAACACCAACACATGGGTTCTGCTTCTTGTCCAATACAGTGTTGACAGAGTTTGGGGTCAGGACTCAAGTACTTGTCAACCCTTTTCTTTCATTTCTGTCTTCATCTGTACAGTTAACAACACTGGCCAGTGTCCACGGCTTATTTACTGTATTGACATGACAGTGAGAAAGACAACCTCTCTTACCCAGAATTCCATGTGGCCAGCATATTACCTCTGGCACAGGCAAGTACCATGTGATGATTCATCACATCTTACACAGTCCATTCAAGATATTGCATATGTTTTTCATCTGTTTCATTTTTGATGAGTCTATACATCTAGACAAACTAAAGGTCATAGAATGGTTAACTTTAACTGAAAAAAATCCTAAAACGTGAAAAACTATTTCCATTTGCCTTGTTATCCTTTACATTGGTTGTACAGCTCCAAGTGCTATCATTGAAGCCCTACGGAGAGCTAGCGATACGGTCACTTTGATGTATAAAAACAATCTCATGCACCTCACTGTCACAGTTGTTATAGTATATCTGTATAATTATGCAAAACAATATGTAAAGCACACCGAAAGGCTTGCATCAGGCCAGTCTGTTCTCATTTCAGAATAACTGTGCTTGTTTACAAACAAGAGAAAAGTCTGGTCATGTACTAAACAAATTAGCCTGTGGCAGTGGTGTTAGAAAGACTGACATCAAACTCCTTATTTAGTTATCTAACTAAAGGGTCAGCTGAACAGTTGGATGTGGGATAGAGATCTTAGTTTCTTTAGTTTTGGGAAGGACAGGTCTGCATGGTGATCGAATTGCAGTATTAAACAAAAACAAATGATTTAATAGACTCCACCAATTGCAATGTCATGTGAACCAGTTATACAGTATGTGGAAAGATGACGTACATTATCCTCAGCGAAGACTGAGAGGCCGAGGACTGGTCCAAGGAAAGACAACTTCTCAAGCTCCATCCCACTGGCTTGACTCACAACTTCCGGCAGCCAGTTCTTCTGTTCTATCATCTGCAGAGAGCAGTCATCAGCGTACATCAGAGAGTCAACTCCAGGAGCAACACAGTTACAAACAAATCTTGCAAGTTACTGCCTATTGATATCGTTTATACTAACTTTACAAACTCTTAAACACGTTAAGCCTGTAATATGTATAAAATGTATCAAAGCGTCAGTGACGTGTTGACTTGTTACCACAGAGTTTGAGGCTTCACAATAAAAGATGAAGACTTCATCATGTGAGTAATTGAATGGTAACAACTCCAAAATACTAATTCCTTGTCTGTTTCCAGCATTGGGAACACAAACATGGACGTAGAGCTGCCAACTTACTAAGTTACATATAGGCCGAGCATTGCCGCTCCTAATATCACACAACTCAGCTATCACAGAGAGGGGGTCGCGGTAGTCATCAGTGTCCAGGGACATGGTCTGTATCAACCTCATCAAGCTCTGGAGGATCGGCGTAAATACCTGCAAGGTGACAGACACAGCATCAGCATCTTCCTAGCTTTAAGTTTGGTTTCATTACATAATGTTCTATTTGTTGGAAAATGATGATAATGAAAATGAAAATGAAATAAGAAAATATAACATAATTTTAAAATCAAATAATTTTAAGAACAAAGACTGCATAACAGCCTTAGACTGATATTGTACAAAGTTTCACAGAGGAGCACATAACAGAACTAATTGCTTCCATTCAATTCAAGTCTAATTCATAAAATGGGGGAATCATATACATTGTATAGCCAAAAGCACATCTACACTATATGGTGATTGTGTTTACCAAGTTTCTAAAAGATAGCAATCTCTAAACTACATTTCCAGACCTGCCCCAGATAGGAAACCCACTGCTTTCATTCAGTTCAGTCTAAACACATAAAATTTATATAAAAGAAAAGAAATATTCAGGGGTAACCATCTATACCAAAGGTCACATCTACATTATATGGTGAATGTGTGTGCTAAGTTTCATAAAGATATCTCATATAATTTTCCAGTTATGCTCCGGAAATGAAACCCACTGCTTCCATTCAGTTCCGAGACTAAATCCAAATTTCAATAAATTATACAAAATATATTAAAAAATGCAAGGGAAACCTAAATAGCACAAGGCACATCTACACCACATGGTAAAAGTGTGTACCAAGTTTTGTAAAATAATATCTTATGGTTTCCAAGTTCTGCCCCAATATCACTCTCATAGAGATAGAATTAAAGGATACTGACAACCATATTTTATATACCGTATTTTCTTGAGTATAGTGTGCACTTTTTTTCGAAAAAAACACAGCTGTGTAGAAGGGGGTGAGCATTATACACGAATTATGAGTTTGGATGTTTTTTCCCCCAATGGAAAGACATTACCGTGAGCACGAAACACCGGAAATAACCATGTCAACAAATCCATACTGAAGTACGCAAAATAATCATGTGTTCTTTGTATATCTGGACTTATGTTTGTAACTTATTTCATTAATTTTATTCAAAATTCCTTATAATATTGTTTTTATTAATTTCGGCGAAATCATGTGTGAAGCGATCGGAAGATCACACAACTCACCGCTATTGACGCCTTGAAACTAACTTTAGTTGACAGAGAATGGATACATATATCATAAATGACATACTTTGACTCGTTAAAAGTCATATTTGTTTTTGTTAGACGATTCTATGTCAACATGAAATTCTCGCGATCACGTACGCGTGAGCCTTGACGGTGACTGGTCAGACTGGTTCCATGTAAAAAATAATACCCGGGAATAGCGATCAGCTGCTTCGCTTAGGGTTATTATTATTTTAAATATGTTTAGTAAAGGCTGCATAGAATTAAGAAAATAATGGAATATATTATTCCTGATAAATAAAAATAGTTTCAGATACAATTGTTGCCGATCCTTGCATTAAAAATCCTATAAAGTTATATCATTGGGTGTGTCTTGACCGAATCACCGGTCAATTCCAAGAAAACGTGTGTACAGCTGATTGCTGTTTCCGGCTTAGTTTACGAGAAAATACACAAGGTAATCTTAATCCCTAGATATAAAACAATGCCTAGCAGAACAATAAATACTATATAAACATGTCTGGTGATTTTTTATCTCAAATTTCGAATTTGTACTGACGAAGTTTCTCAGCACCCGTTCGTTTACCGGACTTCGCTGAAAGGGTACGGTGTAAATTTTTTCTGCGTATAATATTCAAATTTCTTTTTTTCCAACATATTGAACCCGCTAGAGGGGGGTGCGCATTATACATGGGTGCGCACTATACTCAAGAAAATACGGTACACAAAACATGTGTGAAGAGACGTGTGTTACCATTTGGACCACATTCCTAACTTGACCTTTACCACCAAATTAAGCATGAACACATGAAAGGACTTGATGACATGGTGAACACTTAAAGCCAATGTATATGAGGCACGTGGAAGTACTTCTCATGCTGTAACAATCCCAGTGATACAACCTGGTATAGACGGCTTTCAGTCCCAGACAAGTGAAGATCTGGGGGGACTAGTTATTTTATCCTCCTATCTAGTTGTACTGTGTGTTTATTACTGCACTGGTGTTACGACGCATGTACTGAATCAGCCATGTAGATCAGTCTGCTGCTGGGCTCACCCTGCGGAAACTGTCCCTATCATGGTAGATGGTCTGCACCAACTCGGGGAGAAATCCCCGCGGTAAGTTGTGAGCCAGGAGAAACGGCAGCAGATTAGACACTCCATTCAGTGACCTGAAACATGTCATCAACATCATCAGTATCACCAACGCATCAGTGTCAGTGTCGTCAGTGTCAGTGTCAGTGTTAATAGTGTCAGTGTCATCAGTGACAGTGTCAGTGTCACCAGTGTCAGTGCCACCAGTGTCAGTGCCATCAGTGTCAGTGCCATCAGTGACAGTGTCATCAGTGACAGTGCCATCAGTGTCAGTGTCATCAATGTCAGTGACGTTAGTGTCATCAGTGTCAGTGTCATCAGTGACAGTGTCATCAGTGTCAGTGTCATCATTGTCATCATTGTCAGTGTCACCAGTGTCAGTGTCATCAGTGTCAGTAGTTACAGTGTCATCAGTGTCAGTGTCATCAGTGTCAGTGACGTTTGTGTCACCAGTTTCAGTGCCACCAGTGTCAGTGCCACCAGTGTCAGTGCCATCAGTGTCAGTGTCACCAGTGTCAGTAGTGACAGTGTCATCAGTGTCAGTGTCACCAGTGTCAGTGACGTTTGTGTCATCAGTGTCAGTGTCGTCAGTGTCACCAGTTTCAGTGCCACCAGTGTCAGTGTCATCAGTGACAATGCCACCAGTGTCAGTGTCATCAGTGTCAGTGTCACCAGTGTCAGTGCCATCAGTGACGTTTGTGTCATCAGTGTCAGTGTCGTCAGTGTCATCATTGTTAGTGTCATCAGTGTCAGTGTCACCAGTGTCAGTGCCATCAGTGCCATCAGTGTCAGTGTCATCAGTGTCAACGACCTCATGGTAATGGTGTCAATAGATAGGAAGCTGGGCTTCACAGAAGGCTAAAGAATTATGCATGATTCTCAGGCCCTTTCAAGATTATAAACTTTCGACAATATCATTTCAAGTAAGGAAAGTGAGGTTCCTAACACTCGGTCTCACCTTTGTTGTACAAAAGCACCTTGTAATACGAGTGCTGTATGACAAATACACTGACTTCTGGCTGTAGACAACATGTCACTCATTGGAGGAATGCTGCATCGCTGAAACACACAGGTAAGGCTGTAGCCTCAACAGCAATAAGCAATCAGTTCCAAGCTGAAAAAATACATACCACTATCAATTCTGCAAAGTTTTGCATGGAAAACACACATGTAACTTAGAAAGACATTTGTGTAAATGGATGTACTCATGTGGGGAATTGACCCCAGGGTGTTGAGCATTTTAAGTTCTAGAAGGTTGTTCGGGTAGAAAACAAGCAATATATCTCTAAAACATTGTTTACTGTACTTTAACATGTCAAGCATACACAGCTTGCTATCATCATCCTACTTAAATCCTCTCCTCTCTCCCCCTTGTCACACAGTCAACAGGTAGACAGTCTTACCTTTGGGGCAGTCCTTTTTCTCCCTCCTCCTTGTAACACAGTCAACAGGAAGACAGTCTTACCTTGGGGGCAGTCCTCTCCTCTCTCCTCCTTGTCACACAGTCAACAGGAAGACAGTCTTACCTTGGGGGCAGTCCTCTCCTCTCCCCTCCTTGTCACACAATCAACAGGAAGACAGTCTTACCTTGGGGGCAGTCCTCTCCTCCTTGTAACACAGTCAACAGGAAGACAGTCTTACCTTGGGGGCAGTCCTCTCCTCCTTGTAACACAGTCAACAGGAAGACAGTCTTACCTTGGGGGCAGTCCTCTCCTCCTTGTCACACAGTCAACAGGTAGACAGTCTTACCTTGGGGGCAGTCCACTCCTTGTCACACAGTTTAATAGGTAGACAGTCTTACCTTGGGGGCAGTCCTCTCCTCCCCCCTCCTTGTCACACAGTCAACAGGTAGACAGTCTTACCTTGGGGGCAGTCCACTCCTTGTCACACAGTTTAATAGGTAGACAGTCTTACCTTGGGGGCAGTCCTCTCCTCCCCCCTCCTTGTCACACAGTCAACAGGTAGACAGTCTTACCTTGGGGGCAGTCCTCTCCTCTCCCCTCCTTGTCACACAGTCAACAGGTAGACAGTCTTACCTTGGGGGCAGTCCTCTCCTCTCCCCTCCTTGTCACACAGTCAACAGGAAGACAGTCTTACCTTGGGGGCAGTCCTCTCCTCCTTGTCACACAGTCTAATAGGTAGACAGTCTTACCTTGGGGGCAGTCCTCTCCTCCCTCCTCCTTGTCACACAGTCAACAGGTAGACAGTCTTACCTTGGGGGCAGTTCTCTCCTCTCCCCTCCTTGTCACACAGTCAACAGGTAGACAGTCTTACCTTGGGGGCAGTCCTCTCCTCTCCTCTCCTTGTCACACAGTCAACAGGTAGACAGTCTTTCCTTGGGGGCAGTCCACTCCTTGTCACACAGTCAACAGGTCGACTGTCTTACCTTGGGGGCAGTTCTCTCCTCTCCCCTCCTTGTCACACAGTCAACAGGTAGACAGTCTTACCTTGGGAGCAGTCCTCTCCTCTCTCCTCTCTCCTCCTTATCACACAGTCTAACAGGTAGACAGTCTTACCTTGGGGGCAGTCCTCTCCTCTCTCCTCTCTCCTCCTTATCACACAGTCTAACAGGTAGACAGTCTTACCTTGGGGGCAGTTCTCTCCTCTCCCCTCCTTGTCACACAGTCAACAGGTAGACAGTCTTTCCTTGGGGGCAGTCCACTCCTTGTCACACAGTCAACAGGTCGACTGTCTTACCTTGGGGGCAGTTCTCTCCTCTCCCCTCCTTGTCACACAGTCAACAGGTAGACAGTCTTACCTTGGGAGCAGTCCTCTCCTCTCCTCTCCTTGTCACACAGTCAACAGGTAGTCAGTCTTACCTTGGGGGCAGTCCACTCCTTGTCACACAGTCAACAGGTAGACAGTCTTACCTTGGGAGCAATCCTCTCCTCTCTCCTCCTTATCACACAGTCAACAGGTAGACAGTCTTACCTTTGGAGCAGTCCTCTCCTCTCTCCTCCTTATCACACAGTCAACAGGTAGACAGTCTTACCTTGGGGGCAGTCCTCTCCTCCACTGCTACTCTGTCATAACAATCTAACAGGTAGTTCAGCATGTCTACTTCTTTACATTTGGCAAGAGGAAATTTTTCTGAGAATTCTCTATTGAAGTGTTCTGGAGACATCATCGGACTTATACTGCAAGTTGGAAATAAAACAGATTCTATACCAGCATGTCATGGTGAAACTGATTGAGACCGGGGAGTTACCATACAGAATGCCGTAAATGATAGCATATATACAAATTACAAACAGTGTTTGCAAGACGTACACAGCCCTTGCACTTTCATTTCTAGAAGGCCCCAGTAAACATCACATACCACAATGGCTTTCAGTCTGATACCATAACACATGTTTCAGGGACATACACATCTACAGCCTCAATCTACATGGAAGGACAAACACATGCCCAATCAAGTACAATTTTACATCAGAAAGTTCTATGGATATCCAGGTTTACAACCTCTTCCCTCAATTTCACATGGCTTATTTCCAGCTGGAAACACAGAGTGCCAGCCCTTGCAAGCATGTCCTACCACGGGCTGGATCAGTACACAAACAAGCACCAGTCAATGAAAGTGCATATGCATCACCACCTCACCACTTCAATGCCCCACCCAAAGGATGACATATATATACTAAAGTAGACGTTTCTTGAGCTGCCATGAACATAATACAGTTTGAGTGTCTGGCTTTGTGAGTAAATTTGACCTTCACTATCACATAGAACAGATTCAAGAACAATCCTAAGGGTATAGAGCAAAACAACCAAATATGGTGTCCCTTGGCATAATTCAATGAAAACACAATTGTGCTATTCATTGAAAGTAGGTCATCAACATGATCAAGACCAACTATTGGCCGGATAACACTGTCATCACTGGCAAATCATCAACTACTACAAGTAAAGTAAGATATATGGTTGAAAAACGTCTGTATTACAATTGTAAAAACTTCTAAATGCCTCTCAAAGAGGTTAACCACTTCAAGTATCAGATTAAACCACATCTACAGGAAAATGTGGACAAGGAACAAGGAATGATCACTACCATGGCACTGACCTTATTGTTATATAGCTGACTGTATTGTTATATAGCTCACAACTATTCCTAATCATTGACCTTGTTATATAGCTGACTCACAACTATTCCTAATCACTGACCGTATTGTTATATAGCTGACTCACAATTCCTAATCATTGACCGTATTGTTATATAGCTGACTCACAACTATTCAAAATCACTGACCTTATTGTTATATAGCTGACTAACAACTATTCCTAATCATTGACCGTATTGTTATATAGCTAACTCACAACTATTCCTAATCAATGACCCAACTGTTATATAGCTGACTCACAACTATTCCTAATCATTGACCTTGTTATATAGCTGACTCACAACTATTCCTAATCACTGACCGTATTGTTATATAGCTGACTCACAACTATTCCTAATCATGGCCTTGCCCTAACACTAGTACACCAAGTTGCACTGACTAAAATTAAATGCTTCTTGTGTTTGGCAGAAAACAAACTTTTTTTCATGCTTCACCTACAGGATACCCTTGAGCCTTACAATCACAAAATGACCCAGCTTAGAAAGGAGACATACTTGAGATAATATCCCCGCCATGATGTCCATACATTACATTGTTTCAAAGTGTGACGTGGTCAGATTATTACATCAGTGTGGAGACTCCAGGTGAATACACAGATCCCCAGCCACCTGGTGTCATACAAGGCGACTCAATGGATCGGGTGGTCAGACTTGCTTGATTACATGTCATTCTAATCTTATTACAGTCAAATTAATCCCACATAGTTGGTTGCATATGATTATGTTGGATAAACAAAAATAAGTTGTATCAACCTTTGTAATCGAAAATCGGACAACCACACTATAGATAATGATACAAACACGTAATATAAAAAAATGAAAAAATGAAATATTCATATTGTTTGATACGTTGTTAGCAGAATATTTTTTCTTATCATGCAACCTCTGAAGCTTAACACAAAACTACTATCAACTGATTCAAAATACTTTTGAAAGAATAGTCTGGAATGGGAGTCGCCAGTTTGAAACTAGTGCCGCAGAGCTCAAGAAAGCAGCTTTCTTAGTGGCTAATGTAGGCTTCCTGTTAGTCATTTCATTGGTCAGTCAAAATTCCCTGTAATGGGATGTCTTCAGCGGTTGCGAGAACTTGTATCTGATTTTATGAGATTGAGGTAATCTTAGCATGTGTTTTTTTTTATATCCTGTTTTGTTTATTCAAAGCATTAATTGTTTATTGTTAAGCAAGTCTTTCTCTGCAGCCGTTGTAATATGCAGCTACCAGCCGACTCGTTTCGCATCAAAACACGTAGCTGTGTTCTCGCATGCAGATGACCACAGAGTATGCTGATCACTTGTCGCATTAACAAGACTGATTAACGTCGGATTAACGGGTCTAAATAGCACCGATTTAATTGGTTCCCATCATTTGTGTCGGACAAAGCCGACTGTCGGATCAACGAGACTTGACTGTACATGGATTGGTGCACATGATGTCAATCACTGGATTGTCTGGTCCAGACGATTTTATTTACAGACCATTGTCATATATTCCTGAGCCTGGTGTTAAAAAATAAACAAAAAGCTTAATAATTATGATAGGCAGAAAATAATCAAGAATATTCAAGACCAATGAGTTCCATGTTATCTTTAGTTCAACTGGTGTACTCTTTCATCTATGACCATGTTTAAGGCACAGGGTTTTTACACCCATCAATTTAATTTAATCTCTGAAATGCCATGTTCACAATAACAACAAGCTTCACACTTGAGACATTCACAGATGCACGGCATCATGTCACATTATCAGATATGCACTAATTCATCCCAAAATGGAAAATTCTGTTCCAAAACATGACTATGTTTCAATTCATAAACATGCACTGTCCATCGATAAGTTTCCACATTACACTGAGTGAGTGAGTTGGGTTAAACGCTTCTTTGAACAGTATTCCAGATATATCACGGCATGTCAAAAGCCCAAAGTGATGCAGGCCTTAGACGTTTACCACTTAGGTGAAACCCACAAGCATGGTGCTGACACCACATTACCATGACTACAGCTTGCTGGGCCAAAACAAACAGCCTCAGGCCATCAAGCATCAGTGAAACACTCTGACATGATCATTTTCTGTTCTATATTTCAATCTGTGTAAACATTCTACAGAAAAGAACAAATCTCGCTGCCTGCACACACTTGTGTTTCAAACTTTAATAACTGAGAACCAACTTTCTTTCTGTTGTGGAGTGTAGTTAGGAGAACATAATGACAATATATTGGCCAGTCAAGCACATCTCCATACCCTTACAATACCACACCTTGAAACCACAATGGTACCACCAAAAACCTGTAGCTGCTGCTGCTTACCTTCTTGGGCTGCTGCTGTAGGACTTGAGGGGGGACAGAGCTGGGGGATGTGTGCGTAACAACAGCACAGGGTTCTCCTGGCTGTCCCTCATCAGCATGAGAACCTCCATGAGCACCTGGCTGACAACGTCACTATAGTCAATGTTACCCCCACTACATGCCTCGTCTACCACCTCCACTAACTGAGGCAAATGAAGAGTTTCACACGATTTCTCTCTCCAGGAAGTCACAAACACACGACTGACAGCCGATAACACTTGTTCCTCACTTGCTTCAGATCCAAAGCTGACATCCTGGAAATTGACAAAGTGCTGATTGATATTATTTCAAGTATTCACCTGTCTACTTCATGTGTGATGCCTGTGACATAACAATGATATAGAGCGCAGACAATATCTGAACCTACCGCCAATGTAACGTGATCAGTAAACACAAATGTCAGACTCAGAAAAAGAATACCAGTACACTCTCGGGACCCACAACAATAGTCTTAGTACCTACAGCACATCATGGGCAGTTTTGGACATCTGTCGTCATATCCACCAGTCATGACCAATGTCCACATGATTCATTCCAGGCTCCAAAGTAATTATCAAATCCTACAGTACATGATACCACTTCACTACTTTACAGGACCCTCATAATGCCCGCAAGGACACTTACCATTGTGTTAGTGAAGGTAAAACCCTGATGTGGTCATGACAACTAAGCCAGGAACAGAGTGACCAGGGGCTGACAGAGTGACAACAACCCACACCATTATTACCATGATTACACCATTATAAACAAGATGGCGAGGCCTGTTGCTCTTTTAACATGTCCTAGTCATTGCTAGAAGAGGTGTTTTTTGGCACTGTATAGTAGAATATACCCTCTGAATTTTGGTTATTATACTTATTCTTATTTACATGAAGATTAAAGAGAAACAATTATCTAAAAATATATGGTCAAACATTTATCATTCTTGAATGCTTTTTGTTTAACAACCAGTGATTAATCTTGAAAGCCCTACCAATCCCAGCTCTATCGTGGTTATTGTGATCATGAAACATTGTTTGTTCTTTAACGATGCACTCAGCAATATTCCAGCTATATGACGGTGGTATGTAAATAATCGAATCTGTACCATGAGCATAAATCTACACAAATGGGATACGATGGCATGCATCAACCAAATCAGACAGCCTGACCACCCGATCCTCTTAGTCGCCTCTTATGACAAGCATAGTTGCCTCTTAAGGCAAGCATGGGTTGCTGAAAACGGTCCTGAAATAAAACTATTCCTTGTCAAGTCAATTCTTATATAAATTGAAACTGAAGCAAGTTTTCGCAGTTACCCTTTTCCTCTTGATTTCAGGTCTGGGTTCTGGTTCTTCGACCTCCATTGTCTCGATGCCAGAATCCACATCCATCTGAGACTGGGAGCTACAAACACAGACACACACTCAGTATCTAGGTAACACACACCAGACACACTCGACATCCAGGTAACACACACCAGACACACTCAACATCCAGGTAACACACACAAGACACACTCGACATCCAGGTAACACACACCAGACACACTCAACATCCAGGTAACACACACAAGACACACTCGACATCCAGGTAACACACACAGACACACTCAACATCTAGGTAACACACAGACACACTCAACATCTAGGTAACACACACAGACACACTCAACATCTAGGTAACACACACAGACACACTCAACATCTAGGTAACACACACAGACACACTTAACATCTAGGTAACACACACAGACACACTCAACATCTAGGTAACACACACAGACACACTTAACATCTAGGTAACACACACAGACACACTCAACATCTAGGTAACACTCACAGACACACTCAACATCCAGGTAACACACACAAGACACACTCAACATCCAGGTAACACACACAGACACACTCAACATCCAGGTAACACACACAGACACACTCAACATCCAGGTAACACACACAGACACACTCAACATCTAGGTAACACACACAGACACACTCAACATCCAGGTAACACACACAGACACACTCAACATCCAGGTAACACACACAAGACACACTCAATATCTAGGTAACACACACAGACACACTCAACATCCAGGTAACACACACAAGACACACTCGACATCCAGGTAACACACACAGACACACTCAACATCTAGGTAACACACAGACACACTCAACATCTAGGTAACACACACAGACACACTCAACATCTAGGTAACACACACAGACACACTCAACATCTAGGTAACACACACAGACACACTTAACATCTAGGTAACACACACAGACACACTCAACATCTAGGTAACACACACAGACACACTTAACATCTAGGTAACACACACAGACACACTCAACATCTAGGTAACACTCACAGACACACTCAACATCCAGGTAACACACACAAGACACACTCAACATCCATGTAACACACACAGACACACTCAACATCCAGGTAACACACACAGACACACTCAACATCCAGGTAACACACACAGACACACTCAACATCTAGGTAACACACACAGACACACTCAACATCCAGGTAACACACACAGACACACTCAACATCCAGGTAACACACACAAGACACACTCAATATCTAGGTAACACACACAGACACACTCAACATCCAGGTAACACACACAAGACACACTCAATATCTAGGTAACACACACAGACACACTCAACATCCAGGTAACACACACAGACACACTCAACATCCACGTAACACACACAGACACACTCAACATCTAGGTAACACACACAGACACACTCAACATCTAGGTAACACACACAGACACACTCAACATCTAGGTAACACACACAGACACACTCAACATCTAGGTAACACACACAGACACACTTAACATCTAGGTAACACACACAGACACACTCAACATCTAGGTAACACTCACAGACACACTCAACATCCAGGTAACACACACCAGACACACTCAACATCCAGGTAACACACCAGACACACTCAACATCCAGGGACACAAACTATAACACTGTGCATAACCTTTTAAGATTAATTGGGAAATTTGTAATTCCAATATTGGAATGTTTAACTGATATTTGTTGCAGACATGGGGCAGGCTTGGGTTCAATATCAGACTCTGAGTTGCCACCCAACTTTTCACTGATTTTGTGTATGGAGTCAAAATTAAATTTTACTGATGTGTCTCCAGATGTTTCACTATCATAGAACTCTCTAGATCAACAGGTTGACTGTGCCAACATCTGATAATGCTCATGACATGAGGAATAAGACCACGTATCCCCAGTACTATGTGTATTATTACTACAATTACCATGCATCGGTGAATCACAACTTTTAAATTCACGATACAAGTATAAATCACCGTGGAACACTTAGTCTAAAATATCAATACATACCTAAAATGTTTGCTGTAAAAACTGTTACACTAAACACGAAATAGCATGACCAGGAGTGAAAAACAGTAGTGAAAACATAAATATTTTCATCCATTGCACCATACTTGACACTGCCAACTGTGAATTGTCAGTGTACCAGGTATTTGCGAATCATGTCTATGAAAAAGATGGCTTACGCACCACAGATAAGAGCACATGCAAGTACAATGACACTTGTGAACAAAGTATCGCGATACTTATTGGATCGCAGTTGATGTATCGACCCAGCCCTAATTATTACACTAATGCTGACAAGAAATTATCAGTAGACACCTGTTAGTCAACATGGATACTGTTGTGGGAGAAGTTTTTTTCTTTTGTTTGTTTGTTTGTTGTTTAATGCCACACTAAGCAATATTCCAGCTATATGACGGCAGCCTGAAAATAATTGAGTCTGGACCAGACAATCCAGTGATTGACATCATGAGCATCGATTTACGCAATTGGGATACGATGATATGCATCAACCATGTCATCGAGTCTGACCATGTGATCCCATTAGTTGCCTATTACGACAAAGCAACCCATGCTTGCCGTAAAAGGCGACTCTGCTTGTCGTAAGAGGCAACTAACGGGATCGGATGGTCAGACATGTCATCGATCCTAATTGCGTGGATCAATGCTTATGATGTCATTCACTGGATTGTCGGGTCCAGACTCAATTATTTACAGACCACCGTCGTATAGCTGGAATATTGCTGCGTGCAGCTTAAAACAACAAACCAACCAACCTTACGACAAGCAATAGGTGCTAAAGACCTATGCTAACCAAGATCTTCACAGGTCACTTTACTTTTCAATTGCTGTTGCTACAGTGGTCAGTCACCCTAGGACCTGAATCTTTGCTGCCTGGGACCCCCAAAACCATGACTGAGACTCTCCACAACTCACAAATAAAAGGGGCTGGCTGGGTAGAACCCTGTTAAATATTAAAAATGACAAAAATCCTACTTTTTTTCGGAGCAAAATTCGGTGTCCATGTCCATGGTCTGAGGAGTAGCTGCTGGGCAATCAACACCAAGGCTGCCAGATGAGGATGCTGTACTTTGAGATGACTGCTGGCTCTCAGAGCCCTGCTGCATGGGTGATGCTTGACTAGCTTCATTCCTTTCTACAGGACTGGACTGGTTGCCTCCAAGGCGGGCAAGGCGTCTCCTCCGAATCTGGAATGGCAAACACGCTGACATTCCCATTTCATGTGTATTTGCAAATTATTGCAAAACTATATGACAACAGCAGTGATAGAAACAGTTTTAGTCCACTAGTTCTTTTTATGATAACATATAGCAAAACTCTTAAAAAGGTCAAATCTCTACTAGTCCTAATGATATCTTAAGTATTGGGCAGTTTGGCAAGGACAATAGGACTAATGCCAATTTCTATCACTGAATGCTTATCCTACACACAGTTTCAGATGACAGAGATTCCCTGAACTACAAATAGGCATAAACGAACATGAAGATGGACATAAACCTGATAAGACAATACCAACATAAAAGCCAAGCATAATAATAATAATATTTAAAGAAACATCTCTAAAAGAATGTCATCTGGTTTACATGTTGAGGAACAGTTCCTTTTTTAAAAAATTACAAGTAAAAAGTAGTATTAAAGTCAATCATTTAAGAAACTTGGTCAAGAAAATCCAAGAAACGATTTAAATTAATAATCACCGAGCATCTTTGTTTGACTGATGATAAGGCCAATGAAATATTGAAAACTTGATCATTTGGTCTTACCACCCAACTGTTAACATGCTTTTGTAATCAGCGTATGATAACATGAAGTATGAACAGTATCATTTAAGATGTACTTTATATTCTTCACACTGTGTGACTTCATTACAAATTTCACAGCATGAACTATACATCAGTCCTCATAGAAACAATTAAAAAAAACTTATGGCAGCCGAGTAATCTGACAGATGGTTGAATTTCCCACTGAGGGAAGTAGCTGGAATAATGACCAAATATACTCAATTATGTCTTGTAATTGGTTAATTCGGGCTCAAAGCAATCGAAATGAGCAGAAGGACCAAAAAAGGTATGAAGCAACGTGTAATTCGAAAAAACCCAGCTGATTTGTAACCAACAAACAATGACACGCAAAAAGTCAAAACAGCAGAAGCAAGAGTGTTGTTATTTCAAATCACCTCGTCGGGAGTTAATTCACTCATCGCTTCTGAGTGATGCCTAACGATGTGTTAGAATGTTGCCTCCTGTGAACGAAACTTAAAAGAAAGGGTAGAGAACAAGTTTGAAAAAATATACAAAGATGACGCTAGAAACAATTCACGACCAGGATTTTCTAATTTTCTGTGACGTCAATTCCGGATTACACAGTAGCCTCCCATGACTGAATTGTCAGTTCCGGTTTTGGAGTTGTCTCCCTGTTAAATGCAACTATTTCCTTAAGAACTAGTATCATTTATTTAAGCCTAACAGGCGCCATGTGGCGGCCTCACCTGTAAACGACATGTAAATCGGCTGCTTTCAGGGACTTTTTAATTGATGCTATAATAAACTTTACAACTGAACCATAAAAGTGTTCGTAATTTTAATTTAAAAATTGCAGCTTTTCACTTCATTTTATGGGATGGTTAGAAGCAATGTTTGCACTCCTGAAAGATTACAGATAACCTATTCGTTTATCAGCGAATCGCCACCGCCTTAGGGTTTATGATGTAAGGCTACAGGCGACGCTGGCTAGGAGGCATTTTAATGCATCAATGAAAATTAACTAAGCGCGCAAAGGACATTATTGTATCGCTCACTGTCTGGACTTGTATCACGTTTCACTGAATGTGTCGTTACTAATCCCCTAGACATCGAGCAATATTTATAAAATATTGAACTTATATCCATGACCGAAGCGTTCAGTCTAAAACGCGTATCGTCGGATCACAGATTTTTGAACGTCATTAGATTTCGGACGGCCATCTTTTATAAGTGAATGAGATGTTTTACAGTTGTTGTATGATTAGAGAGAAAACTACGAATGTTGCTTTAGCGACTGAAAACCCATAACACGTGGATATAATCTACGCATATTGTTATTTCATCCCAAATCATAACAGGATGCCTGTATTTTGATGTATTAATAATTAAAGCACTTTTCACCCATGACTATTTTGGTAGTGTGATTTATATTTTATGTTTCGTGACCACTGTTGATTTATCAGACACATAAACAGCTGCACATCAGTCCAGGCACCCTCGTGCGTAACTACTGCTATCTCTTTAACATCAGATCTTGGTGTTTGCTTCCACCAGACACAGACATTTTATGTTATGGCTATTCGCTGTGGAGAGAAGCGCCCCTGAGGTGTGTCATGACCCCAAGATAGTTGGTTCGAATCCCAATGACGGTATAATTGTGAAATCCTGTCCCAAACTGCGTAAAACAGAAGTAATTCAACACCACTACTTCTACCACTGATGCTAAATGGAGGCGTTTGGGTAGCCTCGTGGTTAAAGCGTTTGCTCGTCACGCAGTAGGCTCGAGTTCGATTCCCAACATGTGTACAATGTCTGAAGCCCATTTATTGTGTCTCCGCCGTGATATTGTTAAAAACAGTGTAAAACCATACTCACTCACTATTGTCATAAATGGTATTATAAACAAATAAATAAATAAATAAATGTTTAATGTCTGATTTATCATCGTCTTAATCTCCAAATTGATCTCATGATAAATCTATTCCCAATGGCTAGCGGGTGATTTGGAAAAAGGAGTCATCTCAATACTGTAGATAAGGTTGAGTCGTCAATGTCCCCCAACGTACCCGATGATCACGTGATGCAGCTGCCTCGGGTGATGTCGTCGACTTGAGAGACATTACTCTGACATTACCCTGGGTGTATACCGCATTGCTTTCCCGAGCACGTATCTCAGTGCACGAACTGACGGGATAAGCGAGCATCGCATATACACATTGGTGACTTCAAAATGTATGGAATGTGACGAGGTTGGTCTAACATTTTGCATAAACACAATTATGTATTATTATCTTGACGCTGTTAGTTGACTTTATAACACCTTCCTTAAATTGTCTCTGTTAAACATCTTGACGCTGTAAGTCGTCTATAACACCGTATCCTTGTCACTTTTAACATCTTGACGCTGTAAGTCGTGTCACTGTTAAACATCTTGACGCTGTAAGTCGTCCATAACACCGTATCCTTGTCACTGTTAAACATCTTGACGCTGTAAGTCGTCCATAACACCGTATCCTTGTCACTGTTAAACATCTTGACGCTGTAAGTCGTCTATAACACCGTATCCTTGTCACTGTTAAACATCTTGACGCTGTAAGTCGTCCATAACACCGTATCCTTGTCACTGTTAAACATCTTGACGCTGTAAGTCGTCCATAACACCGTATCCTTGTCACTGTTAAACATCTTGACGCTGTAAGTCGTCTATAACACCGTATCCTTGTCACTGTTAAACATCTTGACGCTGTAAATCGTCCATAACACCGTATCCTTGTCACTGTTAAACATCTTGACGCTGTAAGTCGTCTATAACACCGTATCCTTGTCACTGTTAAACATCTTGACGCTGTAAGTCGTCCATAACACCGTATCCTTGTCACTGTTAAACATCTTGACGCTGTAAGTCGTCTATAACACCGTATCCTTGTCACTGTTAAACATCTTGACGCTGTAAGTCGTCCATAACACCGTATCCTTGTCACTGTTAAACATCTTGACAGGTATGACTGTGAAATGTTTCATCGCTACATCTAACTACTCAATAGCTTCAGTTGTCCCATCAGAATCAGGAATAAATATTGATTATAGACGGCGAGTGTCGTTTTTTTTTTACATTTTGATTGAAGGAATCTATGTCATGACATGTCTGTAATTCAATCATAGATTTTGTTATAGTCAATAACATTTGTTTCTATTAATGTATGTGAATGTTTGCTATTGAACAATATGGCCATGTTGATTTCTGTAACTATGCATGATTAAATGATTTATGCATCATTATTTCAATGTGTGCGTAACCACATATATCATCTGATTCTTTAACTAATTGTTTTACATACACCGCGTCCTACGTTTGTATTTAACATGTGATTTTTTAAATTTATTGTTAGGTTATTTTTGTTTTACATCGTCCGAGAACCTGCATAAACTAACTGAATGAATATTAGTTGTAACACTATCTGTATTTTAATATTCAGTCGTAAGAGGAAACTCGTTCCGACAGATGCCATGGTTTGAACGAAGTCATGTCAAAATACGTGGCAGGAGTTTGAATAACCGAATTTCAGACAAAGGTACATCCAAAGGGACATCTGCTACTTCTTTCACATTTTTGTTTGTTCATTCACGTTGTGGTTATGTTTTTGCAACTGAATGTAAACAGTCGGAGCAACCGGCCTCCACAGCCACGTTGTCAGGTAGCTGGGATGGTGTGTTGACAGTTCGGCCGCTGTGCTCAAAAGCAAGTGGTTCACTGATTGTGTTGATACAATGATGTCTTTTCTTCAGTGTTTTGGTGCGGATGATGTTGTATTACGCAAACATTAATTTGCGTCATTGTTTGTTATTTTTGACCGAGAGAAATATTGTTGACATGAATCGGTGACAGCATATTTATATCCACTAGGCCTACATCTACTGCTAGTGCTACACCATTCACAGATGCTGTGCACTATCACATCAAGGTTTGAAACTTCCACCAAATTGTATCTATATCTATATTACCTGTGATGTAGTTCAGGTGCAACTGGTGTCATAGACATTAATAGTTAACAAGAGCTGTTTTGAAATATAAATTTATTTTTTTAAGCTGAAAAATAAACAGAATGAAGAACACATTATCCATCATGTAATGTAGACAGGGGAACCAGGATGCAAGTTTGAAAGGTGCAAGATTCTGATGAATATCATTTGAGTATGTGTTAGAATGTGTGACCTGTCTCACTGACTTACTGTGAGTTACCGATGGCTGTTTTCTCCTGATATACAATTCTGCCCCCTTGTCTTGCTTATAGCTAACTGCTGTGTAAAATGACAGATGGTCGTTAACACTAACAGCGCTTGTTTGCAGGTGGGGGATAACCACAGATGAAATATGATATGTCAGTCAAAGCATAATACCCCACGATGATGAAATCTGTTAGGTAAGACTTCAGCCCATATCTCCCTCCAAAATATATATAATTAAAAAGATTGAGAGGTAATCATATATGTTTTTAGATTTTGGAGGAGGGGGATATGGTAGGAAGTCTTACCCACTGTTATGTATCAAATTGCACTCGTTTCTGAGATTTGGAAATTGTCAGCAATAAATGGTTATGTTACACACCCATTTGTAAGAGCTTGGTTTTTTTTATTTAGGGTAGATGTTTTCTCAAGAAAATGTTGGTTCAAATGGATGATTTTATCAATGAATGATGGTAAACATGGTAAAAGGGAGGAATAAACAACTGCACTAAAACTTGAATGTTTCCCAACTGAAATAAAATACTTTGATTGGCCTGTTATCCCCTGATCTATGTTTATCCCCATGCTTGACAGTTTTCTACTTTATAAACTGTGACACTTTGATGATTCAGACTGAGAATAGGTCTCCAGTATGCCACCACCTTACTCATGAAATCTAATCTTGGTTCTTGCTAAGGCTAAACAAAGATCTGAGGACATCCCACTAGGGGTCACCATCAGAGCTCCTCGCTAAGGCTACACAAAGATCTGAGGACATCCCACTAGGGGTCACCATCAGAGCTCCTCGCTAAGACTAAACAAAGATCTGAAGACATCCCACTAGGGGTCACATCAGAGCTTCTCCCTAAAGCTAAACAAAGATCTGAGGACATCCCACTAGGGGTCACATCAGAGCTTCTCCCTAAAGCTAAACAAAAATCTGAGGACATCCCACTAGGGGTCACCATCAGAGCTCCTCGCTAAAGCTAAACAAAGATCTGAGGACATCCCACTAGGGGTCACATCAGAGCTTCTCGCTAAGGCTAAACAAAGATCTGAGGACATCCCACTAGGGGTCACATCAGAGCTTCTCCCTAAAGCTAAACAAAGATCTGAGGACATCCCACTAGGGGTCACCATCAGAGTTCCTCGCTAAAGCTTAACAAAGATCTGAGGACATCCCACTAGGGGTCACATCAGAGCTTCTCGCTAAGGCTAAACAAAGATCTGAGGAAATCCCACTAGGGGTCACCATCAGAGCTTCTCCCTAAAGCTAAACAAAGATCTGAGGACATCCCACTAGGAGTCACCATCAGAGCTTTGCTCACCAGATTGAGAAAGTCATGCCAACTCAAAATGGCTAAAACTGGGTATTCCGAATGACAGTAAAAAGAAAATCATGGTCTATCTCTCTTTAAATGGGATAAACATTTGAAACGGAAGAGACTTCCCATGACCCATGGAAAGTACTGCCATGCAATCTTGGCCATCTATTAGACATTTCAGAATTTTCTTTGTTCTGTTTTTAATTTTTGAATCAATATTTTTCAAAGAGTTGTCTGTAATGAAAGTAACCAGTTTGAAACTTTGTCCTGTAAACCGTGTGAAAGCTGTTTTCTGATTGGCTAATGTTATTCTTGTTAGTCATTTCATTGGGCGGTCAAAGATTGCGAAAGGTCGTTCTGATTCGACCTGTATTGGATGTCCCACAGATCTGCATTTAGCGGTAGCAAGAACTAAGATCCGATTTTAATGAGATTGTGACCTACTTTTCAGTGATCTCAGTAAGATTTATTTTTTTATGTTTCACTGAAAATAATTTTTAGAAAGTACATATATATATGATATCTATATTTATATTTATTTTTTTCAGATGTGTTCTTAATAGCATCATCAAAGTAACTGTCGTGATAAACGATGAGCCCATGAGAACTCTGTTGTGAGAAGTTGACTCTTCTCAATAGGATCATGAGCTCATCAGATGGTAATGGTCCATCTGTCAGAATACATGAGGATCACTTGAAGCAAGAAGAAGCAAACATGAAAAAGTTATCGCTCCGAACTCGGAAGATTAGTACAAGTGATGATTTGGAGAAACAGGGTCTGCTGAACATCCGAGCCTTTCTGTTCCTTGTGCTGTGGTACTTCTTCAGCTTCTGTACTTTGTTCTTGAACAAATACATCCTGGCCACACTCAAGGGCGACCCGACATTGCTAGGTGAGTTGGAGTGCATGTTCTTTGGTGTAGAGAGTATTGGAGTTAAACATGTAAAACTTAGTGTTGTAAAGATTTCATTTGCACAGCGTACATGAATTAAGAATTTAGACAGTTTGTTAAAGTAGCTCTGGAAACATTCAAATGTTTTATAAAAGTACGTCTTTTGTAGTTTTTAGCTAGCTACTGTCCATTACTTTCTCCCGAAAATCTGTAAACAAGAAAAACGTGTCTGAAGATAAATTAGATATCTATTCAAAATCTATTGAATTAAGTATACAACATGTACAGTGGTATAAAATCAATGATAATTATCAGGTACTATATTTTCAATTACTTTGACAATGATGTGTGTCAGGACCTGTCAGGCAAGAAGAGCTGAAGGAAGGTGTCATCTCAAATCTATAAAATGCTTCAATTCCACCAACAACAGCAATAGTCTGGTCAGTGGAATAATGATTTATAAAGGGACTATGCTGCAATTTTAGAACACTTGCAATACTATTGCAAAATAGGTCAACTGTTTCAATAGCATTGCATAGTTTGATGGGTATGTATAATGTCCTACAATATTTCTTAACTTTATTCGACTTGTTTACAAGCCCTTTCATGTGACTGAGAAGTTGTTACAGTTCTAAGAGAGGTCTAAGGGCAAGGCATGGTAAGAAGGGCCTTTGCTTTATATTACAAGATCTGCAAAACTTTTATACAAGTAGTAAGTTTTGTTATCCAAAACAGCCTTCCACAGGAGATATTGCTTGGGTGATATCAAGCGATATCTCCAAGAATATTGCACCACAATGAAATATAGCTTCTATGAAATTGCATAACAGTGCATTGCAGTCCATTGTGAAGACATTGGTTACCATGACCTCACAATCAAATGCCATTGCTAATCTCAGCCACTGAACTGGGTAGATGTCCTGTTTACACTCAAGACATTGGTTATTTGTGTTTTACAAATCTGAAAAAGTTTGAAGAATGACCATGCAGCTTAAAACCTTGTTTTGCAATATTGTGAATTTTGACAATGATTGAGCCTTTGCAGAACAATAGTTGGTGTCACCAAAGTGAAAATACTGTCATGGGCAATCATGTTTCCTGAAATTATCTGCATACATTGGGAATCAATGGCAAAAGTTACTGAGGTTTTCACTTATGGTTGCCATGGTAACCAACCTTGACTTTGAAGAGAACTGGTCCAGTTTCCCCATCTTATGTCATTTGATATGATATAATATACCTATAAACTGCATTCCTGTGCATTATAATGAACATTAATGAATCGAAAAAATAATATATGTCTATTACTTCCCATTTATGATCATTTTAGCCACTTGAATTCCAATTTTATTTTTTTTAAATATTGAGAACAAAAGTGCTTTCATAAATTAGTGCTTGCTATAAAATGCGCCGCCGCAGGTTTTATTTAGCAAACAAATATTCAAAACTCTCAACATCGTTGGGCGTCTTCATTGACATTGCGTGTAGAGATGATAGATCACTAGGAGGAGCTTATGCGCACTCGATGACCCCTGACCTCACAGGGTATTGTTTCGCCGTTTTGAAACAGCGCATGGTTTCTGGTCACGATACGATACGTATCTCGATACGCAATGATAAAAAAAGAGTACTCCAGTACTCAGGCATATATTAAATTTCAAGGCTTCAAGCATGTCAGGATTGGACCTTTCATGCTTTTGGAACAGTCAAAATTATTATATAATAACAAGACTACTTGTCAAGCTTCAAAGTGGAACTTTCTCTCATCCTCCGTCAAAACATGTCAAATTTAAAAAAAGCAGGAAACTTCAAAGTTCAAACACCAGAAAATAATCAATGCTCTTTGCAGTGTGAATAGTTCAACTTCAGGTTCTTTTTCAGAAAAATTAAAATGTCAACATCGTCAGGGGCCAGTGATACCCTCACTTAACGGAGGTGGAGTCGTAGGGGGTAGATGACCAACACAACAGTACATGCTCTGCCTACCTAACATGATCTACGATGTACGCCTCAGGGTTTGAAACAGGATTAGAATAACAGTTGTTTATGATTCATAGTGTAAGAAACATATTTATCGAGTGTTATGCGCTTTTAAAAAACCACATAGTATCCCTTCAGCAAATTCAGGTGAATAAACAGGTATTACAAACCTGGTCAATAAAAATATGAAATTTGATATAAAACATCACCAGACACGATGATTTACCATTAACATTTTATTTCCTGCTCTCCAAGGCATTGTTTTATATGCAAAGATTAAGATTATCGTGTGTATAGTCTCGTAAACTAAGCTGGAAATAGCAACCAGCTGTACACGCTTTTCCTCCCGATCTACTGGTGATTCAGTTAAAAAGTACCCAGTGATTCAACTTCAAAGAATTTCAGAAGAAATTGTATCTGAAATTATTGTTTTATCAGGAATAATATATTTCAATATCGTGTTACTTTATATGCAACTTTATATATCTTTAAAATTATAAGAAGCATAAGCGTAGCAGTTTGGTACAGGTGATTGCTATTGCAGACTATTTTTACGTATGGTACATTTTGACCAGTCTCCGTAGAGAGTTCCGGCACTACATGTATTTCGATTGCGAAAACATCAAGTTGCCACAAATATGTTTTTGGAAGGGTCAAAGTATGGCATTTATAATATATGTATCCATTCACTGGCAACAAAAGTTCGTTGCAACCTGCAATCTGACCGTGGTTGCTGTAAATAACGGTGAGTTGTGCGATCTACTGATCACTTCACATACGATTTCGCCGAAATTAATGTAAACAATATTGAATGAAATTTTAAATAAAATTAATAAAATATATTACAAACATGAGTCCAGATAGTATAATAATAGGATTGAATTGCATACTTAAAGTCAGATTTTTTTACTGGTATTTCCGGTGTTCCCTGCTTGCGCTGATAATGTTGCTTTTTTGTGATTTGGAAAAACATCGTTGTCTGTGAAGAAACTTGAGCTTATTAAAATGTAAGTTAGTTTTGGGAGCCATGAGTTACCACACTCAATAACAGAGTTAGCGCTATATTGGGTGCAATAGCCAGGGAACATTGTACTAAGATGTGCATTCCGTATTGGGGCGTATCGATAAAGAGACCCACGTGTATCGTGTATCGTATCGTTGGTCCAGTATCCCGATGCATCGGAATATCGGTGTATCTTTTCACCCTTACTAATTACGTCATAGAGTATTGTGACGTGTTTGAAAAGTTTGTGGTACTGTATTCTAAAGGTAGGCCGGATTTTGCTATATGTTATCATTATGAGGACTGGTGGACAAAAAATGTTAGTTTCTGTTGCTGGGAATGTTTTTCATGATGGCAGCTAGCTATATATGCATGATATGCAAGAGTGCAGTGAACAGCTAGCTATATATGCATGATATGCAAGAGTGCAGTGAACAGCTAGCTATATATGCATGATATGCAAGAGTGCAGTGAACAGCTAGCTATATATGCATGATATGCAAGAGTGCAGTGAACAGCTAGCTATATATGCATGATATGCAAGAGTGCAGTGAACAGCTAGCTATATATGCATGATATGCAAGAGTGCAGTGAACAGCTAGCTATATATGCATGATATGCAAGAGTGCAGTGAACAGCTTGCTCACAACTATTCTACAGCACTAACCTTAGACCTAGCACGCCAGTTATAGAGCACTGGGTTCAAGCTATCTCTGTGAAGAGCTGGAGGCAGGGGTAGGTCAGGGAGATGTTCTTCTGTTTATCCATATGTTTTTTTCTGCTCTGGTGTCAAAAGTATGCATGTTTTGATGAACATACATAGTTTAGATAACTTGGCATACATCAATATGTACACCAAATTTGCACAGCATTTACAGTCATCTGTTTTCAGGCTTTGTTATATAGAAATATAGTATATAGAAATGTATGCTCCTGGAAAATTGTGACTCTAAAGATTACCAGGGTCCCCCTAATTCTTGTCAGTCCCAACTTTTAACAATTACAAAAACATATGGAAAATTACCTGGTTTTAATTCTTTCAACATCATGTTCAGTACAATGATGTCATCTCTGAAGTAACTACGTTAGATCTACATGTTATTCACACAAAGTCATTTTCTATTTTCATTTTGAATAAATCGAGACTTAAATCGCTGCAAATATATATTCAACCTTGAAGCAAAGTGAAATGTTATTTCCTTTCTCTAAAAATAGACAAGGGGATATCCTGATGGTAACAGACAAGCTGACTTCATTCGAAAATATATTTATATGAATATCGCCAATGTTTTGTTCAATAACAAAGATTTGTAAGGTACTTTCAGGACTGGCAGTCACATGAATTACCGATCTAAACCTAATTTGTCTGGTAAAAAGATGGTAATTATCGGTAAACTAGAACACTGCCATGATCCAGCTGGTACATTGATATATGTGGCATAGAACAACATTGACCCCTCCCCCTTCCAATGTTTCAGGCGCCATGCAGATGGTGATGACGACGGTGCTGGGGTTCATACAGATGTATCTGCCCCTGGGCATGTACAAGCCCGTGCAGAGGGAGGGCAAGCCACCCAACTTCTGGAGGAACATGATCCTGGTGGGAACCATGAGGTGAGAGGCGGGAGGAGGAGAACCAATACATCCTTTTTTCTTTTGTCGGAATAACAAAATAGTCAAAGTCCTTATGTTAAGAGTTATTTACAAATGCAGCCAAATACTGTAGTCATGACATTAATGGTTCACTGCACATACCAGAAGCATTGGCATATCACATGTTCCCAATCACATAGAGCAGCACCCACTCAGCACCATTGCCTTGACTGTCTGTTACTGGGCACTCAACATTGTTCCCCTTGACTGTGTCAATCAATCAATCAATCTGGGAGATTTAACGTGCACTTTCCGACTAATGCGTATTTCGCACACGGGGAAGCACTTATACTATTGGGGAAAAAAAGCGTAATGAATAAATAAAGAAGTGCAACCCAAAAAAATGAAAAACTTTTCAGACCTTAAACTAATAAAGCTAAAGGGGGTGGGGGTTGGCTGGGAGGGAGTGGGGGATAAAAGAATATACAATAATATGGAAAAGGTTGGGCATGGGTTGGAGGGGAGGGGGTCAAGCGTGGGAAGGCACGGCGTCGGCTGGCGAGCGTGTGTGGCGACTTGAGGCTGTTACTCCATCTGGCCGCTGAGGAGTTTGCAGGCGAGTGACTGTGTCTGTTACTGGGCACTACTCAACACCGTACCCCTTGACTGTGTCTGTCACTGGGCACTCAACACCGTACCCCTTGACTGTGTCTGTCACTGGGCACTACTCAACACCGTACCCCTTGACTGTGTCTGTCACTGGGCACTCAACACCGTACCCCTTGACTGTGTCTGTCACTGGGCACTACTCAACACCGTACCCCTTGACTGTGTCTGTTACTGGGCACTACTCAACACCGTACCCCTTGACTGTGTCTGTTACTGGGCACTCAACACCGTACCACTGTTACTGGGCACTACTCAACACCGTACCCCTTGACTGTGTCTGTTACTGGGCACTACTCAACACCGTACCCCTTGACTGTGTCTGTTACTGGGCACTACTCAACACCGTACCCCTTGACTGTGTCTGTTACTGGGCACTACTCAACACCGTACCCCTTGACTGTGTCTGTTACTGGGCACTACTCAACACCGTACCCCTTGACTGTGTCTGTTACTGGGCACTACTCAACACCGTACCCCTTGACTGTGTCTGTTACTGGGCACTACTCAACACCGTACCCCTTGACTGTGTCTGTTACTGGGCACTACTCAACACCGTACCCCTTGACTGTGTCTGTTACTGGGCACTACTCAACACCGTACCCCTTGACTGTGTCTGTTACTGGGCACTACTCAACACCGTACCCCTTGACTGTGTCTGTTACTGTGTCTGTTACTGGGCACTCAACACCGTACCCCTTGACTGTGTCTGTTACTGGGCACTCAACACCGTACCCCTTGACTGTGTCTGTTACTGGGCACTACTCAACACCGTACCCCTTGACTGTGTCTGTCACTGTGTCTGTTACTGGGCACTACTCAACACCGTACCCCTTGACTGTGTCTGTCACTGTGTCTGTTACTGGGCACTCAACACCGTACCCCTTGACTGTGTCTGTCACTGTGTCTGTTACTGGGCACTCAACACTGTACCCCTTGACTGTGTCTGTCACTGTGTCTGTTACTGGGCACTACTCAACACCGTACCCCTTGACTGTGTCTGTCACTGGGCACTCAACACCGTACCCCTTGACTGTGTCTGTTACTGTGTCTGTTACTGGGCACTCAACACTGTACCCCTTGACTGTGTCTGTCACTGTGTCTGTTACTGGGCACTACTCAACACCGTACCCCTTGACTGTGTCTGTCACTGGGCATTCAACACCGTACCCCTTGACTGTGTCTGTCACTGGGCACTCAACACCATACCCCTTGACTGTGTCTGTCACTGGGCACTACTCAACACCGTACCCCTTGACTGTGTCTGTCACTGGGCACTACTCAACACCGTACCCCTTGACTGTGTCTGTCACTGGGCACTCAACACAGTACCCCTTGACTGTGTCTGTTACTGGGCACTCAACACTGTACCCCTTGACTGTGTCTGTCACTGGGCACTACTCAACACCGTACCCCTTGACTGTGTCTGTTACTGGGCACTCAACACCGTACCCCTTGACTGTGTCTGTCACTGTGTCTGTTACTGGGCACTCAACACTGTACCCCTTGACTGTGTCTGTCACTGGGCACTACTCAACACTGTACCCCTTGACTGTGTCTGTTACTGGGCACTCAACACCGTACCCCTTGACTGTGTCTGTCACTGTGTCTGTTACTGGGCACTCAACACTGTACCCCTTGACTGTGTCTGTCACTGTGTCTGTTACTGGGCACTACTCAACACCGTACCCCTTGACTGTGTCTGTTACTGGGCACTCAACACCGTACCCCTTGACTGTGTCTGTCACTGTGTCTGTTACTGGGCACTCAACACTGTACCCCTTGACTGTGTCTGTCACTGTGTCTGTTACTGGGCACTACTCAACACCGTACCCCTTGACTGTGTCTGTCACTGGGCACTCGACACCGTACCCCTTGACTGTGTCTGTCACTGGGCACTCAACACCGTACCCCTTGACTGTGTCTGTCACTGGGCACTCAACACCGTACCCCTTGACTGTGTCTGTAACTGTGTCTGTCACTGGGCACTCAACACTGTACCCCTTGACTAGGGCTGCAACGATACAGGAAGGTCACGATACGATACGCATCTCGATATTCTGGTCACGATACGATACGTATCTCGATATGCAATGATAAAAAAAGAAAGACTTAAAGCATGTAAAGATTGAACCTTTCATGATTTTGGAACAGTCAAAATTATTTTATAATAACAAGACTACTGAAGTTGTTCAACTTTCCTTCAAAACAATTCAAAGTTCAAACACCAGAAAATAATTAATGTACTCCACCAGTGATACAACTTCAAAGAATTTTGATGCAATGGTCGAAGAAATTGTATGTGAAATTATTGTTTTATCAGGAATAATTTATTCCAATATCGTGTTACCTTAGTTGCAGCTTAATTATATATTTATAATTATAAGAACCACAAGTGTAGCATTTTGGTACTGGTGATTGCTGTTGCAGGATATTTTTACGAATGGAACAATTTGACCAGTCACCCTAGGGACTTCCCGTGCTACATGTATTTCGATTGCGATAACGTTATGTTGACATATATTAGCCAAATTGCCACAAATATGACTTTTAACGCGTCAAAGTATGGCATTTTTAATATATGTATCCATTCTCTAGCAACTTGAACTAAAGTTCGTTTCAATGCGTCAAAAGTGGTAATCTGACCGTGGTTGCTGTATCTCTTCACACACGATTTCACATAACTTAATGAAAACAATATAAATGAAATTTTGAATAAAATTAATAAAATATATTACAGACACAAGTCCAGATATACAATGAACACGTTTTAATAACAAGATAGTATAATAATGGTATTGAATTGCGTACTTCAGTTCGTATTTTCGGTGTTATATATGTGCTTGTGGTGATCAGCTGATAATGTTTTATAAGATGGGAAAAAAACATCTGTCCGTGTAAAACCTGAGCTTATTAAAATGGAAGTACGTTTTAAGGAGCCATGCGTTAGCGCGCGCTATAACCAAGTTAGCGGTTTATTGAAAGGCACAATACCGAGGAAACGCTGTACTTGAGATAAATGGGCCCACGTTTATCGTATATCGTATCGTGGGTCAAGTATCGCGATGCATCGGAATATCGGTGTATCGTTTCACCCTTACCCTTGACTGTGTCTGTCACTGGGCACTCTACATTGTACCCCTTGACTGTGTCTGTCACTGGGCACTCTACATTGTACCCCTTGACTGTGTCTGTCACTGGGCACTCTACATTGTACCCCTTGACAGTGTCTGTAACTGGGCACTCTACATTGTACCCCTTGACTGTGTCTGTCACTGGGCACTCTACATTGTACCCCTTGACTGTGTCTGTCACTGGGCACTCTACATTGTACCCTTTGACTGTGTCTGTCACTGGGCACTCAACACCATACCCCTTGACTGTGTCTGTCACTGGGCACTCAACACCATACCCCTTGACTGTGTCTGTAACTGGGCACTCTACATTGTACCCCTTGACTGTGTCTGTCACTGGGCACTCTACATTGTACCCCTTGACTGTGTCTGTCACTGGGCACTCTACATTGTACCCCTTGACTGTGTCTGTCACTGGGCACTCTACATTGTACCCCTTGACTGTGTCTGTCACTGGGCACTCTACATTGTACCCCTTGACTGTGTCTGTCACTGGGCACTCTACATTGTACCCCTTGACTGTGTCTGTCACTGGGCACTCTACATTGTACCCCTTGACTTTGTCTGTCACTGGGCACTCTACCTTGTACCCTTTGACTGTGTCTGTCACTGGGCACTCAACACCATACCCCTTGACTGTGTCTGTCACTAGGCACTCAACACCATACCCCTTGACTGTGTCTGTCACTAGGCACTCTACACCGTACCCCTTGACTGTGTCTGTCACTGGGCACTACTCAACACCGTACCCCTTGACTGTGTCTGTCACTGGGCATTCAACACTGTACCCCTTGACTGTGTCTGTCACTGGGCACTCAACACCATACCCCTTGACTGTGTCTGTCACTTGGCACTCAACACCATACCTCTTGACTGTGTCTGTCACTGGGCACTCAACACCGTACCCCTTGACTGTGTCTGTAACTGGGCACTCTACACCGTACCCCTTGACTGTGTCTGTCACTGGGCACTACTCAACACCATACCCCTTGACTGTGTCTGTCACTGGGCACTCAACACCGTACCCCTTGACTGTGTCTGTCACTGGGCACTCTACACCATACCCCTTGACTGTGTCTGTCACTGGGCACTACTCAACACCGTACCCCTTGACTGTGTCTGTCACTGGGCACTCAACACCGTACCCCTTGACTGTGTCTGTCACTGGGCACTCAACACCGTACCCCTTGACTGTGTCTGTAACTGGGCACTCTACACCGTACCCCTTGACTGTGTCTGTCACTGGGCACTACTCAACACCATACCCCTTGACTGTGTCTGTCACTGGGCACTCAACACCGTACCCCTTGACTGTGTCTGTCACTGGGCACTACTCAACACCGTACCCCTTGACTGTGTCTGTCACTGGGCACTCAACACCGTACCCCTTGACTGTGTCTGTCACTGGGCACTCAACACCGTACCCCTTGACTGTGCCTGTCACTGTGTCAACTGTGTCAAGTCAGGTTGCTGTTTAGACAAGATGAAGGAGTTACGACAGTCCGATGGCCACATATGACAGTGTCTATATTCTTGCTATATAAAATATCATTACCATGATTACTATCAAAACACTGCTCACCCTCAAAGTTTGTGAGGAAATGTTAACACAATTACTAACTCCAAACATCAATAATATTATTAAGACTTCTTCGTTAAACTTGTCACAAATATATAAAAAGGGGTATTGTTGAGAATTTTGGCACTTGAGCTCACCAGAGATCACAAACCAAGATAATGGCCTTCACTATATCCTATTTACAATTTACATCAGCTATAATGAATTAGCTGTTCAACACCTGTCATGTTTCTCATTTCAAACAAGGTCAATGTTGATATCAGGAGATAAGGTTAGCTGAATCTCTCTGTCCTTTACAACTATGTGGTTTTGTACATTTGAAAACAGACATGGTGGTGGTATAAATGAAAAAGAAAATTAGAGATTGAGGATTGAATTTAGCAACTAGATCTATAATTGGGTGAATAGGCTGATTGTGTATTGTCCCTTTGAGCATGTGGAGAGGACAGGATGTCTGACTTTACTTTGCCTGTGCTTTCAATCATGTATAAGAAATGTACATTGAACCTGTTCCGATTACGCTATGATTAAGTAGGATGAAGTGTAGGATTCATTTTGAGAAAAGTCAACATTTGTATTGAGGGAAATGTGTATTTACTTGGGATGTTACGCTGTGTCTGAAATAACTGCCTGCCCATCTGCCAGTGGCTGGTAACGTTTCTGTCGGGCTGCATGAAATTTTCTCCACCTGCCAGATAATTTTAAGACTATTTACGGATTCAGTTCATTAAAACTCCTTGCACATTCTCAAGTAATTGTTTGCATTATTTTTTTAACTGAATCATGACACGATTTGTCACTTATTTTTGCGACCACCAGTCTGTACTGGAGCCCCTTGATGGTACGAACCTGAACTTGGCGCTCAGCATCATTTTCTATCCTCTTTACTACTACATCTGAGCTTACTAGACTGAACAAAGTTGTACAAAATGTAAATGTGCCACCAAAACATCATGAAGGACAACAGAGGAGACCAAAGTGTCTTCTGAATATGAAAGCCTCGCACAATGCTCAGTGTGTCACAATCGTAACATCCGTTAGGGGTGGATCACACAAATATTTGTCTTCGTTTAAGTCCATGGCTACAAAACAACAAAATCTCATTTTTAAGCCCACAAGTTGAAAAATGGAGGGGCTTAAATGTGTGCATTCCTGGTAAAATGAGATGTTGTTGAGGTCATTATTACTCCAATGATATGACTTCACTGTGAACACACAATGCCTTTTAGAAAGCGGTCAAATGTAACAAATGTTATATTTGGGATAACACTTTCTGAGTTAAGTACAGATTCTTGTACTTTTTTGGGTTCAGCCCCGTCCAGTATTCAAACCTACACTGCCAGAGTGAGGCACCTAATCGCCAGCACAATAAGTCACCGATCTAACCTGCTCAGCCAACGAGGCTTCCATAAAAATGCAAGTTTGACAATTGTACTTTTCTCAGAAAGTGTTATCCCAAATATATCATTTGTTAGACTTCACGAGTGTTAGGCCATGACCCGTGAAGACCCGGGGTAGAATAGGTCTTCAGCAACCCTTGCTTGCCGTGACCCGTGAAGACCCGGGGTAGAATAGGTCTTCAGCAACCCTTGCTTGCCGTGACCCGTGAAGACCCGGGGTAGAATAGGTCTTCAGCAACCCATGCTTGCTGTGACCCGTGAAGACCCGGGGTAGTATAGGTGTTCAGCAACCCTTGCTTGCCGCAAGAAGCGACTTTGCTTGTCGTAAGAGGCGACTAATGGGATTGGGTGGTAAGGCTCGCTGACTTAGTTGATCCCAGTTGTGTAGATCAATCCTCATGATGTCAACCACTGGATTGTCTGGTACAGACCATTATTTACAGACTGACGTCATATAGCTGGAATATTGCTGAGTGCAGTGTTAAAACAAACAAACGAACAAACATTTATTCCATGTGATTTATTTCAGATTTTCAACAGTTGTTCTGGGACTGGTAGCCCTCAAGTTTGTGGCCGTGTCCTTCACAGAGACTGTGAAGAGTTCTGCACCCTTGTTCACAGTGATTATATCACGAGTCCTCATCGGAGAGTACACTGGCCTTTATACCTTCCTGTCACTCATCCCCATCATGTTCGGGCTGGCCTTGTGTTCAGCCTATGAACTCAGTTTTAATATACAGGGCTTCGTGGCAGCTCTGGCCACCAACTTAACAGAGTGGTAAGTACCAACAGTGGACTCTTCACTAATCCGGATCTATGTCTATACCGGACCAAATTTACGTAATCCCCGAAGTTATATATATGACACAACAAAACTTTTTGTTTGATACAAAAAATATATTATCTAGATAAGGCCAAATGTTGAAAACTTCTGTTTTCCCTTTGTATTTCATCAAGTAAAGAAAAGAAGGTAGGACACACGGTTTTCTTCACCTGTTTGAACCTGGGGACAATAGTTTGATGTGAGGTTGGGATATACATCTAATTAGGAGATAAACCCACTATGTTTTCAATGTAGAGCTAGGTTACCTGTAGATTTAACTGCGCTAAATTGAATTTGGAACCGAACGCGCAGCGTGACCAATCAGAATTGAGTAAATTCCAAATTCATGGTAGAATTTATTATGAACCTTCCTTTAAAATGTGTCCACCATTTCAATATTCAACAAGTCGAAAGGAGGACTGGTTGTAACTATATTTTTATTCTTTATACAATTATAGTTCCACATTGAATTTCTTCTGATCATTACATTTAAATTCATTTGAGGTTTATTTTCGGTATGTCTACACTGAACAACCTGGCGATCATGGGATCAAAGTGTGTGTACAACTGATTGCTCATTCCGGCTTTTGTTTTCAGGACAATTTCACAATATGATAATACTAATCTGTGTGCATGATTAAATACCTAGCGTGACAGGAAGTACAACTGAAATTTTAAGTCATCATGCTATCTGCACTATGTTCATTGACATAGTTTGTTTCCCCGTTTGTTCACTGGAAGCAATAGGATGTAGGTTTTGACTGCGCATTATCACGTTTCGGACATTCTTGGACATGTTGAATATGAATCACCTGACTCATTCAACCTTCAAACATTTTCTTCACCTGAAGTTAGGGGTGTATAGGTAGCCTAGTGGTTTCAGCATTTCTTTGTCAAGCGGAAGACCTGGGTTCGACTCCCATGTGTGATGCCCATAATTCCTTCGAATATTGTTTGATTTCTGGTGTTCCGTGCCCAGATATTGCTTGAATATTGCTAAGAGTGGTGTAATACCATCCACACTCACTCACTGACAAAACCAAAGTATTTGCTGGATGCCTTGCTGTGGTATTGTCAAATCAGCAGACATCCCTATTCATGTCAAAGCTAATGATGTGAATCCTTCCTCTTGTTCATTATTGAATTGTTGACAGCTGAGTGAAAGTTGACAGCTGTGGTTGCCAGTGTATTGATTTATTACCAGTGAGTGTTGGGAGGGCAGCATAACAGTGACAGATTGCCAGGATGGAATTACTCTTTCCTCCAAATGTGTTGGATTTTGTGCTAATTTAACATGATGAACCGTATTGAACACACCTGGCATTGCCTTCCCCTTCCAGCTGCTGACAGGCTGGACACATACTTTCTAACCTCAGTTTTGTGGTTTAATTTCAGCCATTGTCCTGTGTTAGCACATGCACAGAGCCTATCTCTGACAGAACTTCTTCCAGTCATAGAATAATTAATGTGTAAGAGCTGCAAATAATGTGTTTGCTTGAATTTGATCTGTGCTACAGCAATTGGTTTTCTCAGCTGCATGCTTATAACTGAAGTTTGAGATTCCATACCTCATGGCATTGAAGGTCATGGTCACTCAGTATGAAGTGAAAAAAAAGATTCTGTACACAATACATTGAGTATTAATGAAAGAAATTTGAAACTTTATCATGTTTTTATGTATGATCTTTGTGGTGAGAACTCAATTGTTTCACTATCAATGATCTATGAAACATGGTTTTCATGAAATCGCATACAATAGAATCTCAGTAATTAATAATATGTGTCATATGCCATATACAGGGTCACCTGGAACGGCATTCACTCATGATATGACTTGTAATCAGTTTCATTCAGAAAGTATTGACACAGTGATATGGTCCTGTCATTCTTGTAACACCACCTCAGTGCAACAAATAATGTTCTCACATGTAAATGGATGAGATCGAAGGTCAAGGTCACTCAGTGTGATTTGAGCTTCAACAAAGTTTGAGTACAAAATGGATTGAGTATTAATCAAATTTAACGTCATTTTAATAGTGTACAGGATCTCAAAGGCAGGATCATTATCACATCAACTTTGGGTCAAGGTCAAATAATGAAACATGGTCAAAATTTTGCTTTGAAGGTCATTCACTCATGAAATGGCTTGTAAATAGTGAATTATTGTTAGCATGGTATGGAGACTTCATATTTGCAACAAGAAATGCTATCACGGGATTGGATGATGTGGAAGTTGACATACTAGAAAGCATCTTTATAATTGGAATTTTGAAGAAACTTTATAAGCATGATCACAAGGGAGTTTATGGCTATGATTGAAGGTCAATGACATGAAATCAAACGTGCATTTGTTATGACTTATCATAGTTTACTGTTTACTTCTCTGGGCATGTGTTTTCCCCGAATGGAAATGTTGTTGTTTAACCGGTAGTGCTTGAAACTTTGTTATTAATGTAGCTAGCAGCATGGGACTCTCTGTTTCAAAGTTGTACTGCATTTATTCATTTGGTCACAGCAAGCTTGAACTTGCTAGACATTCCATTTTGATAATTAAAAAGATTGAAATTTGCCTGATGACATAACTTTAATAAGTGTCCATCTTTGTAAAGTGCCCAGGGTGCTTGTTATGGCAAATATGGTATATCATTTATAAAGATCAGTTCTAGCCAAGGAGTCCTTTGCTACCCCACAGCCGGGTTTTGTCTTTCCATTCATAACAAATGATCTTTCTGTCTCAAGGTTACATTGCTCTGAGTGTTGTTACATTATTCATGTTTCTATCTGATTGTTACATTGTCCTTCTTTCTGTCTGATTGTTACATTGTGCTTCTTTCTGCTGGATTGTTACATTGTGCTTCTTTCTGTCTGATTGTTACATTGTGCTTCTTTCTGCTGGATTGTTACATTGTGCTTCTTTCTGTCTGATTGTTACATTGTGCTTCTTTCTGCTGGATTGTTACATTGTGCTTCTTTCTGTCTGATTGTGTACATTGTGCTTCTTTCTGCTGGATTGTTACATTGTGCTTCTTTCTGCTGGATTGTTACATTGTGCTTCTTTCTGCTGGATTGTTACATTGTGCTTTTTTCTGTCTGATTCTTACGTTCATCTTTCTGTCTGATTGTTACACTGTTCTTGTTTGTCTGATTGTTACATTGTTCTTGTTTGTCTGATTTTGTTACATTGTTCTTGTTTGTCTGATTGTTACATTGTGCTTTTTTCTGCTGGATTGTTACATTGTGCTTTTTTCTGTCTGATTCTTACGTTCATCTTTCTGTCTGATTGTTACACTGTTCTTGTTTGTCTGATTGTTACATTGTTCTTGTTTGTCTGATTTTGTTACATTGTTCTTGTTTGTCTGATTGTTACATTGTGCTTTTTTCTGCTGGATTGTTACATTGTGCTTCTTTCTGTCTGATTCTTACGTTCATCTTTCTGTCTGATTGTTACATTGTTCTTGTTTGTCTGATTGTTACATTGTTCTTGTTTGTCTGATTTTGTTACATTGTTCTTGTTTGTCTGATTGTTACATTGTGCTTTTTTCTGCTGGATTGTTACATTGTGCTTCTTTCTGTCTGATTCTTACGTTCATCTTTCTGTCTGATTGTTACATTGTTCTTGTTTGTCTGATTGTTACATTGTTCTTGTTTGTCTGATTTTGTTACATTGTTCTTGTTTGTCTGATTGTTACATTGTGCTTTTTTCTGCTGGATTGTTACATTGTGCTTCTTTCTGCCTGATTGTTACATTTCCATCCTTCTGTCTGATTGTTACATTGTTTTTCCTTCTGTCTGATTGTTACATTTCCATCCTTCTGTCTGATTGTTACATTGTTCTTCTTTCTGTCTGATTGTTACATTTCCATCCTTCTGCCTGATTGTGACATTGTTTTTCCTTCTGCCTGATTGTTACATTGTTCTTCTTTCTGTCTGATTGTTACATTGTTCTTGTTTGTCTGATTGTTACATTATTCTTCTTTCTGTCTGATTGTTACATTGTTCTTCCTTCTGCCAGATTGTTACGTTGTTCTTCTTTCTGTTAGTTACATTCTTCATCTTTCTGCCTGATTGTTACATTGTTCTTCCTTCTGTCTGATTGTTACATTGTTCTTCTTTCTGTTTGTTACTTTCTTCATCTTTCTTCTTGATTGTTACATTGTTCTTTTTTCTGTCTGATTGTTACATTATTCATCTTTCTGTCTGATTGTTACATTGTTCTTCTTTCTGTTTGTTACATTCTTCGTCTTTCTGCCTGATTGTTACATTCTTCATCTTTCTGCCTGATTGTTACATTGTTCTTCCTTCTGCCTGATTGTTACATTGTTCTTCTTTCTGTTTGTTACATTCTTCATCTTTCTGCCTGATTGTTACATTTTTCTTCCTTGTCTGATTGTTACATTGTTCTTCTTTCTGTTTGTTACATTCTTCATCTTTCTGTCTGATTGTGACATTGTTCTTTTTTCTGTCTGATTGTTACAGTGTTCTTTCTGTATGATTGTTCATTGTTCTGAGTGTTGCTAAGCTGTTCATTTCTCTGTGTAATTGTTGTTAAATTGTTGATCTTTCTGTTTCAGTTTACAGAATGTATATTCAAAGCTTCTAATAAGTGGTGAAAAATATAAATATACGTAAGTATGATGTTGGAATGTTGTTCAGGCTAATCATGTAATCTGACAAAGTGGAAACATTAATTGTGTGAGATTTGACTCTTTCAATATGGAAACGTAGAAGCTCATTAATGTTTCTCTCCACAGCTAATGTACCTTCTGTGTGAAGTGTGAGGGTTGACCAAGAACATAGAAGCAGATATAATGTTTGTCGTATGTGTCGTTTTAAAAAGAAAAATCCATGTTGACAATATTGTTTGTTACATATTTTGTATGCCACCTTCAAAATGCACTTGAAGATCAATGATAGAACTAGTTCTATAGACCCTACCAAGGTGCCCAACAGTTAAGGTATCCTTTAAGCACCAGTAGAAATTTGCAATTTTTAAGGGTTTTGCTATATATCATTAGAATGACCAGTGGACTAAAAATGTTAGTTTCTATTGCTGAAGATAAAATCTTGTAGTATGACTTGATGTTATTGGCAGGGTTAGAACTTAACACTGGCACACTAGCCTCGGGCTAGTACAAATTGCTGTAGTCTAGTACAAATTTCCCAATTTCCCCTTTTTTTAAACATTACAAGGACATTTTATCCTTTTCCTGGGCTAGTAAAGTGAGTGAGTTTAGTTTTAACCCTGTATAGGACATTAATATCCTGTCAGAACTTGATATCCCATGTATTTAGTTGAGACTGTTCATGCTTGCAGGCCTGCTGAGCTCCAGTTCTACACAAGCATAGCATCTGTGGTGGTTCAGATCCCAGCGTGCTTTGTAATGATGGACCTCCCGGCGGTGCGGCAGTCCCTGGACTACACATTACTATCTACACTTGTTCTCAATGGCATATTCTTCCATTTTCAAAGCATCACAGCATACGTCCTCATGGGATACATTTCACCTGTTACTCACAGGTAAGTACCGGGGCCGGGTTGGCCATGCCTACAGATCACTGTGATGATCCAGGCTGCTTGTTTGTTGTTTAAAGCCGCACTCAGTAACGTTCAAGCTGTCTGACGACAATCTGTAAATAATTGAGTCCAGACTAGACAATCCAGTAATTGATAACGTTATTTTCATCTACGCAACTGCAATACGATGACATGCTTCAACTAAGCCAGCAAGTCTGACCACCCAATCCTGTTAGTCGCCTCTTAAGACAAGCATGGGTTGCTGAAGACCAATTCCATCCTGGAATGAGTGGGGTGTGATGATCCAAACTGATCTGATCTATAAGTTATATATACTCACAAGGAAAAGAAACGCAAGTGGTTTTAAGCAAATAGGTAACAAACACTGAAACCTGAAGCCTGATGGTGTTATCAATATTTTTGGTTGCATTTTGGAAGCCCCGAGTAAAAACGCAACATAAAAAACGAATCGCCAAAACGCACCATTTCAATAAATATGTGGGTATCATGCACCCATTTCTTGCAAAATAAAAAATGCACAGACTGTCACGAACTGTAGTGGGTATAAAACTGTGGCCGATTTTGGACCTACCACTCCTTGGTCAACAATGCCACGCCTAACTCAAATTCAGAGAAACCAGGCTATCGGACGTTTAGAAGCTGGAGAGTCTGTCCAAGATGTTGCCCGTCATTTCAATGTTAACATAACCACAATTTACCGTCTCCTGCATCGATACAATGCTACACAGACCACAGATGACCTTCCTCAGAGCAGTCGTCCTAGGGTCACCACACCTCGACAAGATCGGCAGATTACCCGTCGACACCAGCGACATCCGTTCCTAACTGCAAGTGAAAGTGCTTGACAGACCATAGGAACACATAATCGACACATTAGCCATTATCCGACGTCTCCGTTCCAACAACCTCAGATGTTGTCGACCAGCACGTTGTCCTGTTCTCCAACCACGGCATCAACAAGCACGACTTCAGTGGGCACAGGGTCATCGCAATTGGCGTCATCGTGAGTGGAGGCGTGTCATCTTCTCTGATGAAAGTCGCTTTTGTGTCTCCCATGCAGACGGAAGAGTCAGAATTTGGCGGAGTCGAGGTGATCATTTTGCTGACAGAAATGTTGTGGAATGGGATCCATTGGGTGGACCTAGCGTCATGATATGGGCAGGGATTGGACTTAATGCGAGACTTGGACCCATGTGCTTACTGAATGTTGGTCAAGGTCGGGGACACGGCGTCACTGCTCAGCGGTATATCGACCAAGTGATCAGACCCCACGTTGTTCCTTCTCTTTCAGATTAACTCCTCCTTGTGGCACTTATTGCATTTTCCTTGCTCGAGAAAATCTACATGACATAGTTGTAACCATTTTCCTTAATAAAAAATGTTACCACACAAAAAACAGCGTTTTTGTATGATATACGATCACCCCAACGGGGCCTCACCCTCTACAGGCGACACACGCCAAGGGGAGCGACACTCACCCAAATCACTTTTCCTTATGTCATCAGACTGTACAGACGTACTTCTAAGACCGCTGAGAATTGAACTTCGTCCTACTTATAGTGGTATATTGAAGACATGGCTCAATCTGTATGTGTGGTATTTTTTCCCTTTCTTTCTTGCAAAGGCGTAATTCCTCGCATTTATGGTTTTTATATGTTGTACCTCGGCTGCCACGTGCTCATTTCATGTATGGTGGCCGCTGTGTAGCTTATTCTATTTTGGTAAATTCCATGTTCGGGTACTTTATATCGCTACATTGTTTCCTTTTCAACCCGGCTGTAACTTTAATAAATTGCCCTGCGGGCGCAAGTTGCTGTGTTTGTTTCCGCTCGGGGGGGTGAGGTTTACTACGCTCCCTTTATATGTTACAAATGTATACACGGCCTTGGCTATCGATTTCGCATGTCGCATTTTCGTTACGCCTTTGCATATGTTGTGTTGTAATTATGCATGTATCTTTCTGCAATTTCGCAATTCGCACTGTTCCCTATCCGTTTAGTGTTGTCGGTCTGTTGCAGACTTTCAAAGGTTGTTTGGGGTGCGACGTGGCGATACCTCCGCAGGATTCCTACCCTAAGTGCATTCGCTGCTTGGCGGAGGAGGGCCACGATGACCAGTCGTGTGCCATATGTGGCGCCTTCACTCCCAGGGCCAGAAAGCGTAGGCACGCTGACCTAATTAATTTTACGGGATTATTGGAGGTAAAGGGCAAGAAGACCAAGTCTTCCGCCCCGGTCCCTTCCACCTCCACTGCGCCTGTATCGCAGGGTTAGGGTTCTCGGGTCCCGAGGTACCCCCCTCCCCTGCACCTTTTAACTTTGCTGATGTTTCGACGCTTCTGCGGTCGCAGATGGTATCGATGTTTGAGGATGTCAAGTCCCAGCTCCGAGAGGAGCTGCGGGCTGGGCTTCCCCAGGCGTCAGCGTCGGATGCGGCCGCGGGGCCTCGTAGAATGCCCGGCGTCGGCCGTGGCAGGCCACTTGGCCTCGGGGACGACTCGTGTCTGGGCTTCGACTGGTTCACAGTCGCTCCCCGCTTATGTTTCCCTGGCGGAGCCGGAGGCTTTTATCGCGCCCAAGGCGTCATCCAGTGGACCCGTGCCCGTGAGCCAGGTGGGTTCTCATGAACCCCCAGCACCTCGGGACCGGGGACCCGGTGTCGGACTGGGGACAGTCGGGGGGATGCGAGGGCCCATCTACTTCCTCTCTCGCCGAGGAGTCGGAGGCTACCTTCGGCTCAGAGTCGAGGGATGAGGAGTTGATGGAGGAGGGAGGTTATGACTTGCAGGCTCCGGGGAGTTTTCCTTCGCATCCTCGCTGAGGCATGTCAGGGATAAGATTGTCCAAGTATTGCCTCAGGTGGCTGCCCCTATGCCCGTCTCGGATCCGTCTAAGTTCCGCCTTCCGGGAGATGCTTTTGCTCCGTGCAAAGCGCCCCAGGTGCGGCTCCACATTCTGACCTCGCTGGTACACGAGGTCATCGGTCCTCTGCTATCGGGTGCCCGTAAAAGGTTCGATCTTCCCGAACTTACTAGGCTGTACCTGTTGGCGGAGGACCGTGACCGGTCGTGGACGAGTGCGTCTAGATTTCGGTGACCCTGGGGGTGTCTTCGACCCCCCACTTAGACAAGGCTAAGCAGGGCGGGCGTTTGCCACCCTTCCCTATGTGCGGGGTGGAGCTGAAGGCGGCTTACGTCTGCTTTGAGGAGCAGTACCGTAATGCTTGCCAATAGCTCTGTATCGCCGTCCACTCAGCTTACCTGTCTGCTGTGCAGCGGGAGCTGGTGGCGTAGGGGCAGTCCGACTCCTTGTAGTTGGCGGGCCAACTCACCGAGGTCCACAGTCATCCGGCAAGGATGCTATCTGTAGCTGCGCCTCCCAGATGATGAGCGCAGTCATGGGCATGCGCCGGCTGTGGATGTCCCTGTCCAAGTACTCGACATCCACACACCAAGAACTACTTGCGCTCCCGTATAAGTTGGGTTCTACCCTCTTCCCTGGGGCGCAGCAGGTAGTTCGGGAGGCCGCTGTGTTATACGCATCCATCAAGGACTCTAAGGCCTTGTTGGAGGTGCCTAGCACCAAGCTGCACAAGCGAGCCCCCCTTGCCTCCTCCTATGCCGATACGCCGGATCGGAAGTCCAAGCCTGCTTGGAAGCAGCCGCTTGCAGGGGCAAGAAGGGCAAGGGCCGGGGCAAGGCAGCTCCACGGCCCCGAGTGTGTTCACCAAGCTGATGTTGATACCTGCCCAAGTGGCCAGGTCGCAGGGTCGGTTCTGTCATCCATACCTTGACGACTGGCTGCTAAGAGCGCTATATCATCAGATGAGTCAGATTGCTACACAAGCGGTGTTAGACATTCAGGTATCTCTCGGGTGGATAGTCAACCTAACGAAGTCAGATCTGAACCCTACTCAGTCTCTGGTCTTCTTAGGGGCGAATTTCAACACAGAGAACGGGCTTGTCTCCCTCTCACAAGACCACATTGTCAAGGTCAGGAGTGTAACTGCACAGTTCCTTCTTTCCGAGAGACGCACTGCTAGCACTTGGCTCCAGTTACTGGGCAATATGGCCGCGACAGTGGATGTGGTTTGGCGAGCACGTTTGCGAATGAGACCCATTCAGCAGGCGTTGCGTCGGTTGTGGGCGAACTCGGAGGATCTCGAGAATGTTCTTGAGACCCCGTAGTGGCTCATTCCACACCTTCAGTGGTGGACCGAGGGAGGGAATCTGTCCCGGGGGCTCCCCCTTGACACTCCCGTTCCGTCTCTCACTGTTCAGACAGATGCGTCACTCTCCGGCTGGGGAGGCGTTCTGAACGATCACACTGCCTCGGGACTGTGGTCCCTGCAGGAGATCGAGCTGCACATCAATGTGCTGGAACTGAGAGCGGTCAGGTTGGTGTTCGAACGCTTCTCGGATCTGCTTTGTGGCCAGGTGGTTCGTCTAGAAATGGACAACCAGACGGCGATGACTTACATCTGGAAGCAGGGGGGAATGGTGTCTCCGTCACTTCTCCAAGAGACGTTGCAGTTCCTCCTATGGTGTGACCTTCACGCTATCAGGGTGATACCTGTTTATCTCCCGGGGGTGGACAACGTCCATGCGGACACTCTGTCTTGCTGGATCCTCGCTCCTCACGAGTGGAGGCTCGACCCGGGGATATTCGGGATTATCTCCTGATTATACGGGTCGTTCCAGATGGATCTGTTTGCGTCTGGGGTGAACCACCAGACACCAGTGTTCTGCTCCCGAGTCCCCGACCCAAGGTCGGCAGCACTGGATGCCTTCCAGCTAGATTGGACGGACAGTGTTCTGTGGGCCTTCCCACCAGTTCCTCTGATTCCCAGGGTCCTTTCTCAGCTAGCCACTCAGCCTGCGTGGCTTCTTGTGCTACTGGCACCTCTTTGGTGGGCGCAGAGTTGGTTTCCCGTAATACTCAGGTTTCTGGCTCAGCCTCCTGTTCTATTACCTTTACGACCGGACCTCCTATCCCAGAACGGGGCACTCCACCTGAATCCCAGGATTCAGTGGGTGGCTTGGCCACTGTCAGGAATCGCCTCCAGGAGAGCGGTATTCCTGCACGAGTTGCAGACAAAATACTGGCTTCGCGGAGGGATTCGACAAACGTTCAATTTGAGGATAGATGGGCCTGCTATGCGCACTGATGTGTCGATAGAGGGCATGCAGATCCCTTTTCTGCAGATCTAGTCGCGGTGTTAGAGTTCCTCCAATCACGACTTGATGCCGGCCTGCCCGCTTCGACAGTCAGGGGGTACTCGACAGCTATTGCAGCCTTTCACGTCCCTATCGACGGGGCACTTCTGAGTGCGCACCCTTTAGTGCAGCGCTTTTTGGCAGGCGTGGACAGGATCCGACCGTCTGTCCGGCGGATCGGTCCCCCTTGGGACTTGTCAATCGTTCTTGATTGGCTGTCCGGTCCTACCTCTCGGGATCTGTCGTCTATCTCACTTCAGCTGTTGAGCTGGAAGTCGGCGTTCCTTGTGGCAGTGACGTCAGGTAGACGGTTAGGCGACATTCACGCAATGTCCGCCGATCACGGGCTGACAGTCTTTCACCGGGACAGAGTCAGTATTGGCCTACCGGACTCTTACCGACCCAAGGTCGCACACGCTTTCCACGTGACGGCTCCTATCGAGCTACCTGCTCTTTCACAGCCTTCCTCGTCGGGGACCTCTGCAAGACATGCTCATGTCTTGGATGTCTGCAAGACTAAGGATATCCGTAAGGATAACCAATTATTCTGCTGTTACGGCGGTCGGAAGGCTGACTCCCCTGTGAGCAAACAATCTATTTCACGGTGGATTGTCTTTGCTATCTATTTGGCGTATACAAACAAAGGGAGGGACCCCCCTGATGGGTTGAAGGCTCATTCGGTTAGGGCAGTGGCTACGTCGAAGGCGTATGCCGCAGCTCTGCCCATTGAGGAGATCTATTTGGAGCCGGCCGAGTACGTTCATCAAACACTACCAAATCGATAAACACTCCAGGGAGTGTGCTCGGTTCGGTCAGTCAGTTCTCCGCACTGGGCAGAGTTCTACATCTCTAGCCGATTGAGTCTTCGAGATTTTAGAATGTCCTCCGGTTTTCTTGACTTTGTAATGCTCAGTCTCATCTCCCCTCTCCGGGAATGACGATTCTTCGGTAGTCATTACTAATCGATAATGCACTCGTTTTGCAAACAGCACTCGCTCGATCCAACAGGACCCTACAGCCTGCATAGCTACCAGGCATAATGTCCCTAGCGATTATTGTCCCCGTTATCGCTTGTACAAAAGTGTGTGTGGGGGGTGTTCTTGAGTTTTCACTCGTTTAATGATAAAGCCCACTACTGCGGCTTTTTTCATAGCGTATGGTCAGACCTGTCTCAAGCCCCCGCCTCTCGACGGTGGTGCCTCACGATAAGGTGGGTTCCATTTTTTTAATTCTCTATTGTCTTGTAATACGATGTATTTATTTACGCTTGTTGCAGACGGATGCCACTTCCTAGATTATCTTTAGGAGTCTATCTTGATGCAATAAGTGCCCCAAGGAGGATACAATCTGAAAGAGAATCGTACAAACCTGTAGAGGTTATGGATTCTCTGATGAAATCCTCCTTGGGGCACGGCCGCCCGCCTCCCCACATTCCGTCTGCTATGAGACATTGGAAAAGTGATTTGGGTGAGAGTCGCTCCCCTTGGTGTATGTCGCCTGTAGAGGGTGAGGCCCCGTTGGGGTGGTCGTATATCATACAAAAACGCTGTTTTTTGTGTGGTAACCTTTTTTTATTAAGGAAAATGGTTACAACTATGTCATGTAGATTTTCTTGAGCAAGGAAAATGCAATAAGTGCCACAAGGAGGATTTCATCAAAGAATCCATAACCTCTACAGGTTTGTACGAATTTTTTGCGCAGCATCAACCAACAACACATTTTCCAGCAGGACAACGCTCGTCCCCATGTTGCCAGAGCTACCATGGCCTTTCTGCAACAACACAACATCCGTGTTCTACCTTGGCCAGCCCTCAGCCTGATCTGAACCCCATCGAACACAATGTGCGCCCAGTCCCTACAACTGCCGATGAACTACGCACAACTGCTCTGGATGTGTGCAGGAGGATCCCTAGGGCCTTCACAAATCGTCTGATCCACTCAATGTACAGGAGATGTGTGGCAGTGATCAATGCTAATGGTGGTCACACCAGGTATTGACTGACATTTTGGGTATTGACCCGAAACTGTGTAAGCCCTTAACATTTATATCATCTGCCTTTTAATCCATTAAACTGTCTTCAGTCAAATTTTGTCAATCTTGCCCTATTAGTATTTCTTGTCTTTACTGTTGAAAATAAATAACATGTATACTGCATACTCGACTTGTGTTTCTTTTGCATGTGAGTATATGTTTAAACCATTTATTCTGAGATTAACAATGTAATTGGTTTGAGTTTCTGTGTGAAGACAACTTTTGTAATAGCAACTGTTTGGTTTCAGTGTCGCGAATACAGTGAAGAGAGCATTCCTGATCTGGTTATCTGTGATAACATTCGGTAACCCGGTGACTATCCTCAGTGGTGTAGGGACCATCACTGTTACGGTTGGTGTGCTGTTCTACACTAAAGCCAAAGAGTATGACTCCAACAGACGAGAACACATAGCCCAGTATTCACGGACACCTGAACCAGTGACCAAGGAAGTTTGATGTTAGTAGCTGGCTAGACTCGAATGCCTCATTCATTCCACATCCGTCACCAAGGAGACAGTGTTGATGAGGAGAGGCTGATGTGTTGTTTCATGCATGGCAAACTGAGGATTTCCACACAGGGATCAAAACATTGTGAAACATTGTTGCTGAATTTAGCTTACTGGCGGCAAGCACCAAGTGTTTAGTTACTTGTTTTAAAGGTTTTACAGCCATTTGATATAGGCCTGATGGAGGGTGCTCTGACACAGCCTCCTGCCTCAATTAGTGGAAGTAACTGATGCCTTAAAACTCATATCAACATGAAAAGACTGTCCAATGATTTAGTTTAGGTTTCAGAAATATATTGAATATGTTTTTTAGTTCAAGTCTAGAATAGATTAACAGCAGGTTTTGTAAGATAATTTGTCCAGATTCAAGATTCAAGATTCAAGATTATTCAACTGTGGTCTTTCTTGTCTGTCATAGGCATTAAACAATTCAAATCCCAAAGAACCCAACAATAGGATTGAAATAATTGTTTTCTGTGCGTTTCTGGTTGGAATAATGCAAACAGAACTTCAACATACTAGTCCATCTTGGTATGTAATTTGTGGAATGTGTTTTATGAATGATCAGGGTATTTATTGTACCACTCTCTCTCAGAGTTTGGATTATGTGTCTCTTTAAATCATGTCATCAAGAAATATATTCTGCTGCCATGTAAATAACAACAAAGACTTTTTTTTACCATTACTATTTTTAGTATAACAGTTGCATTTATTTCCTTGTATTGAATTATTATTGTAAATAAATGAAGTTTGCAGGGTATCTGCATGGCATACGGTTCATGCAACTTCTGTTGGTCAGTAGCGTGGAGCCTGCATGTCCATAGCAGTTCTCATGCTGGCTTCACAATCTTCATGAACTTTGTGTTACAAAACGCTTAAAAACCTTTGATTTTATGGATAAGTAGTATTTTTTACTGTATTTGTCAATAGGATCATCTCTTAGTGATTGTTACTCTCATATATTGTGTACATGAAGGCAGTTTCATCTTGACATATTCATTTTCCATTGCTGTGGGTGTGTGGTTAAAGGTGAAGGTGATGACCTTTACAAAGAACATAGCTGTCGGGGAGTGAAGGTGATGACCTTTACAAAGAACATAGCTGTGGGGGTTGAAGGTGATCACCTTTACAAAGGACATATCTGTGGGGTGTGTGTGTTTGTGTGAAGGTGATGATGACCTTTACAAAGAACATAGCTGTAGGGGGCGTGAAGGTGATGACCTTTACAAAGGACATATCTGTGGGGTGTGTGTGTTTGTGTGAAGGTGATGACCTTTACAAAGAACATAGCTGTGGGGGCGTGAAGGTGATGACCTTTACAAAGGACATATCTGTGGGGTGTGTGTGTGTGTGCGCGAAGGTGATGACCTTTACAAAGAACATAGCTGTGGGGGCGTGAAGGTGATCACCTTTACAAAGAACATAGCTGTGGGTGGGGGTGGAGGTGATGACCTTTACAAAGAACATAGCTGTGGGGGTTGAAGGTGATGACCTTTACAAAGAACATAGCTGTGTGTGCGAAGGTGATGACCTTTACAAAGAACATAGCTGTGGGGGCGTGAAGGTGATCACCTTTACAAAGAACATAGCTGTGGGTGGGGGTGGAGGTGATGACCTTTACAAAGAACATAGCTGTGGGGGTTGAAGGTGATGACCTTTACAAAGAACATAGCTGTGTGTGCGAAGGTGATGACCTTTACAAAGAACATAGCATAGCATTTGCATTGTCTTTACATGATACAGTCAAGTCTCGTTAATCCGACATCGTTGGTTGCACATGATTGTGTCGGATTAACGAGTATGTCGGATTGACGAAATTAACGATGGATAATAACCGTGTGTTTCCTCGTGTAAATGCAAGTGCTACTGTCTTAACAACTTGCTTCATCTACTTAAAATAGTCTGTCAGTGTTTTCTGTTTCTCACATTTTGAAGGCACATTTCTCAAAGTCCCCTGTTCGCTTGACGTCTAGGGCTCGTGGTTCTTCAGCATCAACATTGTCGAGGTGTAATTTCATTTGTTTCTTATAATAAAGCTTGAAATTCTTTATGATCCCGGCATCTAGTGTTAATTGTTAAAGTTAATCTCTGCAGCCAGTGCGTGTCAAAACACGGGGTTGTGTACTTGCGGGCAGATGACCACGGAGTACGCTGACCACTGTGTCTGATTAACGAGACTGATTAATGAGTGATTTCGGTAATTCGTTGCAAATTAGGTGTGTCGGAGTCGGAGTGCGAGAATGTCGGATTAACAGGACTAAATAGCGCTGAATCAATCGGTTCCCATCATTTGTGTCGGATAAAGCCGAGTGGCAAATTAACGAGACTTGACTGTATATGTTATTGATATTCATTAAGCCTCGAAATCAGAAAACATTAGGTTTGATCTGTCTCCCATATGATCCCTAAGGTCAAGCTCCTCACAGGAAGGGCCAGTTCCCAGGTAGCTGTACTATCACTGACACCCTTTCCTCCCCTGTCTAGTAATTACCATAGTAAAAATGTAAGGGGGAAGGTGGGTGCTTTTCCGTTAGTATACAATGTCAAATCTGATTAAATCAACATCAATAAGGCTGATGTCAGTGGTTTACTACATCAGCCTGTCAGTGATTCACTCCATAAGCCTGTCAGTGGTTCACTCCATCAGTCTGTCAGTGGTTCACTCCATCAGCCTGTCAGTGGTTCACTCCATCAGTCTGTCAGTGGTTCACTCCATCAGTCTGTCAGTGGTTCACTCCATCAGCCTGTCAGTGGTTCACTCCATCAGCCTGTCAGTGGTTCACTCCATCAGTCTGTCAGTGGTTCACTCCATCAGTCTGTCAGTGGTTCACTCCATCAGTCTGTCAGTGGTTCACTCCATCAGCCTGTCAGTGGTTCACTCCATCAGCCTGTCAGTGGTTCACTCCGTCAGTCTGTCAGTGGTTCACTCCATCAGCCTGTCAGTGGTTCACTCCATCAGCCTGTCAGTGGTTCACTCCATCAGTCTGTCAGTGGTTCACTCCATCAGCATGTCAGTGGTTCACTCCATCAGCCTGTCAGTGGTTCACTCCATCAGTCTGTCAGTGGTTCACTCCACCACTCTGTCAGTGGTTCACTCCATCAGTCTGTCAGTGGTTCACTCCATCAGTCTGTCAGTGGTTCACCTCATCAGTCTGTCAGTGATTCACTCCATCAGCCTGTCAGTGGTTCACTCCATCAGCCTGTCAGTGGTTCACTCCATCAGCCTGTCAGTGGTTCACTCCATCAGCCTGTCAGTGGTTCACTCCATCAGCCTGTCAGTGGTTCACTCCATCAGCCTGTCAGTGGTTCACTCCATCAGCCTGTCAGTGGTTCACTCCATCAGCCTGTCAGTGGTTCACTCCATCAGCCTGTCAGTGGTTCACTCCATCAGCCTGTCAGTGGTTCACTCCATCAGCCTGTCAGTGGTTCACTCCATCAGCCTGGACAGTGCAAAGATATTGTAGGATAAAGCTATGATGTACCCCTATGCTGATTACTCCCTGTAATACTTGGTTCTGATAAGTAAAGTGTAGGTTTCAATCACAGGTTCCAGGCTTTCCATTCTACAAATAGTTCTGTTTTATAAATATTTATAGTTTACTTGAACAAACAGCAACCAATCCTAGGGATTGGGCCGGTATTTTTGTTAAGCAATTAATTTTCATGTGAAAAATTTGTTTGAAGGATCTGATTAAAGCACAAATGTTATTCATCCACTTATGCTGAGTGGCATTAAACCATTTTAGATCTCATATTGATAAATTCTAAATCAGATTGATAAATTTCAGAGCTAAGTTCAGATGACCTGTTGTTACCCAGGGTTGTGAGTCCAGGTCATAATACCACAGGTCATATAGGTGCAAAGAACAGTTTAACAATAGTAACATAAGTTCTCACTGAACAAAAATAGTTTGTGTTTGTTTTTTGTAGAATTTATTTAGCATAAAATAACAAATTATTTAGAAGATAAGATTAATTTTCATAATTTTTAAGCTACCAAGTCCATAGATTGTATGAAACAAGCATCCTTCTTGACTGTTGATATGTTGGAATGGCCTGCACCTGTTTCTATCTGCGATAATGTTGAAGGATGGCTTGAACCAGTGCAGTAGATGTTGCCCTGGCAACCCAGGGTGGTGGCAAGGACAGCTGACTGTGGAGGAAGTGGCTGAAGCTAACATGATTCCTGTACAAAATTCTTCAACATGTAAAATGAAATCTTGTTAATCCAAACACTTTAGTATGGAAAGCACATCTTGACTGACCCTACCCGGGTACCCTACCCCATTACCTGACCTACCCGGTACCCTCTGTAGATGGATACAAAATGTCCAATTGGGAATTCCTTGACCAGAGCCTTGGCAAATAGTACTTAGATACGCTATAAAACGATCTGGTCATGCATACACTGAAGTTGACTGAAGCTTTGTCTTTATTCATCACATGAAAGTCAGAAGATGTACAAACATTAGTCACTTGTAGTGTAACCATGGAGTTCTTGATATTTTTTGTCATTAAACAATAAATCACGTGACTAACCACGGATCTGGGTAGTTCTGTAGGTACCCGGGTCCTACTCAGTACCCACCTGACCCAAGGACCCGAGTTACCTGTCCTCGCCCTACGAGGCAGGTAATTTAAGTGTCAGCTGATAAGTGAGAAAAAGCAAGGCTCCGACTGAGGCAGTATGGAGCCTCAAAGGGCACCATTGTAACACAGCCCTGGACTGAAGTATATGGCATTGGCTGCTGTGACATTCTTGGTAAGTCATGAACAGACCTAATGGTTTGCAAGGGTCATTTCTGATGTTTGTTGATTATAACATTGTATTGTAGTTGTACTACACAGGATAACAGGTTATTGTTTATGTGTATATATATGTATATACATACATATATGTGTGTATATTGTGGGATGTCATGTCAAATTATGAAAGTTATGTAAAAAAAAATAGAGTATTAAACATTTTATTTATTTTCTGTTGGTGTTATGGTTCACTTCATGCAGATGTAGGTCAAATATATGACGGAGGATCTCATAAATCATCAGTATGAATCTGATCATTAAACATTGGTGGAGTTTCTCTTGACAGTCTGGCCTTATGTTGCAAGGCAGGCTGGGATTCAGAGCAATGTGTTCTGGCTGGTTGAACGACTCTATAGTTGATAAAACAATCATTATAGGATACTGGGATTGAGCAAGACATTGAGTAACAGATTCAATAACTCTAGCTGCAAAACTGTCCTTTGAAAGCCCTCAGCACACCTGAATAATATTGAATTTAAACATACATTGGCAGGCCTTGTAGCACACCTGAATAATATTGAATTTAAACATACATTGGCAGGCCTTGTAGCACACCTGAATCATATTGAATTTAAACATACATTGGCAGGCCTTGTAGCACACCTGAATCATATTGAATTTAAACATACATTGACAGGCCTTGTAGCACACCTGAATCATATTGAATTTAAACATACATTGGCAGGCCTTGTAGCACACCTGAATCATATTGAATTTAAACATACATTGACAGGCCTTGTAGCACACCTGAATCATATTGAATTTAAACATACATTGACAGGCCTTGTAGCACACCTGAATCATATTGAATTTAACATACATTGACAGGCCTTGTAGCACACCTGAATCATATTGAATTTAAACATACATTGGCAGGCCTTGTAGCACACCTGAATCATATTGAATTTAAACATACATTGGCAGGCCTTGTAGCACACCTGAATCATATTGAATTTAAACATACATTGACAGGCCTTGTAGCACACCTGAATCATATTGAATTTAAACATACATTGACAGGCCTTGTAGCACACCTGAATCATATTGAATT